GCAAAGTCTATGCTCAAGCTGTGCGCTTCCAGTACCGTTTGTGACGGGTTGTTGACACCAATCGATTTCAATGCAATTGCTTTGGTTGCCCAAGATCCGCTATTGCAGGTGCGAAGTGGATTCGTCAACCATTTGAAGAAGAAACTTGTGCAAAAGTCACATCTGAGTCACCGATGGTACATTGTGCCCTGTTTACTTGCCTTTGAGCCCGTTCACAGTCTCAAGGAGAGCACACTCACATGGCTGCGCTCTCGTGCGGCATACTTCGCGCAGCAGGCACAGGCCAGTGGGAAGCGGACGGAACAGACCATGGTCATGGAATTGATCTTCTCGCGCCTTCTGTCTCTTCTTGCCTACCACCCTGATTACCCGTCCGAGGATCTGGACGAGTCAACAAAACTGGGCGACCTGACCGACTTCTCTCAATACATCCTTTACTACCTCTCCGCAGTGGCCAATGAGCAGAACATGTCCCTGATCTACCACGTCGGACAACGCGTCAAGCAATTCCGAGATGGCATCACCAAATCTGACGAGATCTCTACCCGCCTCCACACACTTTCCGACCTGGCTCAAGCAACCATCCGCCGTTTCGCAGACATCTACTCCCAGCAGCACAAGTTCGGCGGTGCCGCCGGCGCAACCAACATCCTGCAAACATATCCAGGAAAGATGGGTGTTCCCAGCTCTCTCTTTGCGTCCATGAGCGGCCACCGTGAGGCGCAGGACGTCGCCGACAAGAACTTTCTTCCTGATGAGTTGGACGATCTGCTGGACCGTGTCGTCCGAAACGCCATGAAGCCCAGAAACGCCTCTCACGTGGCACAGGGCGGGTCGAGCAAGAAGCGAAAGCCTTCTCTCGACACCAATGGCAAACCCTCTGCTGCCAAAAAGGCACGCAAGGATAAACCCACTCGTCCTCGTAAATCCTCATCGGTTGGCACATCCAAGCCTAAGCGCAAGTCCAAGAATGAGGACGCCTGGTCCTCTGATGGAGGTACCAAAGATTCCATACCTGCTTCGGCTCGCAGGCGCAGCGTCAGAGGAACCGCCAAGCAGGAAGTCAGCTACATTGACAATGACAGCGATGAGGATGACGAAGAGATGGCAACATGGGATGAGCCCGCAGAAGCCAACGACGAACAGGTCGACGAGGAAGAGGAAGAGGAACAAGATGAACAGGAAGAGCAAGCAAGCGACGATGAAGAAATGCAAGAGGCAGACAACGACGAGGAAAAAGCAGACGATGATGAACCAGAGGAAGCCAGCGAGAAGGAACCAACTCCACCTCCCACCCCCGCAAAGAAGCGAGGCGCAAAGGCCGCTACGGCTAAGAGTCCCGTCGCAAAGAAGCCTGCGACTATTTCTTCTACCTTGCCGACACGCCGCTCTTCCCGCCGCGGTTAAATCCCTTTTTACCTTGATATCTCGATACCATTCTGTCAAAAGTGATCATCGGCTCTCCTGTCTCCTTTTTCATCTGATTTATCCCTGTCTATTCCACGTTGTGCCCAGATCAGTTTCTTGCCTTCTATATCATATCATATCCATATTCACTTCATTTTTCATATCCATATCCATATCCTGATTCCCATTCTACTTCAGTTGATTTGATTCGATTTGACTTTCTTCGTTCTTGTTCTTGTTTCTGTTGATGGTATTGTTTATCCATATTTTCAACCTACGTTCTGTTCTTTGCAGACGATGCTGGTTCGAGGTGTATACCCCATCTGCTTTCTTGCTTGGTGTTTATCTACATGAGCCTTTCTGTATCTGGATTTTGATCGATGGTTGTTTGTTTGCGGTTTCCAGTCAAATATGTGTTCTGTCTGTAAATAAATTGAACTGTAGTTTCAAATTTACTTTTCCTATAAGACCCAAGAATTAGAACCTCAGGTCTGTAGATGCCCATAGTGTCTAGTTGTAGTCGGCTTGGTGTTCTTGAGTCGGCTACGTATAACTAAAGCAGCAGTTTACGAGTATCACAGATCCACAGTAACAAGTATAACAACTCATATTTACTCAAGCCCTTACGTCTGACACTATCTATTACACATGGGCCAGCAAAACAAAACACAAAACCAACACCCAGATACAGATACAGAAAACATCGAGCACCTAGAAAGACCAAAATCAAAATCAAGACAGGAATCGCTTCACCTCCGCACAGAAAAAGAAAACAAGTCCTATACAAACACCAGCGCGTAGAGATGAAGAAAAGTAGTCTTTGGGACAACTGATAATGGATAATAGATAGTTGGAATTGAGTCAAGTGTGTAACAAAAAAAATACAAGCCATCTGAAAGAAAAAGGGGATAATGATAAGGATAATGAACAGTTGGAGGAGAAGTATCAAGTATCACACAAGACGCCGTTGTCATCAAGTCATGAACAAAATTGACTATGGCTGAGGCCCAGTGACTGGGGAGGGAGAAGCACCATGCATTCCATAGGCTCCGGGAGCAGGACTCGCGCTTGTGGAGGTTCTGGCTCCTGGGGCCGGGCTGGCACTTGCACTGCCGATGTCACCGCCGACATTCTTGATGCGCTCTTCGACGCGCTCCTTGTGCTGCCTGTTGCGGAGGTGGACTTCAAAGTTGTCCACGGTCATGCCTGGACCTGGGGTGTAGAGCTTCCCGGGGCAATCGTGACAGCGGATGCGAGGAAGGTATTGATATTTGACTTTCTGGCCGTCCGAGAGACTGTTAGGGTTGGCCACTGGGGCGAGGGTTTCGGTGTCGACGGCGGAATATCGCATCACTCCTTCAAAAGAGTCATTTGGGTGAGACTGTTTGAGTTTTTGGAGACCGGCTGCGAGCCAGGGGGTGGTGGGGGCTGCGTGAGGCAGGAAGTCAGCCACGGGCCAAGTACTGGGATTAATATCTACTCACGCCAGAAACACCTGGTTGCGGGGGGTTCGGTGCATCAACAGCTCCGGTTTGTTGTGGTCGCGGTGGAACATGAAGTCGGGACTGTCTATCGAGTGGAGGTGCCATCGCTCGCTGGACACCAGCTTGGAAGGAAAAGATTCGCTTTCCGTTTCTCAAATCGACAAGCTTATCTCGTGGCATCCTCAGTCTCACAACCAGCTTTTCGGGCTCCTCCACACTTTCCTCTCGGTACTGCTGGCGTCGAGATGAGGCCCGAACTTCATATGCCACTGGTTCAGGGGTCGCAGATTGACCCAATGTCTGCCGAAGGGCCGCATGAGCTGCACTTGCCGCACCCCGCATACCTCTTGTACGAGCAGTGCCTTGTGCGAGATTGGGACCTATTGCCGGAGACCCAATAGAAGAGTCATCGCTATCAAACTCATCAGAGTCATCGTCCCGGTGTCCAGTCATTCCACGGCGACGACCAGAGCTAGTCCGCTTGACCACGTTGCTTTCTTCGAAGGTACCGACCGAGTTGGGAATCACAGATGAAACAATCATTGTGCGTATGGTGCGCTGGCGGTCCTTGAGATCTGGCAATGCCGGGCCACCCCGTCGGTTGATGGATCGCTTTTGGCGGCGCTGTTCTCGAGATATCGATATTTCGGTACGTTCAAGATCGGCCTCATTCAATTCGTAAAGATAAGGAGTGTGCTCTTTGGCGGATTGATATGGTCGGAAGGCGGAAGATACGGGGGTAGGGAGGAAGGAGGTATGTAGGTCGGGGTCCTCGATTGGGCGACCATCGAACGGGTGAGCGACAATGTACAAGGATTTAGTAAATAGTTGAGACTGCTCGCGTATTGAATGTGCGATGGCAGTGGTGAACTCGCCCGAGAGGGACAGGTCGTCCGTCATGCGCATGGCAAACTCTTCGGGTGAGTTATTGGGGTCATTGATATCCCATTCGAATTGGTCGATGAGTGTATGTTGACCGATCGTGATGTTCAGTTTCACTAGAATGCGCATCTCGTCATTTTTATATGCGCTGTAGGGTAGCTGATCATCGAGGGGATCTTCGTGGACAGAAAGGTGCGGGTAATAATCCATCACTTGCTCCTGTATACTTTGAGATATCATCCGCGCTAGAGGGGTCGAGGTCTCCAATGGAAGACCCAGGTCCTCGACCAGTTTCTCAGCAAACAAGTCCGGAGATACAACTCGATCATGGAGGTTCCAGGTGAAGGTATCGCGGATCTTGACCTTGTCCCAGTCAATATCCAACCGAATAGGTACGAGGTCCTCCGTCTGTTCGCTTTGCATCTTTGCATCGCGTCGTGAAACTCGGAGTTCTCGCGTCTTTCGGTTCCCTGGTCGACGTCGGTGGACGGGGTACATAAGTTGAGGATGTTGATTGCGAAGGTCGGTGCGTGGGTTCCCAAATCCCTCGTAGCCCACTCCATACAGGGCAGCCGGGTTCATCTGATTTTCACGTCGTACTGCCAGATAATAGTCGCGCTCTGCCCGCTTATTCTTTTGCAAATCAAGGCCGGGGTTTTGCCAGGCACCTGCTGCGGCGTGTTGAAATTCGCGATCGACATACTGCTCAAGAAGGATCTTATCAAGTGGTGTTTCGCGAGCGCGAACGGGAATGGCACCAGAGACCTCTGTTGATCGTACAGCGGAGCCGTCATGCGATCGATTTTTTGCAGAACTGTTGCCATTCGAACGAGCGGTACCGTTGGAACACTCACTGCCCTCCGAGGGTGCTGGTATCCCTGAAGCAGCCAGCATAGCTTTCGCGCTTTGTTTTCCTTCGGCAATTGTGTCTGGTGCTTGACCGTTCGACTGAGCTCCAAAGTCGATGCTGTCACTTAACTCCCCCGTATCCGATGCGCCAGAGCCGTTCTGAGAACCTGATTGAGGGTCTCTCGGCGATTGCTCAGGCTGCAATGGGCCACCTGTCAGTTCAGGAGATGGCATTGTCGATGGATCAAAAAGCGAATGGGAGCCGAAAATGAACGTGACACTCAACACAACAGAAATAGGTTGAGATCGATTACGATAGCATTATGGTACTAGACCTGAACGTGCGATCAACTCTTGATTAGCATGTGTTCTCAGACAATGAAGTATCGCATCTGCTGCTGTCGCGACCGTGCCACCCGTGTCACCAGTGAGGTTGAACGTGTCGCAACGGGGGAGGTCCGAACATGCCACATTCACCAACTAAGGATGTACCAGTATGCTGGTATGGCATATTGGAGGGCCTGGGGAGCTGAATCGAACATACCAGGGCGGAAGGAGAGCTCGATGTTTGAATGGACCGGCAGTTCCAACGCAGAATCCGCTCCAGTCGGAAGGTCCAGATCAGCTGGCTTTATCACGGACGATGTTCTACCCCTGGTGGTTATTCTATAACCTCGGGGGCGGTTGTGTTTCTTAATGGCAGGGGAGGTGGAAGAGGCAAAGGAGAAGAGGGAGAGTACCCGTTACAAGTGTCCGCACCCGTCAGGATCAGAAAGCAAGGAAGCGCGCTGTTTCACCCACGCCAACAGCCATGGGGGATTGCATATGATAATAGTCTATAGGGGATCTGGAGCTACTCCCAGATGTCCAACAATGGGCTCCTACAAGTCCCAATACCTTCAATACCAATGTTACTGTATTCGCGCTTACCGCACTGGGATGTCATGTGATCGTGTCGTTATGTAATCTATGTCACGTGTCTGCGTTCTCTGTATGGCTTCATGAATGAAACTTACGGAAGAAGCTACTGATTGAAGGATATTCAGCTTATAATTTGTGGCTATTGGCTATTTGAAGAAGACTTGTAGTTTGGAATCTAGGAGAAAGGGCTGTGGCATGGAAATATTGTGGATTATAATTAACCAGGAAAGCTGGAGATACATATATATATATATATATACATGTGGAGGAATAACATTAACGTTAACGTTAGTTATTTACAAAAAATCAACCTGGAATGCTCACCATTTTGTATCTGGCAATTAAAAATCTCAGTTCAAACGAATATTATAAGACATAAAACCCGAGGTTGAGGGAGACAAAAAGGTATTGGAAAGAGCGAAGTGTAGATATCTGTATCCGGCCACATTGAATGGATGTCTTAATACTAAATTTGAAAGAGATTTTTATCTGCAGGCCTGCTGGTTTAATGGTATAATTCACCGTTCGGATTCAGTTCCAGTGTTGGTTACGATACTATCTCGGTGAGGCTCCGCGTTCGATTCGCGGGCAGGCCCTGCTTTTTTATTTTCTACTTCTGACCGACCACCTTGCCGTGGGTGGGAAAGGAAGGAACATGCTGTGTTTTCAATTATTTTGTTGTAGTTCTAATTTTTGCAGTGCCACTTTGATTTAGACAGTAGTAAAGCGAATCAGCAAGAGAGGATATTTTCTATAAATATAGATAGGATGATTAATTAAGTGCTAGCTAGATTGACGTCCCCGGATGGCTCCTGTAGTAAGTAGGAGGAAGGAGGAGGAGGCTATCTATGATAGTAAAAGGCGTGCCCTAGGGAAATAGTTGTATAGTATGCCTATCTATCTATACCTAGTATATATTTCAAAGGAAATTCACCGGAAATACCCCAGGTGGCGGTTTCCACTTCGGCATCAGTAGAGACCGAAACAATCGACCTGCAACAAATGAAACAGGAATAACCAATGGACGTATTTATGATATCATCTGATCCTGGTCTTGCGCTCTGTGACAAAACTATATGATTGGACTTTTATCTGATCTGATTTTTCATCAATTATACCTGTAAGCCCCTCGGACATCGGAAAGCGCGAACGACCGCACTCCGAACACACTATGGATCCAAACCGGCTAATTCTAACACGTCCGAGACGTAACTCCGAGGCAGAAAGATGAAAAAAGACAATCTTTTATATGGATGCCTCTTGTCCCGATAGTCCTTTCCATTCTAAACATTTCCTATTTGATACACATCACGGCCCATCCATTCGACAGAGTGCCAGCACACCTCGATTTGAGTATGGAGAACCATTCCAACCAGCCTGGCGCAATTGCCAGTACACCTGACGAACAAACCGATGTTGAAAGTGCACGCGAACCAGAAGTCAAGGAAAAGCCCACTGACAAAGACCCCAATCTCGTCGAATGGGATGGTCCAGAGGACCCTGAGAACCCGCAGAACTTCACGAAGCTACGCAAATGGGTCATTACATTGACCTTGTCCTCCATGACCATGTGGATCACCTTCGCATCCAGTGTCTTTTCCACAGCAACTCAAGTCACCGCAAAGGAATTCAATGTCTCGGCCGAAGTCATGGTCCTGGGCACCAGTCTGGTTGTCTTTGGCTTCGCACTCGGCCCGTTGTGCTGGGCACCACTGAGTGAACTATACGGCCGTCGTATCCCACTGTTCTCCGGCTATGCCATCTTTGCCATTTTCCAAATCCCCGTGGCCGTGGCCCAAAACCTGGAGACGGTCCTGGTCTGCCGCTTCCTGATTGGCGTCTTTGGCTGTTCACCTCTGGCTGTTGTCGGCGGTGCCATGGCTGATATCTGGAATCCCGTTGACCGTGCAGTGGCCATTGCTCTATTCAGCTCAGCTACGTTCCTCGGACCCGTTCTGGGCCCAATTATGTACGTACAACCCGTCTCCTATTTATTGCTATATCCAGACAACTAACATCATCTCCAGCGGGGGCTTCATCACAGACTCATCCCTAGGCTGGCGCTGGACAGCCTGGATAACCCTAATCGCCTCAGCCTTCTTCGGGCTAATCGCCCTCTTCGTCGTCCCAGAGACCTACGGCCCAGTCCTCCTCCAAAAGCGCGCAGCTCGCCTACGCACCGAAACCCGCAACTGGGCCCTTCACTCCTTCCTTGACGAACACAAGCCAACAATGTCCGACATTGTAACCAAATACCTCCTCCGCCCATTCCAAATGCTCTTCCAAGAACCAATCCTCCTCTTCATAACAATCTACCTCGCCCTAATCTACGGCATCCTCTACCTCTTCTTCGAAGCCTACCCAATCTCCTTCAGCCAAGTCCGCGGCTGGAAGCATGAAGGCGTAGCCGCACTCCCATTCCTAGGTATCCTAGTCGGCGTCGTGCTCGGCGTCTGCCTAATCGTCTACACAACGAAAACCCGCTTCGCCCGCAAACTCGCCAAACACGGCCGTGTCGTTCCCGAGGAACGCCTCCTGCCAATGATGATCGCTTCCTTTCTACTGCCCATCGGTCTATTCTGGTTTGGCTGGACTTCTGATCCTAGCATCTCGTGGGTGCCGCAGGTCATCGCCGGTGTGCCTATTGGCATGGGCATCTTGGTTATTTTCATGCAGGGCTTAAATTATATTATTGATGTCTATATGATGTTTGCGAACTCGGCTATTGCGGCTAATACCCTTGTGCGGTCGACCCTTGGTGGTGCGTTCCCGTTGTTTGCTACGCAGATGTATACCAATCTAGGTGTCGATTGGGCGTCTAGTGTGCTTGGGTTTATTTCTGTTGCTATGATTCCTATTCCTTTCTTGTTCTTCTTTTATGGTGCGAAGATTCGCGCTATGAGCAAGTTTAGCCCCAAGTTCTGATTGGGTTTTGTATGGGGTTTTTGCATTTATTTTTGGGCTTGCAAAGCTTTGGAGTCAGGGTTGACTGTTTTATCTGGCTTTGGTGTTGCATGATTATAGAACTCCCCAACTTACGACAATGGATAGAATTAATTATATTCTTTGAACTGGGCCTCATTGTCCGTAGGTTGGTCGTATAAGCCTTATCCTTAAGCATTACAAAAACAATGGCTGTAGGGTTACAAGACCATCATTATCACCAACTACAAGTACGACAGAAGAATCATTTGAATGTAGATTTTTCTACCTGTATTGGCTATTATGGCACATTGTATGCGGGCAAAAACAAGAAGAAAAAAAATCAGAAAAGAGCATATCTCATTAGCCCAGCGATCAAACCCGCATCTCCACCTTGGCGAAACGATCTATACATAACGAATCCCCGCGCAGAAAGCCAGGCATAGCTGAACCAAGATAAAAAAAATAGGAAACAAGTCATATCACCCCGTAGCAAAGGAACCCATTTAATCGTAGAGGCTGTCATCATTGCCGGCATCGCCGAAGGTATCATTCTCCTGGACCTCGCCGGCGGAGGGAAGCGGAAGAAGCTGCCACCACCGGTGTTCTTAAGGCTCTGGGCGAATGCCTCGTAGCGGCGGATCTCGACGTCGCTGACGGAGCGGCGAGCGGACTTCATGGCCTCCTCGAAGTGGGCGCGAGTCAGCTCGGGCACGGGGTCTTCGACATCCTCCTCGTCAACGTCCATTGAGACATCCTCGCCAGCGGCCTCGCGCTCCTTTACGCGCTCGATGTCGATACTGATGGCCTGCTTGATGGCGAGCTTGACGGCACGCTGTGTCACGAAGCCAAGATCGGCACCGGAGAAGCCGTGGGTCTTGCTGGCGATGAAGGCCATATCGATGTCGTTGGCGACAGGGGTCTTGCGGAGCTGGGCCTTGAGAATACCCTCACGAGAAGCCTGGTCGGGAAGGGGCACGTAGACCAGAGTGTCGAGACGACCGGGACGGACCAGGGCGGCATCAAGCTGCTCGGGACGGTTGGTGGCACCAATGACGAAAACGTTCTTCTTGGAGGTCATACCGTCCATCTCAGTGAGGAGCTGGTTGACGACACGGTCGGAAGCACCACCAGCATCACCGACAGAACCACCACGAGACTTGGCAATAGAGTCAAGCTCGTCAAGGAAGACAACACAAGGAGCAGCGGCACGGGCCTTGTCGAAGATATCACGGATGTTGCTCTCGGACTCACCGAACCACATGCTTAGCAACTCAGGACCCTTGACGGAGATGAAGTTGGCGGCACACTCGTTGGCGACGGCCTTGGCCAACATGGTCTTACCAGTACCGGGGGGACCATAGAAGAGCACACCACGAGAAGGCGAGAGGCCGAACTTCTGGAACATCTCTGGGTGGTCCACGGGATATTGGACACTCTCGATAAGCTCGCGCTTGACTTCCTCGAGACCACCAATGTCGTCCCAGCGGACGTTGGGAACCTCGACGACGGCAACCTCGCGTAGAGCGGAGGGGTTGGAGACACCAAGGGCGTAGCGGAAGTTCTCCATGGTGACACCAAGAGCCTCGAGAACCTCGGCATCAATGGTATCCTCATCCAGGTCAATCAGGTCCATCTTCTCACGGATCTGCTGCATGGCAGCTTCAGAGCAGAGGAGGCAAGATCGGAACCGACGTAACCGTGGGTCTCGGCGGCAATGGTCTCAAGGTCAACATCATCACCAAGCTTCATGTTCTTGGTGTGAATCTGCATAATCTCCAGACGGCCAGTGGGGTCGGGAATGCCAATGTCGACTTCACGATCGAAACGACCGAAACGACGAAGAGCAGGATCAATGGAGTTAGGACGGTTGGTAGCAGCCATGACCACAACGTTGGAGCGGGCCTTCATGCCGTCCATGAGGGTGAGCAGCTGCGAAACAACACGGCGCTCGACCTCACCATTGGTCTTCTCACGCTTTGGAGCAATGGAATCGATTTCATCAATGAAGATGATGGCCGGGGAGTTCTTCTCAGCCTCCTCGAAAGCCTTGCGCAAGTTGGACTCGGATTCACCAGCCATCTTGGACATAATCTCGGGACCGTTGATCAGGAAGAAGAAAGCACCAGTCTCGTTGGCAACGGCACGAGCCATCAGAGTCTTACCGGTACCGGGGGGACCATACATGAGGATACCACGAGGGGGCTTAATACCAATGGACTTGAAGAGTTGGGGGTGGCGCAGAGGCAGCTCGACCAATTCACGGATCTGAGCCATCTGCTTGCGGCAACCACCAATATCATCGTAGCCAACCTCGTTGAGGTTACCCTCCTCATCCTCTCGTTGGATGGGCTCACCCTCGCAGTGAATAATTGTGTCCTGGGCAACAATGCCGTACTCTGGGGGGTCGACCTCCACGACCTTAAACTCGATTTGTCTCATACCACCTCGTACTGTGAACAGGTCACCCTGGCGGACTGGTCGGTATGCCTCACGGAAGTAAGGAGCGAGGTAGACATCGAAGAGGGAGCCGGTCAGACCCTCAATGGTATCGGCAATGGGAAGGACAGCAATGCGCTTGGCCTGTTTGCGAAGACAAAATCAGCATCCAATCAAAGAGAAACCGGTGCATGCTCATCAACTTACATATTTGATATCAGGGCAAGGGTGGACAGTGATGATGTCGCCGTGCTTGACACGGAGGTTGTGGCGCACAACACGGTTGATACGGGCGCTCCCGTCATCAAGATCGTCATCGGCCAGGACGATCAGTACTGTGTCCTTACGCTTCTTACCCTTCACCAGGACTGTGTCTCCACGGAAAAGTTGGAGAGTCTCCATGGTGTTGTTCGAGAGGGCAATCACCGAGTTATCATCGTTAACGGCATCGGTCACACTGAAAACCGTTAGCTCCTTGTCCCGAACACCGTCATCTCGCAATCACTCACATCAACGAGTTGGGCTTCTTCTTCTTCTTGAGAATAGCAGTCGAGGTGTCGAGCTCCTGCGTTTATGTCAGTTCTGAGATGTCTGTAAGCTGTCCAAGAGCACAGTTACCTCCTTCTTCTCGGCGCCAGAGGCGTCCCTGTGGTCAGAGGTTAGCATCAACGACAATCAATACAGTACAGATTCAACATACTGGAGGTTGACCCTCTTCTTGTCGTGTGTGTGATCCGGCTCCGAAGACATGATGGCCGTATCTGAGGTCGTTGACGTGGAAGGAAGCAAGCTTGGGGGAACAGAGGTGTCAAGTGCCCAAAACCAGGCGGATCAAGACACGGAGATTGAAATGGAAGTAAAGGTGAAGACGGAAAGAACGATGCGATGACCGACGGATCAAAATCAGAAAGCGGATCGACGGGGGAAAGATGGAGGGTGCAGGAATGATGATGTTGAGCTTCAGGTCCACGGCGATGATGATTAAGCTCGGCGCTTATGTCATGGATCCTTGTCCGCCACAGCGAAGCAGATGGAAGTCAGTCGATTGGGAGCCTTGGTGCCTGAAAACACAACTACTTCAGCAAAGGTCCTGATACAAAGAACGTTTTCTTACGATGTGAACAGAATCGATCTATAGAAAGAGCTGGTTACGTCCGATCTATATAATTTTCCCCACGAAACTGTTCAAACTACGTAGTGCGTATGTAAGAAGAATCTGCAGACCATCTGCACGATTATCACATATTAAGTCATCAAATATGACTACACACTCAAGCGGCTCTGTGATTTAGAGGATTAACTGCATCTGGAAGGTGATTCCTGTATTCAAATTGAACGGCTGCCTGCCATGTTCCTGTTGAAGCCCTGGTTGAGAGATTATGTAGATCGGCCCACGGTACTTCACAATGTTTAACACATACGCCGGTCTAGGCCCAGGAATCCTATCGAAATGTCGACCGCAGTTGTAATGACAGAACTTTAATGGCCTGGAACAATTGCCCTGGAGGCTCAGGAAATTGCACCTGTATGGTGACTGCGCTAGTGCCCGGATGTTATTGCAGGAGTGCACCCTAATCAGGCAGCCGAACTGAATCGTTGATAAATTGCAGCGTCATAAGAAATCCTGAGAAACCTAAAGCCTGAGAGCTCTTGGATAGTGCAATAGAACAATAAACGTGCTCAGCTCGTTGTCGCGCAACGATCGTTCCCTTTACATTTGTTTACCCAATCCACCCAGATCGATCTATATCCTCCGCATCGAATCGCCAACCACCATCCAACACCGAAATGCGCATTCGCTTCAGAAAAATTCCCGCCTGAGGCCATGGCGTTCGATCCCTCCTACCCAGAAGACTTCAAAAAAGCCCTAAGCAACACAATCTCAGACAAAGAGATTGACCAATTCCTCAAACGCGGCGGCTCCCCTCGCTTCGTTTATGGGGTCTTGATGCTACCAACCGTCCTCAAATACTACATCGATGGAGACCAAGGGGTCAAAATTCACAAGCAAATGACCCAGGCCACATTACCTGGCTATCAACTTTACGAATTCGCGAATTCCAGCGCTCCGGTCATCGCCCGTTCCAACAATCCTCAGGCCAATGTCAAGGGCATGCTGGTTTTCAATCTCAGTGATGAAGAGAGGAACTCAATTTACGAGTTTGAGAGTGGCTTGATGCGGCTTTCGAGTGTGGAGGTGGATATCATTCAGAAGAGTTACCTGGGCAATGTGCATGATATGCGGAGGATCGATGCTGGGGCTTTTGTATGGGATGAAAGCGTGCATCTGACGAGTCCTATGATTGGACTTAAGGTCACGCGTGGTACCAAGTGGGATCTTGTTCCTTACCTTCAAGGTCGGTTCTATCGGGATATCAAAGCGTCACAGTGTCGGGGTGTTCTTGAGAAGAAGGTCATGGAATCTCAGACGGAGCAATCGACTAAGGCTCAAAAAGATGGGCCTACATCTTGTGGTTCTCTCACAATGGCGACAAAGGTGAGTGCGAATGAGCTCATTGACGATGAGGAAGATAGCTCCGAGTACTCGAGTGCCAATAGCGAAATCTTCATGTACTCCCTCGACGAGCGGGAGGCAAACTCCTGATGGATGACGGTCTCTGGAGATGGACTGGGGCTGGATGGCAGGAGCACAGCAAGGATCTGGACCCATGAACAAACTTCACATCTGATATCTCTTAGTTTGTCCCATTTCTGACGAATACAAATGACAATTGCAAACTCTTTTTCTTCAAGACTCTATTGATTCCAAAGCAAATACCAGCATATGCGCTGTGAAATCAGATGAATAATATGTGCAAGTAGTATGGTATAATCAAACAAGGAAAGAAGGGATGAGAGCAACGAGTGGACCAATATCTATGCCTTGGCCGTACCGACCCAGTGGTCATGCAAGCTCCAAGCGCCAGCACCAAAACTTATAAGTCCAGTCAGGCTCTCGGGAATACCGATGCCCTTCTCCAGACACCAGTGAAGACACAAGGGCGCCCAAATAGCGTTGTTAACCAAGCTCTTGCGCCAAGCACGGATCTCCAAGCGCAATGCCTCACTATCCTCCGCTTTGGTCTCCTTGGTGTCAACGGTACCGGCAGCTTCACGCTGCGCAGCGACCCGCCGTCTCCGCAGTACACTCTCGCGCCAGAGCACGAAGAACTGGAAGAAGATATGTCCATACCACCCCCGAGTACTCCAGATATCCCACTTAGCGATGCCACCATATTTATCCACGAAGCGCTTTGAGACAATTCCCTTGCCGGCGAGGTAGGCCACATTCTCGAGGAGCTGGTAGAACACGTTCGAAATGACCTGGAGCACAGTCAGGGCGTGGAGGATTGGGTCTGCGGGCGGGGATCGCAGCGTGTCTGCGCCCCAAATCCATAGCGGAAGAAGGCCGAAGAGCCGGAGATTGTATCTCGTCTCCGAGGCGAGTTTGCAGAGGGCCGCGAACTTCGATTTCGAGGATGCGGGGGTGAGGTTCTTGGGACGCGTGTGGCCTTTTAATCGGGCGAGGAGGCTTAGCCGGGTTTGGAATGCAATCCAGGGGGCCGATGCTGTGAGATGGTGTAGCATGGAGGCCACATAGTTGATTGTCGCGAGGACTCTCTCTTGTCCGTCTGCATTGGAAAGTAGTCTGATGCGGTTAGCGGTGTTCTGAGTGGCTTGGCTGCGCGGTCGTTGTCGTTCGAATAATCAACTGCTCCAATCCATAGGCCGTGTCCGCAAGCCAGGGGACTCCTTACTTGTCTAATCGGCGGATAATCACATCCGTTGATGTCAAGACACCCAGCAGTTGTCGCTTCGCGCATGAGCTCCGCGCCGATGGAGCTTTCCCCACATGGTGCTCGGCCGGCTCAGTTTTCTCGGGCATAGGGGGAATGTGTTCGGGTTCGGCCATATTGAGGATGAGAAAGACCAGCTTCTCTCAGAAAGTACAGAATGCAGAAGTTAAGTTATCTCGGAGTAGTTTGGCGGGTTCCGACATCCGTCGACAGACCTCGGTACTTTCCGCCCGCCCGACGCTTGAAGGGTGGCCTTGCCCTTTGGGCTCAGCTTTGTGTCATAGAGTTGAGTAGAAAATATAATTGAACTGAAGGAGAATCTCTGCCCGATAATGTTTAAAGATTTACTTACTTTTATAGGTTATTGTTGGGAGATTTGACACATAAATAACGCAGTTCTATACTTCGGCTGCACATTCCTTTCACATGGTAGTCGGGTTGGATCTAGTAAGGGTAGCGGCTATCAATATTTGCTGTTAACGTGATATTATTGCTTGCACTCAGAGACATATAAAGCTATAGAATTCCTAGACATTCTTCGGCAATCCAAAATTCCCTTAGCTTTCAGACCGGATTGTGATTTCCGACCGACTTCTAACTTTCCAGTGTGGAGTTGACAATCACACAAATAATCCATAGGTGTTTAAATCTCCGTAGATTGTATATCAATGTAATGTGCAAAATATGGCTTAGTGAAGCAGATTGTTAGATATTAACATTGAGATATTTGCCCACCTTTTGGAAGGACTGGGCGTACATACAGTCTAACTTTCTTTAGAAGTGCCCGTATTTACATTCTTTTTAGGACTTACCAAGGTTCCTCATGTCTTTGAAATAATCTTTCCTCTATATTGCACATAAGACTATCATATATAAATACCTACCAAGTGCAGTATACTTTTATACACAATGGACCTTGCATGTGGGAAGGCTGTATGCAGCCTCCGAATAAGCCCTGACCTTCTCTCAGACTGCCCAGAAAAGCCGGGCATCTGGCCAAGTATTCTTCCATTTCAATGGAGTTGTGAACATAGATGCACAGTGGTAATAAGGAACTGATTTTGCTGAATGAGACACAAATTTTCCAAATGATAATATAGGCCACTTTAGCTTGATAGGTAAAAGAATGGTATACAAAAAGAGAGGCTATCATAGAGCAGTTCTTCTACTTCCGTTTGTAAGGTGAAAACCTCCGGGGCTGTGTAAAATAAGCACAGCGGATCTACTTGAACAGCGAGTTATAAGATTTGTTGGAATCAACAGAGTAAAGCGCTACCGTCAGACACGTCAAAGCATGAGGATAACTATGTATGTCTATAAAGTAGGGCTCGCTAGGTCACGGCGCACTCATAAGATGAACTCCACCAACTCCACAAGAAGATGGAGTTAGGAGATTTAATCAATGGATTGCGAAGTGGATAGTCCCGTTGATTTCGTTGCATTGAAACGGGGAATTCCGCTTTATGTACAATCCAACTCTGAACACATCTCGTATATTAATTCTGACCTGCCACACTTTTTGATCATCGCTCATTCGACTGCCACTATCAAACTACGCTATAGCATCATAACCCGCAAACTATATCAAAACTGTTAGGTTAAGGTTGACTAGAGAAGCTGAGTTATGCTCCCTCAGCACAGGGATAGCTTCTTTACAGACTTTGCCTTGATCACCCTGGTCACAGAGTAGATTGCTGGTAGATATCTTGAATTGCAATTCGATATTAACCAGTAATTATATAAGTTACAACCCTGGAAAGATCAAGCTCTAAGGCCACTTCATACAAAAGCCGGGGAATTGGGCTAGCGTGTCGGAGAAGTCCGACCCGACGAGCTCCAATGGAGGTGGCCGGGTACTGAAGACTGCACATATACTTATTCTTCCCCGAGAATTAGACATAGGAATTGTGAGACTTCACATACGTGTATAGAGAGTGTAAGTGCTTCAATGGTGCCTCGGTTGTCGCCCTCGGCTCTCTCATCTCCCCAACAGCCGGGGAGATTAGGTTGGTGGCTGGGCTCCAAAATAAACAACTCCCTCCCCGTCACTTCCACTTTCCCATCTCATCTCCACTTTGGCTGAAGCTGTGATCATTCACAATTCCAATTCCAAACCGATCTCCTTTATTGACTCTCCCTAGGCGCGCGTTTGACCCGACCTGACCGACCCCAGCCCCTCCCCGATCGCACATCATGTCCGTCAAGTTCCAGGAGGAGACTACCCGCGCCGTCACGGGCGGCAAGTCCGAGGACCTCGCGCACCGTGTCGGTGAGCGATTGACCGGTGGAAAGGGAACAACTGGGTATCTCCAGGTATGCAGCAGCACCCATGAACCCCCCAATAGCCTCCACCGCCACTGACCCCGAGGAATGGATCGACACAGGCCTACCTGCTCCAGCTCCAGAAGAACCCGCTGCGCACGAAGATGCTCACCTCCGGTGTGCTCTCGGGTCTGCAGGAATTGCTGGCCTCATGGATCGCTCACGATGTCGGCAAGCACGGCCACTACTTCAGCTCGCGCATCCCCAAGATGTCGCTGTACGGCATGTTCATCAGCGCGCCGCTCGGCCACGTCCTCATCGGCATTCTTCAGAAGATCTTCGCCGGCCGCACAAGTCTGAAGGCTAAGATCCTTCAGATCCTCGTCAGCAACCTGATTGTACGTATTGAGAGTACCCGACCAGATTGAGGAAGAGATCCCTCTAACGCCGTTCCTCTTTCGCAGATCTCCCCTATCCAGAATGGAGTCTACCTGACCTCCATGGCTGTCATTGCTGGTGCGCGCACCATTCACCAGGTCCGCGCTACCGTCCGTGCCGGTTTCATGCCCGTCATGAAGGTCAGCTGGGTCACCTCGCCCCTGGCTCTCGCCTTTGCTCAGAAGTTCCTCCCCGAGCACACATGGGTGCCATTCTTCAACATTGTCGGATTCTTCATTGGAACCTATGTCAACACCCACACCAAGAAGAAGCGCCTGGAAGCTCTCCGGAAGGTATGTTGAGATTATGTGGAATTGTCGTATAGCCGCTAACAACACTCCCAGCGCTACGACCAGCGCCGCGATCCCCGTGATCCTAGCTACGAAAAGCGCGACTACCCTTAAATGGGACCCAGTTACAACCGATTGTGAACCAGTCGGGGGAAGAGACAGCTGAACACTGCTGAGCTGTTCCCTGCTTGTTTGCAGTTACCTTTTGATCTTTCCTTTGTGCTTAATTCTCTCCGCTGTTGATCTCAATCCATGTATACACCCCCGTGCATCTTGGCATGCCACAGATATCTTCCCCCTGATGTTATTATTCAATCTCATGACGAATGGCTTTATTGTTTCAATTAACCCCATATATACGCTGTTTTCCTCTCAGTTTGGGCCTGCGCTCTACTCTCTTTCCTTTGTAACTTAGGATAGACTATTGAAAGAAAGTACGCTTTTAATATAATCGGGCAACAGGGCCACTATTGCATTCATATCAGCAGAACAGTAAATGATATCCCTGTCATCCTACGCAGAGATAGATGCACAAGCCGAGCAAATGCAATGGAAGAAGAAATAGGTAAGCCAGACGTGACAAGAAAAGCAATCCTGCATCCTCAACATGCCCAACCCATCTCCATCATCCACCCATTAACCACCAAGCCCAGCCAAACACCCCACTCTTAATGCTCTCACTCAACATCCATCTCACTCCCCTTCCTCTTCTCCTTAACCCAATCCACAAAATCATCCAAAGCCCCCGGCCAAGCCCCATCAGGACTCCACCACCCAAACTCCTCATCTTCCCGACTCTTCCGCATAAAAACCTCAACCTGTTCCCACAAATCCTTATTAACAGGTTTCTTACCACGCCCCTCAAGGAACTCAATCCACCAATCCAGCCATGGCGTCGACGCCGTATTCCACTGCACGCCGCCGTGCTCCGGCGTGAAAAATAGCCGCCATTGCTCGGCTGCTATTTCGAATTGCAGGTTGCGTTGCCCTTGCATTCGCGAGAGCGGGAATGAGTATCTGTATACCCGTCTGAAGAGGTCTGGGTCTTGTTGGATCTTTGTGCGGAGGGTGTTGGCGTGGGCGGTCATTTTTGGGAGGGTGTCGCAGCTTTTTGGGTGTTAGAATTGTATTTGTAATTGGATTGCGTTGGTGGTTGATTGGATTGCTTGGTTGGTGGACTTTGACTTACAATGATTTCAGCCAGCCGTCCATGAAACCTTTGCGCGTGATCTCGCCCATTGAAGGACATTGTAGTAATTCCGCGATGGCGAGACAGTTTACTTCGTCTAGTTGGACGTTGATGGCGCCTAGGTATTCCATTGCGCGCTCGATGCCGATGAGATCGGGGTTTTCGGCTGGGTCATCTGGTATACTGTTAGTTTTTGTGCTTTCTTGTGTATGATTCGGGGGAAGATAGAAACCTCGGTAGCTGTCAAAGATCTTGGTGAGGGAGTTGTTGTCGCCTAGTGAGCTAGCTACTGAGCCATTGGAGAAGTATCTAGGTGAAGGTGATTCAGTGTTAGTTTTGGAGACTGTTTGAACATTGTTCATGTATATGTTCGGCTGAGGGGGGTCATTGCTCATGTCGTCATTGGGTCTGAGGCAGCTGGAGCAGATGTTCCACAGATGCCCGAGGATTTGGCATATTCCACAATAGTGCGACATTGACAGTGATAGCCTTGCGGGACAGTATTCAAACAGGTCTTGAGCACAGCAGATAGGTAGCCTGGCAGCTTTGGTATCGACTGGCATGTTGGACCTTATCATGTCCTGCCAGGGGAGATGCATGGATGGGACCTCAGGCTTCACAAAGAAAAGAACAAGCACTTACGAATCAAGCGCAGATGGCAAATTCCATCCACTTGCTTTCAGGTACTGTAGAACCAGGTTAGTCCTCTGATGCACGTGATCGAGCAAAAAGACGAAGGCAGAGAGGCCAGGAGCCGGAGGTGTGACAACAATAATATCATGAACATACCTTGGCTGCAACAGAATCTTTGGCTTCTGTACAATTGACGAACTCAGCAATCTGGTGCTTTTGATTGGAGCTGTAGGGTGGCATGGTGGGGTTGGCAATATTGAGTCTACTGCGTGGGCTTTCGAGATAGGGAGAAGATCGAGCGACCGTGAAATGGGTGGAGGCGGTGGGTATATATCGGCGATGCCTGTTCCCAGCTGTTGGCGAGAAAACAAGATCTTTTGCTGGGGAGAATAGACCAGCGCTATGGAGTCTGCCCGCTTCCCTTTGGATCTGATGGCATTGTGCTGACTCAGCAAACTCGAGACCCCGAAGTCTGACCTCGGGAGATTCTATAGATCCCTGCACCTGGCCAGTGATTGAGCTGTTCCATCCTTATTTGATCTTCTGTTTCTCTGTGTCTAATTCCTCCTCTGATCAGGGATGTCCTAGATCATGTGATAGAAGTTGTCTACCCCACCTTCTCCAACATGTTTCTACTTTCTTCTCTCCGATCAACTTTGGCTTGGAAGTTCCTTATTGGCTTTGCTTTGTTCGTATCATTGTATTTCTTCATTCCAGCATCTAAGTTGTTCGAAGTGCCTAACATGTCGATAACCCATATTGTCCTCTTCCAATTCAAATCAGACGTCGCTGCAGATATCGTCTATGGGGTATGTCTACAAGCATTATGATGCATCGAAGAAGCTTCAGAAGTACATTATTTTTTCAATACAATATTAACACCCATCCAAGGCCTGTCAGCGTATGCTTGCCCTCAGAGACGATTGTCTCCACCCGTCATCACAGAAGCCTTATATAAAAGCGTCGTTGGGCGGGAAGGATAACTCTCCCGAAGGGATACAGGTGAGTTAAATGGACATCTACTAAGAAATAAGAACCTAGGATGAGCTGACTGACTGTTATGATACAGAATGGCATAACACACGCCTTCGTTGTCGAGTTTGCAAATGCCGCAGACCGCGACTACTATGTCAAGCATGATCCTGTCCACCAAGATTTCATCAAAAGTCTTGACGGTGTCATTGAGAAAGCGCAGGTTATTGATTTCACCGACGGAGCCTTTTGAGAATGTCAGTCACTATTATGGGTGACGACATGCCTCCCAGCTTGGTCTAAGGTATCTACGCTGTGGCTGTTGATGATATTGGCCATGTATCAGTACATTCTAGCGCTAATAGACCGTACACTAGCCGTGGATGCCTATAGAATTAACTTTTCTTCGTGTCTTGCTAAAATAAAGAAAGCATCTAGGCTTTTGCCAATATGATCCATGGATGGATATTGATCCACGGGTTCCAACCTTCCTCCTACGCAATAATTTCTCATATCCCTGTCTCTCTTTTTTCACCTTTGTTTCCCCCATTTTCCATCTCATCTACTGTGTACTATATGACCAGGGACCTCCAAAATGGACCAAAGAGATATCATTCCTCCCCATTCGCTTATATCAGGCCTTCCAGATGACTACATCACGACACCCTTCTCAAAACTAGAATACCAGTGTGAAATTGCTGAGGGAATCTCCGAGTCTCTCAACGAAAACAGAGGAGGTAACCAGTGGCTACTTGTTTCCAGTCTTCCAGCACGCATGACCCGAAAGCTAGACGGCGAAGAACGTGACATTCTGGGCCCTCCATACCGCTTCCAGTGGGAAGGATCAACTGGTCTCATCAAAGTGATTCCCCCATCTTTTGGACACGGGGTTATCATAAGCCGATTGGTCATGGCCATGGGCAGAAAGTTCCACCGTATGGGCATCGAGGACAGTGAATACGATTGGGGCGGAAGAACAACCTTCAAGCCTACCAAGAAGGGTAAACAGGCCGACGAGACCTTCTTTCCACAACATCGCCTACCAAGCTCGCTATCCAATCGCTGTGGCTGGCCCACGCTCGTTATCGAAAGAGGCGTATCAGAATCTCTCCGTCGGCTCCGAGAAGAAGCGAAATGGTGGTTTACCCATTCAAAGGGACAAGTGCGCATTGTCATAGTCATCGGAATCTGTGAGACAGAGAAAGCTGTCACTTTTGAAAAATGGCAACTTGCCCCCCAGATGCGCCCCGGCCTTTGACTCGCCAGTACCGCAATGCCCTAGCAAGCTACCTTCCTCCCTCCCTCCAGCAACCAGCAGAGACACAGCAAGCATACTTGGCCCAAAAAGTTTACGTTAGGCCTGGTACTCTCGTTGGAACCCCTATGGTCCTCCCGTTTGCTACGTTGATCGACCGGCCACCAGGACCTAGCGAATACGATGTCATTCTCCATGATAAGGATATTAAGTCCATCACCCGAGATATGATTGGGAACTGTTTGTGTTGTTGAGATTATTTGCACGCGGCCTAATTCAGCTTCTGCTTCGCTGTTCATTGCTCTCTATCAATTTGCGCCACAGATTAATGTTTGCTACCTGTTTCGAAAAATATCCCACCCCAAAGCTCAGTGTACTAATTAGACTAGTCGCGATCAATACGCGTTCAGTGTATCAAAAAAAGAAGTGATTGCCGTCGATTCATGACATTAGAACCAGTGAACAGAGCGTTCGAGCATAGTAAGTACAGTGAACTTTTGTAAGATCAGGCAGATCAAAAGAAACTCCAAAACGCCCAATTGTAGGATATGAACATGCAAGATCCGGTATTGCGTAGGTGCTTAGGTCGTGAACAATGAGTCCTCCTGTTTGATATTAGCTGTTTATTCCCCGAAGTGGTCCATTCAAGGCGAGCTTGACTTACCTCACGGAGATATTCTCCCACATCGGCTGTGAAGAAAGGAAAATGTTAGCATATATAGAACTAGTCTCGAAGATGTGATAATTACCTTGTCTGAACACGACAATACCTGTTGGGTCCAGCTTTTTCGCCTCAGCGGAAGACCGCGCAGTGACACCGAAACCAAGACAGTTGTCGCTATCATCGAACACTAGCACACCGGCGTGCTCTGGCAGATCCTCGGACCATCTGTGAACATGGGCCTTGAGAACGTTTCCTCCGTACAGGTAGGGCATCTGGGATTGTTGTTAGTATGCCGAATGATCACAGTGTAGGAACAAACTTACGACACCGTTGGACTTGATCCAAACCTTATAACGGGCGTGGGGCGAGATCACATCCAGGCAGGTGAGGGCCAGACGGAACTTGCCAGTCTTGGTGACTGTTTAATGGTCAGTATCGAGGACCAAGAAGCAGGTCCGGGGCAATTCCGATTCTGCCTGTGTTCTGTGTTGCGGACTAACATTTTCCAATCATTGTTCCCATAGACAGCAGATTTTCACGGGGGATGGAGACCGAAAGATTTGCGAGCTTCAGGGGCATGTAGAAAACACGGCTTCCCTGGAGACGGAAGACATGTTGTTCGCCGGTAGGTCCCTCTTCGGTGGGGGGTGCGATGAGGTTGTTCAGCGATCGCCCTGTAAGATATGATCATTAGCTTTTGGCCTGCTAGATATAGTCCACAGCATGGCCGAGCAATTGAGTGCGCTCAATCGCAGCAACCTCATATAAGCTGTAACAAAAGGATTTTCTTACCCGTGTAGTGAGCAAGCTTGCTGAATAGCGTTCTCGTTTCTAAATCTTGTCAGTATTGTCCCCAGGGATCGGAATTGAAAACAGCGCATACCTTCTTCAGTCAGTTGACGCATCTTGTCGGACTTTTAATTCCCAGGAAGTTCAACAAGAGAAGAAACAAGACTTATCGGGCTACGATAGGTGCCGTCCAAAGGCGGTAACGGAACGACTTTTTCATTGCGCCAAGCCAAGACTTTACTGCCGCGTGCCTGGGAATTTTTCTTCAAGGCTCCACGATTTTCACCGTCAACCTCCCCACAATTTCAAAATGGCTCGCCCCGAAGTGAAGCGGAGACGTCTGAGTCCTCCCGACGATGTCGAGGATCAATCCTCGCGCTCCAAGGCCGACGACGAGTGGGATGTCGAGCAAGACTACGAACGCCGCCCGCGCAAGACTACCAGGAAAGCCGGCGAACGCACCCGATTGCCGATCAAGACCTCTGAAGGCTTTGTCCAGGCCGAAAACGAGCCTGAGGACCAAGGCGACGAAACCGACAGCTTTTTGGGCACCGATGATGACGAGGACGAGGACGGTTCAGGCGATGAGGACGAGGAGGAATCCGAGGAGGAAAAGCCCAAGATTCCCGTGAAGGTGCAGATCATGCAGGCCAAGGAGGACTTAGCAAAGATGGCGACATTGATCAATGAGGATCCCGAGGAGCACATCTCTCTCTTCAAGACCATGGCCGAGCTAGTGGCAAAGAAGGATTCACCTATTACAGTTAAGAAGCTTGCCCTGGCCTCCCAGGCGGCTGTCTACAAGGATGTCATCCCCGGATACCGCATTCGTCCATTGACCGAGGAGGACACGTCCGGCAAGGTGTCAAAAGAGGTACGCAAGCTCCGCGATTTCGAACAAGGGCTCGTCTCTGGATATCGTGCCTATGTCCAAAAGCTGGGTGCTCTTGCGAAGCCCTCCAAGGCGGATGGTCCAACCGATGCTGGCCTGAAGTCTGTTGCAATCAGCTGCGCATGCAGTATGCTCCTGGCCGTTCCTCATTTCAACTTCCGCGGGGAGCTGGTCAAGATTCTGGTCAACCGCCTTGCACGGAGACAGGTTGATGCCGACTATGTCAAGTGCCGTGATACCCTCGAAGAAATCTTCGCCAAGGATAACGATGGCACTGTCTCTCTTGAAGCGGTTCGCCTGCTTGCAAAGATGATGAAGGCCAGAGACTTCCACATTCACGAGTCTCTTCTAGACACATTCCTCCACCTTCGTCTGCTGGGCGAGCTCCACATGAAGGCTTCGCAAGACCGCGTGGACAAGGAGGAAGAAGAACCCGCCTTCGGAAAGAAGAAGCAGAAGCGCGAGTTCCGCACAAAGCGCGAGCGCAAGGTGCAGAAGGAACGGAAGGAGGTTGAGAAGGATATGCGACAAGCAGATGCAGTGGTCTCAACCGAACAAAGAGACAAGAACCAGGCCGAAACACTTAAGCTCGTCTTCGGTCTCTACTTCCGTATCCTCAAGCTCCGTCATCCCACCCTGATGGGCCCTGTGCTGGAAGGTCTGGCCAAATACGCCCACCTGATCAACCAAGATTTCTTCGGTGACCTGCTGGAGGCATTAAAAGACCTAATCTCACACGCCGAGCGTGAAGAAATGGGTGTAGAAGGCGACGAAAACGCAGTCCAACAGGAGGAAGAAGAAGACGGAGAGAGCAACATCTCAATCGCAGAAAACACCGCCCGCGACGCCCGCCGCCGAACCCTCCTCTGCACAGTGACAGCCTTCGCCCTGCTCCAAGGCCAAGACGCCAGCAAAGCAGCCTCAGCCCTCCACCTCGACCTAAGCTTCTTCGTCAAGCACCTCTACCGCTCCCTCTACTCCCTCTCCATGAACCCAGATGTTGAGTTCAACCCCGAGAAGGCCCTCCGCCTCCCAGACCCCAACTCCGCATCGGAAAACCAACTCGCCCAATCCCGCTCCAAGAACAAGGTCAACTTCCAGACGCCAATGGTCCTCCTCCTCCGCTGTCTCCAGCCAACGCTGTTGTCCCGCGCGCATGGAAACCCACCCCCGGTCCGTCTTGCCAGTTTCTCCAAGCGTCTTATGACGACTTCGCTTCAGTTGCCCGAGAAGTCGGCGCTTGCTACGCTAGCGCTTATGAATCAGGTTTCGAAACACCATGGTCGGCGTATCTCGTCACTATGGCATACTGAGGAGCGGAAGGGTGATGGTGTTTTCAATGCCTTTGCTACGGATGTTGAGGCTACCAATGTTTATGCTGGATCTGTGTGGGAGGGTGAGTTGTTGCGTGTGCATTATTGTCCACAGGTGCGTGAGGCGGCTATAGAGATTGAGAAGATGATGTCTTCTTCGAAGTAAATCCTGTTTTTTGTGCATAGTATTACATGTTACTTATACTCCGAAATTTATGGTGCAAGATTTGAAGGTACTCAACCAAGTTCATTCCACAACTAGCCCCGCGGTCCCCCTTAAAAGTGTTTTCCGAGGAGTATTATGACAATATTTCGAGGACTTTCATGGGTACAGACGCAATGACAGTTGTGTCAAAGACCAATGAATGAAATGGAAGAGAGTCAAGTAAAGGCCGGAAGATCTCTGGATTTATGATCATGAATATACGGACTACAAGTTCCGGCTTTAGCAAAGGAGAAGTGTCTACATAGTAATTACACTACAACGGGAGTTAAAGGCACCAGATTGATAGAGCTTTGATTGCATCCTAAAAATTCACTAACCCATGTAATGGTATCATCAGCAATCAAGGCGAGGGAAATGACTGAGAACTGATTGTTGCTCCAATGGGTATCATTCAGGTCATATTCTTCATCTCACACTCCCTCTCTTCTCTTCTTACTCCCGCACACTCTTTCACTCTTTCTCTTTTCAGCGCAAACCATTAGAGGCCGAGGTTTCAGAGTCACCCCGGCAATTTCGGGACGATGCCAATGGTGGCACGAGAGCCATCTTCTTGCGGCACACAGAGGTTAATGGCGTGGGGAGAGTGATCTTTAGGCTCGAGAGAAGAGGCGAAAAGGACCGCAAAAAGAAGGCACACAGAGGCACGAGTGATAACAATCGTTCTGATGATGACAACGATAGAACGAGATGATTATGGATGATCTCAATGGAAGAACCAATAGAACAACGGTGAAGAGGAAAGGAAAAGGAATTGAACGGAAACAAAAGCGAGTGTGCGTTAGGCGGCCATGGATGTCTTGTCAACACGTACGCGTTTCTATCACACGTCTCTATCATTTCCTAATGGCGAAGGAGCGAAGGGGCCCAATGGGGACTGACAAGGCGTTCCATGGTGGTTGTGCACCGTTGAGCATCGGGAGGACGTCTATTCTATCTCCGTTGTCTAGTTCACTGATCATAGAATACGCTCATTGCTATATGGCATTGAGCACCTATTGCAGAAGACGTATTTAAAGAAGTCATTGTTCATTAAGTTCATAGGTATCATTAGATACACACTGGATAAAGAAAGCAAGACGGCACCTCATCTTCGAAGATCTATCAAGGGCCCTTGACATGCCAACCAAACCCAACATGAAAGACAACAAAAGGAAATCATTAGCCATAAGAAAACACAAAAAATCAGACAAAGAGGCAAAGGAAAATCGTCAACAGGTAAAGAAGCGCAGATAATACAGGGGAATAATGCGGTGGGACATTTTTTTTGGTGAGGGGGTTTGCTTATAATCGACGCGGTGTTCCGTATGCGAGTATACTTCGGTTAGGGCCACGCCAACACGTGACACCCCCTTCATAGAGTGTTTTTGAGCCAAAAGTAGGCAAGAATGGGGACTGCAATGACTGCCAACCAAAACAAAGGCCTGGTGAATCAATTGTCAGTATTGCGAATAGACCTTCACATGTCCTGTCTATCCCATTCTTTCCAAAAGTCGAACCAAGGAAATGAATTTATCAACGGGGATACAGGGAGATGGTATGATCATTCTAGTTGGAGGACTTTCCACGACGGAAAGGAGAGAAAATGGCCCCAAAGAAGCCCACAAAGACAGAGCGCAGGATGGCCTTGAGCCAGCTGTCAGGTGCATTATTCAGAGAAACAGCAGTCACTGACCGGTTCTGGCTCGCTGGGCGAGCATCATCATCGTTGTTCTTAGGTGCAAGGGCATCGGAAGGCTTGGAGGAAGACTCGGAGGTCTCCTGGGTAGGCTCAGCAGCGGGCTGCGCTGTCTTGTCAGCGGAAGCCGCGGTCAGCTGGTCAGTGGAGGGCTGGTTGAGCTTGTTGAGCAGGGCATCGCGGTCACCAGCGAGAGCTGCAAGAATGGGATCAGTTTCGAACGACATGACAGAGGGTTGCTGCGAAAGATAGAACGGTGTTGGCTTACCGTCTTGGGGCTGGGCGTTGGCGGCGGGAACCTCGGGCTGGTTGTCAGTCTCGACGGTTGGCCCCTTGCTTGCCTCAGCGGTCTGAGTATCCTTCTGGTCGTTTGCGGGGGACTCCTCATGGGAAAGAGCAGCCACACCGACGGCAGCGACACCTGCAGCAGCGGCGGCAGCGGCAGCACCGCCAAGGATCTCGGAAGTAAGGGCGTCATCCTTGGCATCTCCCTGTTGGGCCTCCTCAACGGGAGTCTCAACAGGAGCTGCAGCCTCGGGCTCAGCCTCCTTCACGTCAACGGGCTCAGGGACAGTCTCGATGGCAGCTGGGCCAGGCGCAGCAGCTTCCTCGAGCTTGCTCTCTTCCTTGACAGGCTCAGCCTCAGCTGGGACTTCTGCCTCTGTTTTGCCAGCCTCCTCGGGGGTAGACTCCTCGATCTTGGTGGGCTCAGGAACAGTCTCGGGGGCAGCTGCGCCAGGCGCAGCAGCTTCCTCGAGCTTAGCCTCCTCCTGGGCAGCTTCTGGCTCTTGAGCGGGCTCAACAGCGGCGGCCTCCTTCACCTCTTCGACCCTCTCGACGGCGGGAGCTTCAGTTGCAGGTTCCTCGACAGCTGGGACAGTCTCGGGAACCACCTCCTCGACAACGGGCTCAGCGACGGGCTCAGCGACGGGCTCAGCGACGGGCTCAGCGACGGGCTCAGCGACGGGCTCAACGACGGACTCAACGACGGGCTCAGCGTCGGGCTCAGCGACGGGCTCAGCAGCGGTCTCAGCGACGGGCTCAGCGACGGGCTCAGCGACGGGCTCAGCGACGGGCTCAACGACGGGCTCAACGACGGGCTCAACGACGGGCTCAACGACGGACTCAACGACGGGCTCAGCGTCGGGCTCAGCGACGGGCTCAGCAGCGGTCTCAGCAGCGGTCTCAGCGGTGGCCTCAGCGTCGGCCACAGTATCGGAGATAGTCTCAGCGACAGGCTCAGGAACGGTAGCAACGTCAGCAATCTCCTTATCAGCGACAGGCTCAGAAGCCTCCTCGGAGGCAGCAGCCGCACCAACAGCAGCAATGCCAGCAGTGGCAGCAGCAGCGCCAACAGCCACCTCTTCCTCGGCAGTGGAAGGCTCGGCATCCTTGGAGGCGGTTTCTTCAACAGGGGCTGGAACATCCTCAACTTCCTTCTCCTCGACCTTCTTCTCAGGAATGTCAGCGGTCTCAGCGGCGACTTCAACGGGAGTCTCAACAGCAGGAGTTTCCTCAACAGCCAGATTCTCAACAGCGGGAACCTCAGCAACAGGCTCCGGGACCGCAGTCTCAGCAATTGGCTCCTCGACGGCCTTCTCGGCAACGGGCTCTTCGACGGTAGGCTCAGTCACTTCCTCGGTCCTGGCGACTTCCTCGGTGTTCTCCTCCACGACCTCAACAGCGGGAGCCTGAGTCTCTTCGGTGGCAGGGACGACAGTCTCGACGACGTTGGCCTCAACAGGGGTGGCCTCGGGGGCCGTTTCCTTGGGAGCTTCAGAGATAGGCTCTTCGACAGCTGGGACCTCTTCGGTGGTCTTCTCAGCGGTCTCTTGGACAGGCTCGGCCTCAGTAGTTTTCTCGACCTTCTCTTCGGCGACAGCAGCGGGAGCAGCCTCCTCGGTGGTCTCAGTGGCGACTTCGGGAGTGGCCTCGGTGGCAGGGGTTTCGACAGCAGGAGTCTCAGTGGTTTCCTCATTGGCGGGAGCAGTAGCAGGCTCCTCGACAGCGGGCTTCACCTCAATAGATTCCTCAGCAACCTGCTCAGCCTGCTCGGCAACGGGCTCGACAGCCTCAACCCCCTTGACTGGCTCAGCAATCGACTCCTCAGTGACGGGCTGCTCAACGGGAGCTTCCTCAGTCACATCCTTGGTGACAGTCTCGGTGGGCTCAGAAACGACCTCCTTAGTAGCAGGCTCCTCAGCAATGGCCTCAGCAGACTCGACAGTCTTCTCGGTCACAGCCTCGACAGCAGGTTCCTGAACAGACTCTTCGACCACGGTATCCTTGACAGGCTCAGCAACCTCCTCGGTCTGCTTAGGCTCCTCGGCGACAGTCTCAGCGACTTCGGGGACGACCTCGGCGGCCTTGGGCTCTTCAGTCGATTCAGTAGCAGGCAGGGTCTCCTCAGTGGCAGGTTCGGTGATGGCCTTCTCCTCGGCGGTGATGTCAGTGACATCGACAGGCTTGGTCTCCTCGACAGGGGCTTCAGGCTCCTCAGTGTTTTCGGGAGCGGCCTCGGTAGGCTTGGTCTCTTCGAGAACGGCCTCGACAGCGGGCTTCTCTTCAGTGACGGGCTCTTCGGTAGGCTCTGTAACGGCCTCGACCTTTGGTTCTTCGGTCAATTGGGCGACAGGCTCAGCGACGAGACCGGCAACCTCTTCAGTAGCCTTAGTCTCCTCCACGGGGACCTCAGCAGTAGGCTCAGCAACTTCCTCAGTAACAGGCTCGGCAGGGGCAGGAGTCTCTTCGGTAGCCCTCGGTTCCTCCACGGGGGCCTCGGGGGCAGCCTTCTCCTCGGTGACGGGCTCGGGAGCCTCCTCGACCGCCTTCGATTCTTCGGCGGCCGATTCAGTAGCAGGCTTCTCCTCGGCTACAGGCTCAGCAGCGGGAGCGGCAACCTCTTCGGTGGCCTTGGCTTCCTCCACGGGGGCTTCAGTAGACTCGGGAACCTCAGCAGCCTTCGGCTCTTCGGCAGGCTTAGACTCCTCAATGGGAGCTTCAGCGGTGGGTTCCTCAGTCACTGGGGCGGTGGCCTCCGCGACCTTGTCCACGGGCTTAGATTCTTCAACAGCTGACTCGGTAGCCACCTCGGGCGTGCCCTCCTCTGCGGCGGGGGCCTCAGGTTGGGGCTCGGCCTCTTTGGGAGCTTCGACAGGTGCGGACTCTTTGACTGCGGGCTCTGCAGATTGAGTCTCGGGGATGGTCTCCTCGGCCTTCTCGGCGGGAGTCTCTTCTGTGGTCTCTTCGGGTTCGGCAGCGACTGGTGCAGCCTCCTTGGGCTTGGCCTCTTCGGCAATAGCTTCGATGGACTTCTCCTCGGTGACAGCAGGGGCCTCCGCGGTGTCGATAGACTCTTCCTTTGCAGGAATGTTGGCGGTCTCAGTCTCGGGAGCCGCGTCCTTCTCTGAGGTCACAGCAGGAGCTGCCTCTTCAGTGATGGGTGCTGTGGGCTCCTTGACCTCCTCCTTTTCGTCGGCTTTAACCTCAGCTCCGGCATTGGTGTTAGTCTCAACTTTCTCGGCCTTTTCGGCTGAAGGTTCAGGCTCGGTGTCTGCTTCCTTCTCGGCAGTCTCGGTCTCAACCAATGTCGCAGTAGAGTCGGCAATCTTATCTTGAGCTTCAGAAACCACAGGCTCTTCAAGGGGAGCTTTGGTGACCTCTGTTGACTCGGTCACTTCGGGTGCGGTGATGGTAGCAGATTTTTCATTTGTGACAATTGAATCGGGAATGGAGTCCACGGCAGGCTCTTTGGGCAGGACATCGCTGTCGGCACGGAAAAGGAGCTGCTGAACGGTCGCCATGGTACTTTTGGGTCGTCAAAATCGTAAGTCGTAAAAAATGGTCAAGGTGGGTATCAGGGTTTTTTCACAATTTGACCAGCAAAGGATTAAGTATCGCTGTACAGAAAACAACACAAGCTCACAGAGCAGAGTAGGATATCAGAGATGAATGCGGGAGAGGGATCAGAGGGCAGAAAAAAAAAAACCTCAGACCCAACGACCCAAGAGTTACGAGCATCTGATCTCTAAGTGGGGGGTTGTCACAGTGACCATTTCCCTTCTGTACACACACTATTCTCGTCTCCACTGACTGGCGCCCAATGGATAGCACAACTTTTGGGCTTTCATCTCCACCCAATATGCGGTGAAGCTACCGAGGTACTTTCTTGCTACCAAAGCGCATCCTGTGCTACGAGAAGAACGAGAAGAGATGTGCGACATGAATGTATAGGTACACAGGTCCTGTACTATACTCCTTACGGCGGTCGCACACCAGCTGAACGTTCAATAGCTACAGAGAAAGAAAATTTCGTGATGCGCTAACGTGGTGACCCATTATTGATAGACATGCACCAATAACATCATATTGCCTGCAAGGTGTTCTTATCCACCTGTCATCTTGCCTGAGTCATTGCAGATCCATGCATATCCAAATGCATGTGAGTGGGAAAAAGAAAAGGGCCAATATATGCATGCAAACCTCCAACAAAGAAATATTCGGTGTCCCACTCGGCCCATCGTTCGGGTCAGGGCCATGGCATGACACACGCGGAACTCCACGGATCAAATTCGGCATCGGTTTTTGGTTATTTTAATTAGGTATTTCGGCCCACTTCCAACGTCATTTATTTACAATCAGCTCGTGCTCTATACGAAGTCTATGTCTACACAAAGTTTTGTTGCCTGAAAAAGCTTGGACGGTTGGGTACCGACCGCGTGCCTGACATTGAGGATTTCTTGCAGCCACACGCGCGTTGACTTGTTTCTTTGTTCCTGGAGACTACCTTGCACAATTGGACCTTAAATGCGTGATTCGAGCTTGGACATAGCTTTGTTGACCCCCTGTTCTGTTCTGCAGTGGTGGGATGCATGGTCGGTCGGGGATTCGGCTTCCCGAGACTATGCAGAAGGGGTTCTGGGATATCTTGGGGTTTCATAAGGACTGACCCCACACATCATGTACCGGCTTTCTCGGATGCTTCGAGTTAATGGGTTGACTTGAGGGAGCCGGTTGTTGCTGCCGAGAACTGGTACTGGAGATAGTAGATCCTCGGGTCGGTAGTTGACGGCGACACATCCAACGTTAGCTCTAGTTCTAGGTCAATAGTAAACTTCGCTGTAGCACGTCTCCTATCATTTTAGGTGACTTGTCATTGCTGTGCATGTGTCTAAGCTTGTATGAGAAGAATGAGAGACTACATTCACATATAAGGCGTAGCCAAAACGTTGTGATTTCCTATCTGCAAAATTTAAACATACATAATGCTACTCTAATATCCGGTAAAAAGGGGAATTAACACGAAGAAATAGTTATCATTGCTGCGCAAATCTAGGAGTCGATTCTAAATCACATTCCTAAATAGATACACATATGACTCCCTATGCAGGCAAGTAAAATACTGCATCTCTCGACTTTAAAAACAGATAAAAGACCTAATTCCATCTCTGATACCAATGCACCGACTCAAGCGTCAAACTTATACTTCTCCTCCCGTTCCTAAACAAAAGTCAGCTTATATCTCAAACAACCAAGAACGAAAACATACCCAATACTTATTAAACCCAACACCCTCACAAACCTGATCATAAGTAAGGATCATCGGCGGAGCTCCAACAAGCATACTCTGCTTAAGACCATCCAAAGCAGACCGCACACTCTTAAGATGAGCAGCAACCAGTGTCCAGGGGTATGCAACAGCACTATACCCAAGTCCAGCAAGATCCTTAGCAGAAATGTTCTCTGTCTTTCCACCTTCAATGATATTACCGAAAATGGGAATATCAATTTCCTCCGCGCATCGCTTCATCGCATCTCGATCTGGCAGTGCCTCGACGAAAATAGCATCAACGCCAATACGCTTGAACTCTCGTGCACGCGCCATGGCTTCTTCCCAGCCATGCATCAAGGCGTCAGTACGGGCAAGGATGAAAATATCCTTTCCTTCGTTGCGGGCATCGCAGGCAGCTTGAATTCGGGCGAATGCTTCGCCGCGAGAAACGACGTTCTTCCCCTTTGTGTGACCACAGCCTGGTCAAATACCCGCTGTTAGCAAAGAACCATCCCTCAAAAAGATAAACTCAACCAAGTATCCAGGATACTCACGTTTCGGCCACTGCTGATCCTCAATCATAACACCCGCCGCACCAGCATTCGCAAAGCTCTCAACTGTCCTCTTAACATTCATCGGACTCCCGTACCCGGTATCACCATCCGCCATAACGGGCAACGAAACCTGGCGGACGACATCGCGGATCGTGTCGCACATCTCGGCCATGGCGATGTATCCCGTGTCAGGAAGACCATAGGAGCTGGCGACGGCATAGCCTGCGAGGAAGACCATGGGAAAGCCTGCTTCTTCGACGAGACGGGAGGAAAGTCCGTCGTAGGTGCAGGCGTGTGCGAGAATCTTGGTTGGGTCGTTGTGGGCCTCCAGCATCATTGTTCTCAGGCGAGATGTTTGAATGGAGGGGATCTTTCCTCGGACATTTTTCAATGTTAGAGTTACGTCTGCCGTCTTTCCATCTGTGGATCCGGTTGTTGTCTCTGCGAGAGAGTCGAAGTGGAAGGGGTAGGGGACGGTGCTGGAAGACATTGTGAACGTTTGTTTTCTTGGATTGATAGAGTATTGGAGTAGAAATTGGGATTGGATTGAGGTTTTTGACTGCTTTTAAATCGTTTAAATGCGATATCGGAGGCTTTCGTCTGCGAGTTGGTTGCTTTACATCAGAGCGGGAATTTGACGGATATTGGCAACTATCCGCTATCCGAATGATGATCTGCCAAGCCCTTTTCCCCCCAGCAAAGATGCATTCAGATTGGCTAGCAAATAACCCGGGGAAACTCAATAGTTTCTCCAGATTTACTCTGCCGTGTATGCTGAACACCCGTCATTTTGCGGGGAACCTGTACATGCAGCAGTCTTGCCTCTATCCGCTCTCTTCCCCACGGGGTATGGAAGTCTATGAGTACCGAAGTGTAACATATGCGTTTTCATTGGACCGGCTGGATATGATGTGTTCACCAAGTGCCGCGCATTGACCAGCAAGGGATGGACATATTTCAACCTGGGGTTGCCCCTGCCATGACTGCTCTTGATATTAGCAATCATTTCAGCTTTTTATCGTCTTCAATATATTATATACAGTGAAAGATGACAGAAAAGAATCAACCCGAGCAGTGCCCAAGCTCTCAACATGTGGAGTCTCCTGACCCAGAGAAACACCAGCCCGAGGTGGTGATCCCTCAAGAGCGCCAGTCGGCCATTCGCAGAAAGGTTCATCAGTCCTTCGTCACCATATATCTGACGTGTACTTACTATTAACCAGTTTGACCGCCGTGTCTTGCCAATCGTATGCATTCTATACATTCTATCATACTTGGATCGAGGTAAGCATTCCTACACTCACCCATCTAACCCACTATCTCATCAATAACCAGGAAACATCGGCAATGCAAAGACTGCCGGACTTGACAAAGATCTTAATCTCAGTAGCCACCAATGGTCTTGGGTCCTGTATGCCTTCTATATATCCTACATCATGTTCGAGTGGACTACGGTCCTATGGAAGATCCTTCCAGCACACTCCTACATTTCCGTTCTCTGCATCTGGTAAGTCTCCACTTCCAACCATACTTTTGTCTCAATTGCTAAGCATCGTCTGTTTAGCTGGGGTGCAGCTGCAATGTGTAGTGGTGCAGTCAACACTTTCGCTCAGCTCCTCGCAACTCGGTCGTTATTGGGTGTCTTCGAAGCTGTCTTTGGCTGTGGTGCACCATACTTCCTCTCTTTGTTCTACCAAAGACAAGAACTAGGGCTCCGGGTATCACTACTTCTTGGCATGTCCCCAGTTGCCAACTGTTTCGCTTCTGCTCTTGCCTATGGCATTACCCAAATCAAGGGATCTATCGAGCCATGGCGCTACCTATTTATCATTGGTGAGGATACAATCCCCCATCTACTCTCATCTGTCCTCAACACTAACTGAAATCAGAGGGCGCACCAACAGTCCTGTTCTCAGTGGTAGTATTCTTCTTTCTACCCGACTCACCAGGCTCAGCATCCTTCCTAAACGAAAGACAACAAACAGAAGCAGTAGAGCGCCTCCAAGCATTTGACACAACAGCAAAAAACAAAGTCCGCTGGTCCCAAGTCCTAAGCGGACTATCAGACTACAAAAACTACATCCACATGTCCATCCACTTCTGCTGCAACTACTCCTTCGCAGGTCTCTCAAATTTCCTGCCCACAATCATCCAGCACATGGGATATACATCCATCAACGCCCAAGGCCTAGCAGCACCACCCTACCTCGCCTCCTTCCTTTGCTGCGTAGCAGCCGCCTTCCTCTCAGATAGGTGGGGAAACCGAGGAATCCTAATATCAATCTTCGCATCAATTGCGACAATCGGGTATCTCCTCCTCACGTGCGTGCAAGATGAAACAAAGACTGCAGCAAGGTACGCGGGTATTTGGTTAGCGACTTGTGGGATCTTCCCTGCTCTTGCGCTGAATGTGACTTGGATGTTGAACAACCAGGGTGGGGAGAGTAAGAAAGGCGCTGGGATGGCTCTTCTTGCTGTTTTCGGACAGTGTTCTAGTTTGATTAGTAGTTCTGTGTTTCCGAATTCCGATGCGCCGCTTTATACGATGGGGTGTGCGATTGGGTCTGCTTTTACTGGGTTGATTGCTGTCTTGGCTATGGGGTTGACTCTTAAGTTGACTTTGGAGAATCGGAGACGCGATCGGGTGTATGGGGTTGTCGGTGCGGATGAGAGGGTTGATGTTACTGAAGGGGGGATAATCATCCCAAGTTTAGGTATTTGACGTGAGGGAGTTTTGACGGGTTATCTATGTGTGAGCTAGCTACTTGTGTATTATTTGTTGACTGTCATATGCCAACGAAATTGAAATCAAATGGGGCTCACAGGGTTTAATTTGGTTGTCATAATATACTACACTTTCATGGAGGTAATTGCCACAAGAAATCCAAATCCAAATCGACACCATCCAACCGAACCCCAAAATCACCTTCCGCAGACCCAAACGGCGCCATAGAAGGATCCAAAGGCAAAGATAGCCAGTCATTCATAGTAACATCAGAGAAACCCCTCAGATCCATAGCCGACATATTTCCAAACGAATCAGGAGAAAGAAGATCATTCCCGATCCCGGAGTACGAAGAGACCAAACTTTCTCGCAGACGCGTGACCTGCACCTGCAAAAGAGCCGCATAGCGGGATTTCAAATGCACATCGTCTTGATTGCTATCCTGCAGTGTGGCGATGGTCCGGTCGAGGATCTGGAGTGCTTCCTGCAGTTTTGAATTGCGTACTCCTAAAGCCAGGGCTTTCATTAGGAATATTGACGCGCTTATTGTTCGGAAGAGTATTCTCATTGGTGAGAAGTGTAAGGATTCCCCTAGGAGAGTTATCTTGTCGAGGGTTTGGCAGCAGCCGTCTATTACTTCTTCGATGAAGCCGTATTCTCTTGCTGTCATGTTTAGCTGTCTTGCGCGTTCGATGAAAGAGTAGTCAATGACTGAATCCCTTCGTGATCGTGGCTGGGTTTGGTTTTGGAGGACTCGTTGGACGATCCTTTGCATTCCGATGGAGTTCGTGAGGATGCGTAGATGTTGATATTCGATAAATAGGGTATCAGTGAAGGGAAAGCTCGAGTCTATCTAGAGTCAGTGATATGGTTTAGTTATGGCATGTTTATCTCATACCTGAGATATTGAGATATCTTTGTTGCCAACTCGCCAACAGAACTTGTTTCCGCTCCAACACAGGGATGAATGTATCCGATGATCCAGTCAAACTAGAAACATTCATGAGTGGGAAGAGAGTATCCGTGACCGAGCTGGTCAATTTCATAAGTTCAATCCAGGCATTCATAAACAATAACCAGTCTCTATCAATAGACTGCAAAGATGTTCGCGTTTCCGGCATTGAGATCCCGACATCAGATGGCATTGGCGAGGTGCAACCAATCCGTGAAGATAAAGCATTGATGAACGTGAATAGTAGGCTCGGCAACCTTTGTCGCCGCACCTCGAGGTATTCAAGATATCGTTCAGCATCAAGACCAACCAGATCATCTTGCCTGGCGAGTCGAGCAGTCGAGTCGAACACTCCGAGCTCATGTGCAAGAGCCAAGGCTGAGTTGAGGACCATCCAGGACATACGTTCAAACCGCTTCGTGGGTTCAACGACATCTTCCCGCCATCTGGAAGATACTGGGATATCTTCATTTAAAGAAGGCGGATCTCTGATGTCCTGGTGTGTCATGAGGAAGTCTGAATCCCATCCATCCGTCTCCGGTGGAAACTGTAATGCTCGTGGATGCCATTCAGACATGAGCAGTAATGCTTCAACGCTTCCTATAGTGCGTGTTTTTGCTTTCGAGATTTTCTCCTGTCCGAGAGTAATCCGAAGAAGCAAGTGTTGGCAATGTTGCCATAAGCGATGATGAATGAAGAATGAGCGAGAATATCCGCCCACTCCAGGAAGAGTGTGATATCGAGAGGAGATCATGAGTATAGTGTAGCAGAGCATTGGTTCCTGGGTTACTAGATAGTATTGATTTTTATGGGCGGCAAAAAAGTCTGTGAGGACAGGTGATAAGGGTGCCATATTTTCGAAGAACCTGGACACGTCAATATAACACCCCAAGCCACTGATAAGAGATACAACATACAGGTCCATAAAAGTCATAGCCTCCTGGGCAGAGAACCATCCCATTTTCACGAATCGACATGCATTCCAAACGCGGAGGACATCGGCATCAGTCAGCTCGGGAGCAATCGATTGTGAATTATCTGTCGTCGACATGTTATGAGAGGGATTGTTCGATTCCTGAAGTGCAGCCTCGAACAAAATATTCATTGCATCGTTGTTATTCGAAACCACTGTCTGCAGTACTGATGTGGAAAGACCATCTTGGTTGGGAGACGTATCCAAATGAGAATCTGCAAGGTGTGTCTTGGTTAGCTGTTATTCCTTCCACAATTTGCAGAAAACACTTGCCGTTGATTTCATTGATTTCTTCTTCGGTTCTTCGGGTAGTTCTCCGTGATCTATACAGGTTAACCCCTTTCATCCCTCAGAATCAAGGCAAACACACTTATTAGACCTGTCTCTTTCTGTATTTTCCCGGGGCGGTGTCTCGGGGGAATCCTTTTGGTCTCTTGACCAGGGTTTCTTCGAAGTAAAGGTGCAATTGATATTCTTCTTGATGCATCTGCGACACCTCACATTGTCGCCAGCCTCGCACTTTACTTTGCGTCGCGCACATGGAATGCAAGCCTTGTATGTCCGCTGATACTCATATTCAAGAGATCTCCTCCCTCTTCCCTTTGCGCGGTCCATGAGTGCTATGCCGGGGCAGTGATGCAAATCTCGAGGAGCGGAGAAGGCGGGAATTTGAGGGAATACCCGCGTTCGGGTATTTCAATCTCGTACCCCTCATTAAGAAGAGACAGACTCATTGGCTGCATATCCTCACATCCGGATTCAATTCTTTTTCCAGATATAGTATGGATTACTGAGCTAATTCTAAATCCCTCTATAATCATGTCTGTGGCCATATAAGGGACAATGCTGTCGATTTCCACACAGACCTCATTGGCCTTGGATTGATGGGGCCATCCAATAATCATGCAATTAGGACGGGTAATTTATATATACAACAAAAGAGCCACAGCTAGCTCAGATCTCGAAGCAGATTATCCAACGTGCCTCGGGCCTTCTTGATATCAGGTGCTTCGTCTTCCCAGTAAGTCAAGGCCTCGAGTGTCCGGCTCAAGTGACTTCGAAGGCCCCCAGGATGAATATTGGGAAGACTGACATTCCCACTTCTTGCCAATGCGATAAATATCAGCGAGGCAGTCACCAAAGCCCGAAGATCAAACCAAATGCCATGATGTCGATGGCGAAGGCATCGCGCTTGGAGGATTTTGTTGCTGCAGTCTAATCCGGATTCCACGAGACCTTGGACTATACCAAATTCATCATTGGTAAGCGGGGATGTAATATTATCCGTAACTGTGGATGTGGCGCTCATAGGGTGATGCACTGCAAAGAATAGGAATGGCTGGTAAAGCCATAGGCGTATTTCAAGGAACCGATTGCTGAGCGCCCAGCTTAGTTCCCTGGATATTGAATCTTGAATATCTGTCGTATACCTCTGTCCAGTATTGCTTAGGGTCGGGTCACTTTCATAGGATTGCATTGCTGGCGGCAGATTCGCGAACCACGCATTGATCTGAGACTCGAACTCGAGCGCTATCGGAATCAATGGCTTAATGTTTGACCACGTTGAAGGTGCTTCTCGGTAAAAGGCATTCAGGACTCGATTTCCAATGCGTCTCAATGCCACCTCCGTAAGGTAGTAGTACCAGCTTTGCTCCTCATTGAATAGCTTTGAGACATGATTATAGACCCCCGCTCAGGCAGGCCAGCCGGATCATCATGCGGTGATTGATGTGTGTTCTCAGAATCAGCCCAATCAGATGCCTGATCTCTGCGCCTCGGATATTCCTCTGATAGGGTTGGAGGTGTGGGGAAGAGGGCTGGGTACTCGTATTCAGCTATGGCAGATTGTGGCAGCGGGAGCTCCACGCGAATCTCGACCTCTGACTTGAAGCATGACCAATATAGACTTTGCTCGAGGCGCTGAGCAACAGCCGCTCCTGGTTGCTCTGCTTCGTATACTGATTTGTCAAGTCCGTCAATCATTCGCAGGCGTAGTCGGTAAAATGTAGAGGCTTGGTAGAAATGGTTCCAAGCGGACAATGGGCGGAATGTGTACATCAGATATACTGAACAGAAGAGAACAGAAGTTAGGAATATGCACCTTATCGAAATCAAATATTTCTTTCGACATACCTCCAGCAAAAAAGTGACACTGGGCTCCGATAACCGAGTACCGCAAGAGACCGATCCTCCTACAAGCCATCATAAAGAAAGCCTCGCCTTCTCGCAATTGTGTGCCAGAACTGGAATTGAATCCCGGTGCTCGCCATCCCATCCCGTCATGAAGAGACCTCGCAGTTTGAGGAAATTGGATGGAAGTGGTGAATGGTTGCGAGATACAACCCAACGCACAAGCCAAGAGCACAAGGCAAGACTGAGCATCCCACTGAAGACCGAACTCAGCCGCATGTCTCCCGGACCGAATAAGCGATTTTAAATCCAAGATCGGGTTCTTGGTGTGAACATTCTGAATAAAGCGATCCACCAGTGTTGGAATCTGCTCATCTGGTGTATACTGAAGTCCATCTGGCAGGGTCCATGACTCAGTTGGTCTATCTTCAGATGCCCCATGCGAATAATGAAAAAGTGTCGTGATGAGAGAGCTCTCTCGGAATTGACCTTGGAAGATGGGCCAGGTTAGCACCGTGTCAGCGCTACATCGGCCTGCTGGAATCCGCAAGTAGTCTCTTTGCCACTCTGCTGCTCTGATAGGGACACTTCCCCGGCGGTCCTGGGTCTCTATCTCTGGAGGCCGACTAGTCTGTGGAGTATCTATTGCGGGTCAGTATGTTGTATTCTGCAGTGCATGGGCTTCACCTACCCTTAGAGCTGAGCATGTTCTGCATGTTATCAACTGCTTGTGATAATGTGTCCAGTCTTTCTAAAACTTGTTTCATTTCTCTGTTGCCATTGCTTAGTATGATTTCGAATGGGAGTCATATCTCAAGGATGGGAACATACTGCTTGCAACCATCATCCCCACGAGTGACATATACACACTCGGTTTCATTGGCACAACAAAACCCGCAGGCCGGCTGAGCATTGTCACAGCGGACCTTGCGCCGGCGACATGCTTGACAAGCTGGCTTTCGACGAACCGACCCTCTTTTGACTCTCTTGGATGGTGGGTGGTCTCCTCCCTGGCCATCGGATCCTGATGAGTGTGGTTCAAGGTCCGGATCCATTCTTTTTGTAGTGGTGATGTAGAAAGCAAATCAAGGGTCAAAGAAGATATGCGTCTGTTCTACCCCGGGAAAGCGGTAGTTCCCCAGAAATCCCGAGGACCCACCAATCACAAGTAGTGAAAAATCTGGATGCATCACGTGATTTCCCCATCTAAGAGCCTTTCTCGGTTGTTTTACTGTGTTGAGTTATTTGAGAGCATTTTACATTATATCTGTGCCTGTAGCTATTGGGGAACTCGTGTTGGGCATTGTGGTCATTGCTTCTAAATGGATACCTACAAACAGTCCATACACTCTCATGGGAACGACGCTGAATATAACTACAAAAGCACAATTCAAATATAAAAGAATAGAATAAATAAAGTCATATAAGAAAACTCCAAAAAGCACAAGCCTAGGAATCGCAGGTCACATTGTCCACAATGGCTCGATACTCTCGTTGCCTCACACACTGATCCAAGAAGACCTGATATTTAGCCCTAAGTAGAGCCTTTTCATGTTTGTCCTCAGTAGGGTAGAACGCCTTACCGGACTGGCTCATTTCATCAATCACGTCCCACAAATCGACTGTCTTGCCATCGGCATCCATAGTGGCTGCTTTGACACCCAGCATTGCAGCACCATGACAAACAGCCGCATGGATGTATCTTGGAACCACGACAGGCATGTTACAAGCTGACGCAATTAGACTGACCAAAATATCATTCTGGCATTGTGATCCCGACATGAAAATGTGACCAATATGGTGGCCCGAGTCATTCATCGTGTCGACGATCTGTTTTGTTTGCAATGCGATGAACTCCAGGGTGCCGTAATAATGGATGGCGAGGCTATCGATAGAGATATCACTTGATAGACCGACCAAAGATCCTCTCATTTTCGAGTCTGCTAGTGGTGACCGGTTTCCGAACAGGTCTCCGTAGAAGAAGAAGTGCCGTGCTAGATCAGCCACACAATGCACGCCTTTCTCGACTGCTAGCTGGTAGAGACGGGTATTGAGAAACTCGAATATGTTTACTCCGGCACTCTTAGCACTGGCCAGTGCCTGCTTAGATGCTGGGTGCGTATCAAGAACATGCTTGAGCAACTGACCAGTGGCAGACTGGCCTCCTTCAGCCATCCAACAATCCGAGAAGATCGTGTCTCTGTACGGGCCCCAGACCCCAGGGACAAAGACAGGCTCTGGCGACATAGCGATATGGCACGACGATGTTCCAGCGACCACAGCCAAACGGGAGAATGCTTCAACCCTCCCACTCAACGCCGAGTCCGGGTTTACGTTTGGTGTTGGGTGCTGTTTCATCTCAACCTTAGCACCAACTGTGCCAATCCATCCAGCGTATGCGTCGATAACACCGCTTCCGATCGCAATACCCGGGAGAAGACCCAGTTCACAAGCAGCTTTCTCGCATAGCGTGCCGGCAAGGTCACCTGCGTTCAAGTGTTGACCGGTCTGAAAGTATGTATTAGTTTGTCTGCCCTAACATCGAGAAACTCTGAGTACTGCGAATAATCATACTCACCTCACCGTTAACACCTCCAATACGATCAAACCCATTATCAGCAAGCTCCCCTAGCCCAATCTCCTGCAGAAAGTCCTCCTGCCAGCCTTTCTCACTTCCTTCAACGCCCTTAGGTAGATATCCCTGTTTGCAAACCATACTAGAGAAGCCACGTGCCTCTCCGCCCGTCGCGATATGCGTGAGAGCATCGACAAGGTCATAGAATTTCGATTTCGCAAAGGTCTCCTCGGGCATATGGTTTTTCAACCAGAGTATCTTGGGAATCTCCATCTCAAGGGACATCTTTCCACCGACGTAGCGCAGAACTTTGTGACCAGTGGCATTGATGGTATCCGTCTCCTTCGACGCACGGTGGTCTAGCCAGAGAATGACATTGCGTTCAGTGTTGAAGTCGGGGGCAGTGATAGAGACGGGGTCGTCGGTTTCCGTTGAGAAAAGGCATAGTGAGCATGTTGCGTCGAATCCGATACCGTGGACTTGCGACGCAGGTGTTTGGTGTTCGTCGAGGGCTCGGCGGACTACCAGACAGATGCATCGCCAGATATCGGAGGTTGATTGCTCCTATATTTACTTCATGTGTTAGCGCCAAATTCGGAAGCGAAGGGAGAAGAACTGTTCCTGTTTTTGGAGTTGGTGCATACATAATAGTCCAGCTCTGGCTGCCAAAGACCGATATTTTCGGAGGCGACGCTGACGATCTCGCCAGTATGGTCAATCAGACAGGCTCGCGCGCTGCCTGTTCCCACATCTATTCCAATGTAGTAGCCGGTCTTGACTTGCATCGTGACAAAGCGGTCCGGGAGGTAGTTGGGTAGTACAGAAAAAATTGACAACAAGACTAAGGGGGTATGGATAGTACCTGGAACCTTCTCGAGTTATATATGGGACCAGGTTATGCCCTGAATGGGGTAATTTCACTGAAAATTATAAACGAAAATCGCAAATCAGCCTGTAAGCAACGTACTGTGAAGATAGGTGAATTATGTATACTCTGCGGGCGTTTCGCCGTTTTCCCCGGGGATCCACAGGTGGACGGCTTGTGGGTGGATCTAGAACGAATGCAAGCATACTCGAGGACTTTCTTTGTTAGAAAAGGCCCTTATGGGGATTTGTGTTGCATTATAGGCCACATGAATCAAATATAGAGATGCACTAGGGGTATCATCTGAAGTTTTTCTCCTGAATAGGGCTACTGTATTCTGTGATCACAACCCTGAGCAGCCTGATCGCTCACCCCAATGCCCAGGCCGACCGGCCCAGTCGATCTCATCCTACCTCTCCGTTCTTTAACATGATCCGATAAGAACCGCACTGCTGCCCACTCGTGCTCCTAGGAGCGGAGCTAGGAAATGACGTATTCTCGCGGTGCTATAGTAACTTTTGACTCAGCCTTCAAACTCTCAGCTGATCGACTCAACCACCCTTTCAAGTAGTGTGGGATATTAGATATCTCACCATTCACTCTTTCCCTCACAATGCAGGCTCTATCCCGCTGTCCATCCAATGGGCTCTAACAGAAATGCCCTCATTACCTTCGATTCTCTATGTCCGGGGCTGGCTCGATCCTAGGAACATCAAACACTACCACCATTACGCAAGTATTCTCATGTCCCCTACTATAGGCCTCGACTAGATCGATACGCCTTGCTACGTAAAGTGCAAAGTGGAGATATTAACTTCGGCCCGAGTATAAATCCGGAAAAGAAGTCCCTATATAAGATAGTCTATATCATACTAATGTTCCTAGGAACGCTTGCTCTAGTCGATCCACTACGAGATAGAACCGGGTTTTAATTGGCTAGAGCAAAAGGTCGAGAAGCTACGCTAATAATATATATAGTCTTATCACTATACTACATCAGTTATTAAACCGAAAACTTTGCCGATCTTCTTACATTTCGCTTTATAGTGCGACGGGCGTGAAGAGATAATAACGCCTAGAATATAAAAAGCCCAAGGATCCCTTTCGTACGGCTTTTTTTCCTATATCCTATTAACTCCAATCTCGCTATCTGCCACTTTAATGTCAGGACCCCGACCTGCCAGGTGCCTGAAGGCTGCCTGAAGATATACAGCGAGTCTTGGCCCTCGCATTGCGAGGGTAGCTGATCGCATGCATAGACCAGGACGGCCGTGTATGTCGCTAAATACATTAGCTAATCGCACCATATATTTAGTCCATGCCCTGGTGGAATGCCGTGCGGTGTTGAAAAGCCAATCATAGATCCCATGATGTATTAGCCGGCAGGAAGTATCTTTGATAGTGAGCTTAGCGTCTGTTATGAGTTTTTTTTTACTGTTCTCTGTCTTCCTTACGTTGCCTGCTCTATGGCTTGCTCGTCCGTGCTGAAGTGGAGGGGGGAGGATGTGAATGTGAACTGGCGGAGGTGTGCTGCTGGTGCGACCTCGGGAGTCTTGTTCCTTGGTGCTGTCGTGGCTGTGGATTGGTTGCCCGGGGGGCTGTGGGGGGGTCGTATGAGGGTCGGAATGGAGCAGCAAGCCTATGGTTTTTAGGGGCGCTCGCAGCTTTGCAAGTAACTCGTATGCGGCCTCTTTATCCATTGCCGCTCTAATGCGGGCCAACGCCTTATCGCGCACGATGGCTTTCCATGATCGGGTGTTCACCAGGGCATTTTCAGTGCGCTCGTGCCCTCGGGGAAAAGGCGGAAGGGGATGTGATTGTGGACGCAACTCCGAGTGCTTAGCTCTTGTATTCGTTACAGACAGAATCACCTAGCGTTACTAGTGCCCAATGGCGGAAACTCCGAATTCTTTCTTTGCAACTGTACTTTGCAAAATAACACGTCACCTGACATCCCTAGTAATTGAAGGCAGGCGCTCATTCAGCTGGCTGAGCCGCAGCTTCCCTCCAGCACAATCTTGCATCAGTGAATGCTATGATGATGGCCACATCCACTGCTTTTAATGCGACAAACCATGGCCTCCAGATTGGAAACAATTCCGGTTCCATCACAGCAGAATTCCATGTGGCGCGGGGTAATTTCCATGCGATTTCTAGTTAAATTAAGGGAGGCTAAACGCTGTTTCTAGCGTACACCACCGAAGACATCGATCGAATCTGTCTCCATGCTCTGCGCTGCCCGGACTCCCTGGCTGTGAAGAATCGCCTGAAAGAGAGCAAGGACAGGTTGGTTCACCAGTCCATCCAGTGGATTCTTGAAGATCCGCAGTACAAAGGTTGGGAAAATGGGGACGACGTCGGCCTGCTTTGGATCAAGGGAGGCGCTGGGAAAGGGAAGACCATGTTGTCAATCGGTCTGATCGAGCAGCTCGCTCGGGCGCAGGATGAATCCACAGTGGTTATTTATTCTTTCTGCCAGAATGCCGACTACGAGCTCAATACACTGGAAGCCATTCTCAAGGGGTTGATTCTGCAGCTGGCGAATCAGCAAACGGAGCTGAAAGAATCGCTCCGTCGCCGGTGGGACACCATACAGGAGTCTTTCAGCGAGGATGTAACCTCGTGGCAATCGTTATGGAACGTTCTTTTCGAGATGTTGGCCCGCTGCAAGTACTCTAGGGTATATATGGTTGTTGACGCGCTTGATGAATGTCAGGATGACGACGTGGTTGACTTTCTCAAATCCATCGTGCGAAAGGGACTGGATCATCCCGGTAAGGTCAAGTGGATGTTGACAAGCCGACCATGGGACGGCGCAGAGCGGGTATTATTAGCTGGTCAGGACCAGGTGCAAATTAATCTGGATGGTGAACACAATTCCCAATCTGTTTCTGGGGCTGTGGAGGCTTATATCACTTCTAAAGTGGAGGAGCTTAGCCGCCAGCACAAATATGGAGCGACCCTGAAGAGCGAAATAGAGACTGAGCTTACTGAAAGATCGGAAGGTACCTTCCTATGGGTAAGCCTGGTATGCAAGGCGCTCGAGAGTGTCTGCCGAGATGACGCTCTGTCCACAGTTCAAAGCTTGCCGCCGGGTTTGCATCCGTTTTATGATCGGGTATTGAACCAGCTCAACGAAGGCGAACTGGCTGAAGTACAGAAGTGTATGCGACTGCTCAAGGCCATGATGACGGTATACCGGCCTTTGAAAGTGGAGGAAGTCGCTAGTGTGATCGGCCTAACCCATGAAGAGGACACCATTAGAGCATTGGTCGATTGCTGTGCTTCATTCATCCGGTTGCGCGAAGACAACATCGAGTTTGTTCATCAGTCAGCGCGAGACTACTTGGCCGGAGAGAATGGGCTGTCTATACTCGACTCTCATGGACGCTTCGGACATGAAGAAATTGCCCTCGCTTGTCTGTCCTATTTATCTGAATATCTCAAGCCCAACCTTGTCGACCTGCCACGGCCCGATGCCACGAGAGACTCTTTAGAAGCTTTGGAAAATGGACCGAAGAATGGCATACTGGCTCGCGTGGAATATGCAGCTATGTTCTGGGTGTCACATCTAAAGAACACAAGCAACGACAGCGACAAGAGCCAAGTTAGCGTATTTCTACACACAAAGTTGTTGGAATGGCTAGAATGCCTAAGTCTGTTGGACAGGCTACCAAAGGCCATTGACGCGTTGAGAGCACTGGAAGAAATATTGAAAGTGGGTTCTTAGTGTTTTCTCTGACGTCTACGTCTTTACTAATTAAGTTGACAAAGGATGACTGTCAAGCTTTAGCATTCGTGCAGGATGCTATGCGTTTTTTATTGCGACATTACCACACTTTATCGCACTGGCCACTACAAATCTACAGCTCTGGCATCATTTTCAGTCCTGAATCAAGTGTTGTAAAAGGAGAAAACCTTCACAAAATTCCTGTATGGCTGGGAAGAGCTCCTCCCATGGAGGACAGTTGGACGCCTATGATACAGGCACTAGCAGGCCACTTGGAAACTGTCAGTATTATTACCTTTTCACCTGACGGCAAACAGATAGCATCAGGCTCTGAGGATGGCATAATTAAGCTCTGGGATACTGTTACAGGTAGCCTCCAGCAAACGCTATCTGGTCACTCAAAGCAGACCACAGCTATGGCTTTCCTACCAGATAGCAAGCTGATTATGTCAGGCGCTTATGATGGCTCTGTCATGCTATGGGATACCACCACAGGCGACCGTCAGGACTGCTTCCGCTTGCAGTCACCAGAAGAGCGCGATCCTGGGCCCCCTAGCCCCAACGCCCTGGCTTTCTCGGCGGATTGCAGGCAAATCGCAGCAACCGGTGTTTATCATGATAATGGATTTATCATGCTTTTTGACGCGGCTACTGGAGACCTCCAGAAGATACTTACAGACTATTCAGACACACCCTTAGCTCTGGCCTTCTCACCAGACGACATGCAGCTTGTATCAAGCTCTTATGACGGCACAGTCAGGCTCTGGGATACTACCACAGGTGACCTTCAGAAAACACTAGTCGGCCACACAGGCAGGGTTTGGACTGTGGCCTTTTCACCAGATGGCAAGCAGATTGTATCAGCCTGTTATAACATTATCAATCTTTGGAATGCTGCAACAGGTGATCTCCAAAAGACACTGGCATACCCTTACGCCCGGAGGGTGGCCTTCTCACCCGACAGTAAACAGATCGCAGCATGCTTTACTAATTGCATGATCTTCTGGGATGCTGCAGGCAATATTCAAAAGACGCTAGCATGCCAGTCAGACACAGTTATGTCCATGGCCTTCTCACCAAACGGCAAGCAGATCGTTACAGGCTCTACTGATACCACTATCAGGCGTTGGGATATTACCATAGGTGCCACCCAGAATGTCGTAGGCCACTCAGGGAGGGTTGTAACAGTGGCAATCTCACCAGACGGCAAGGTGATTGCATCAGGCTCCACTGACAACACTATTAAGCTTTGGGATGCCGCAACGGGCGATCTCCAGAAAACACTAGCTGGCCATCAAAACACAGTCTTTGCTGTGGTCTTTTCACCAGACAACAGGCAGATCGCCTCGTGCTCTGACGAAGCAGTCAACCTCTGGGATGCTGCCACAGGTGACCTGCAGAACTCACTTGAGAGCGACGACAATTTCAGCACTGTCGCCTTCTCACCCGACAGCAAGCTGATTGCGACAGGCCATGAGCATGGCAAAATTAGTCTCTGGGATCCTGCCACAGGTGACCTCAAGAAGACACTGGCAGGCCACATAAACAAATTTGCGTCCCTGACGGGGTTGGACGACGTGTTCGAAACCCAAGTCACCACTTTGACCTTCTCACCTGATGGCAAGCTAATTGCATCAGCCTCCGAAGATAAAACAATTAAGCTTTGGGATGCTGAAACGGGAGACCTCCAGAAGACACTAGAATGCAATTTCGAGAGCATCATTACGGCGGTCTCGGTGGCCCTTACGACAGGGGGCCATGCAGACACAACAATCATCACAGTGGCCTTTTCATCAGACAGCCAGCAGATCGCAGCAGTCTGTGATGATCAGACCATCAAGGTCTGGAACATCAAAAAATCGCTCAAAGCCTCGAAATTTCTGGGGCGCGCTGTCAGTAGTCATATCAAGTCGTCCCGGCCATGGAAGGAGATTAAGACGTCAGAGCAGGTGTATGGCGTAGAATTCGCAGCAGGCAACCGATACCTTGAAACAGTCATTGGACCAATATCACTTGAGAGCACTGCGTCGGAGGAAGGGGAGGAGGAACTGTCAGTGAGGTCGGATTCGGATTTATTACAGAACCTCTATGTCAGAGTAGAGTGGATATACTATGGAACCATGCCCTTCCTTCGGCTATTGCCTGATTTCCAGGTTTGTTGTTTTGATGCGCACGGCGATCAAGTGGTTGTTGGATTCAGCAACGGTCTAGTTTCAAGCTTCGACATTGATCGACGGAGTTTACATCAATACTGGAAACACTTCAGCTATGACGGTAATCGCCCAACAGCGGGTTAGTTACCTGGCTGGAAGTCGGAGTGGGGACGGAGTTAACCAGGCAGCTTCTCTTGACCGTTGAAGATTCAGTCTCTGTCAGGGTTAGGTCAGATGCGGTTTATCAACATTGGTAGGCCTGTTTGTATGTCGTTCCTTTTTGTAGCAGCTGTGGGGAGTTTATATCAATCGATTTCTCTCGATCATTTGACTGCGATTCTCGAACCGGTTTCCTCTTTCTAAGTTGCTTTCCGTCTTATATGGACACCAGGAATACTATATGCATTTGTAGGGTTATGATGGTAGATGAGAATTGAAATCAATATTAATATGCACGAGAGGTACATGGAATGCTCGTGCTGTGGGTTCTCTGTAGCCTGCCAGGCTTCCGATTATCTGTGCCATGTGCCATGGCGACGTATTTAGTCTACACTTCGCGAGACTCTCTGTCTGTGTAATAGACAACAGCTAGGACGGGAGGGATCACCCGATTTAGCAGAAAGAATCAAATTGAATTTAGCAATCAAGGGCCTCTTGGATAGAAAGATACCCAAGCTGAACCTTGAAGGACCAAGGACTGGTGAGTTCCAGTGCCCAGATATATATACATATTGAGATCTACCCAGGAGTAACCCATTGACGTCTCATAGTATCTCAGATACCGGGATTGATATCAGTCACGCCGTCAGCTTAAAAGATACTCCGGAGCCTGAGACGTAGAAAGGAGGTTTGCAATACAGTCCTTTCTCCTTCCCCAGTATTTAAACTTGGCACCCGATATATGGTTCCATGATCCAGTGGCTGCTCTGTCCAAGCCTAACCGTCAAACCCCAATAGGGGTAGAGGATTACTTGATCAGTGCCGTCTTCGACCTTTTCGCATCTAACAGAGTGGACCACAATGACGTTCAGTTTCCAAATATGTGTATATTTCTCGAAAAATATACCACTCATCGTGACATGGAGGCAGTCGCTGGGCCATGTATTGCTAATGATGATCTACCAGCAAAACTAGAGACAGGTTATTTCACCTGAGAGTGATAATCCCAGGTATATTCCTATCCAAGATGCTTTTTGAGAGTTCAAGATGGAATTTCACTTTCAGTGATTACCAGTCTTGCAAAAGCCCAGTCAGATATTACATTCACTATTCATTCTTCGGCCGTATACTACAGAGGTAACTAGGAACCGCCAAAGCGAACACCACTAATCTTGCCGGAATTGTTCCCTATCTGAAAGCCCGAGTTAGGTCCCGAAAACACCACACTGTTGGTGTAGGTGGTGGTGGATTGAATGACTTTGACAACCGTGTCACTCAGCAGCTTGTCCTGGCCAGCAGCGACCTCCTTCAGTAGCGAAAGAGCGCCCTCGTTCGCGTTCAACCCGGACACCTCTTCTTCACACAGCTTGCGCTGTTCTTCCTGAATTCCCGGGAAAAGATCGACCAAGCCGTCCACCAATTCGCTGATGTCCTCGATCAGCCGGGCGAAATTCTTCTCCTCGTATAGAATAGTCACTTGGTCCTGCTCCAACTCGGACTTTCCCTGCCGCTTCTTAGCGAGATATTCCATTTTCTGGTGCAGTGAGGCTGAGACGCCGTCTAGTTCTTCGGCGGGGTCCAGCACTTTCAAGGTGGGATTGCGTCGTCGCAATCGCTTCGACGCCGCCTCAGCTTCCGCAAAGAGCTCCAGAATCTGAGCCAGAAAATCCTGGACCTGCTCTTGATCTTCGGGAGCGAGATTCGTCATCTGGAGCTGTTTCACATCGCCGTCGTCCACATTCGCCAGTCCAACCGACTGACCCCACCGAGTCAGCCGGAGCCTTACGACGTCCAGTTTCAGCAAACTGGTTTGGAAGCTCTGCCCGAAATTAGACCCCATTTGGATATACTCGAAACTTTGCACCGCGTCGTTGAAAAGTCGAGATTGCTCGTCCAGCATCTTGAGCATGGCATCCTGTTTCAGTTCCAGCGCCTGAGTTTGTTCGATGATCGTCCCCGTGTCGGACTTGATGGCCTCCATTTGTCCATCGATTACAGTGACCTGTGCTACGAGGAACTCGACGTTTCCGTTCATGCTTTGGACGATGTCGTCTAGGATCTCGACGGTTCGTAGCGTGGCTAGGCCAACGGCTTGCGTCAGCTCGTTCACGGCCTCCTCCATTTCCTGGATGGCACCAGAAAGAGCCCCATCCGATCCATCGATCAAACTGGAAAACCACTTTTCTGAATGAGAGAATCAATCTTAATTAACACCGCTGTAATATAAAAAAAAAAAAAAAAACAGAAGAGAGAGAGCGCGATCAAGGAAAAGCAGCTCACTGAATCTTTTCTTCTCGGCATATTCCTGCGCCACGGAACAAATGGTCAGCATGCCTGAGAAGACCCGCGCAACGCATCGCTGGAACGGCGCTTGCTGGGGAGTTTTATTCTCGATCATGGAGAGCCGGTCGAAGAAGCGATGCGTGAAGTCGAAAAACCCCATGATCTTGTCGTAGTCGGCGGATACCGAGGCAAAAGACTTAGGGCGTTATCAGAAATCAAAATCGTCCTTTTGTTATCAACAGGAGTCTCGTACCTGCATGACCTGTCCAAAGGCCGTGAAAATCAAGCTGGCTGGCATTGCGGGGGGAAAGCCTGTTAACCATCATCAGCATCAGCATCAATATTAACAGCATCAATATCATCCGCATTAATATCAACAGCATCAACATCAACAGCATACACGCTATTATAATTCCATGTAAGAGAACATACCGATGCAGCATTCCCAACCACCTCGATCGTATTAACGACCTTCTGAATCAGCCATAAATTATTCTTCAATGCAGTCCGCACATTGTCTATTTTCGATCGGTCATGCCGGAAATCCTTAAACTCGTTCGACAAGCCTTCCGTGCCCTTCATTATTTGGTCGATGTCGCTGAACTGGGCCAGGTGGAGAGACTTCTTGGTCCTTTTCTCATAGTCCTCGACTGCTCGTTGCCAGAGTTGAGCGATGTCGGACGCCTGTGCGGCGTCGAGTTTCCCCTGGGTAGCCATGTTGGCGCAAGCGTGAAAGACGAATGCTGGAGCGAGATTGAAGGAGTGAGGGAGGTATGTGAATGATGTTGTTTGGACTTGGACACAGGAAAGCCAATATTCAATGAGCCAGCATAGTCCAGCGCCTCATCTGCTATACAGGGAAGCAGAGCTGGGCTGAGAGATCCGGATGTCAAGTCCGCAACTAAACTTGCCAACCAATCGAGAGCCAACAGCTGTAACTCTTGGTCCCAGGCTCCCAGCTGCATTTACCCCTCCAACTCCCCTTGGTCTCTGAACAGTGAAAAATACCGCGTTCCCACGCCGTCCCAGTTCGGAGAACAATAGCATTTTACACACAAATGTATTATCCCATTCTAAGAGACTACGGCATACTCAACTTCCTAACTGACCCTTTATGACTATGTCAAACGGGATCGCGCTAGCTGCTCGGGACCGATACAGCACCCCCGCCCCAGGCTGTGCGACTAGCGTGGCTGCCCATTTAGCCAGCCGCAATCCGGTAGCAATTGATAGGCGAGATCTCATAGAAAGGACACCTCGCCTCCCACTTATACGAGACGGGATATTAACGAGCTTATTTTAGCCAAATAGCATGACTGCCCTTTTTGCCTCTTTGAACGTTCTGCATGGACTTGACGCACGGGGAGTCGGGGAGGGCCGAGGCTTCAGCCAGCACATCCATGTAGGTGAATAGCTCAGCGCAAAAGTATGACCAGGCGTGGTGCTTCAGCCGCTGTGTGTAATTTTCGTAATGAGGAAATACAGGCTAGGCTTGCCCGTAGACTAATAAACAAGTAGGAAGCAGATCTCAAGGTGAATCTTTCGTCTGGTTGTGAATTTTCCACGCTTCTACCTTGGTCGTATGTCGTCCCCCCTCTGCCAGTCACCCCTTCTGCATTGTATAGTCAATAACCCTTAAGAGTCGCAAAGGATCATCAATTGCTTGCTTGCTTGCTATATATCCTAGCTAGCTTTCCTTCCCACTGCATCCACCTTCAAAATGTCTATCAGAGCGGTTAGGGAACCGGCCAACGCCAAAGTTGAGTAAGATCGCCCCGATCTCTTTCTCTCCCAATCTCTTTCTCTCCCAATCTCTTTCTCTAGCCCAGCCCATCCCATTCTAAATCAACGTACTTACCCAAAAACACCCGATAGTATTGTGTTTGTCCATGGCTTGCACGGCGACCAAGCACCGTGGACATCCGAGGCGGATGTCTTCTGGCCTGAAAAGCTCCTCCCGGGTAAAATCTCCGACGCATGTATCCTGTCGTTCGAGTATGAAGCGGCTATTGGTCCTTTTTTTGACGAGGACGACGAAATCACCGACATTTCCAACGACCTGATCAACGAGCTGATGGACCATCGAACTGAGAAAGAAAAGGTTTTCTTCCCAGCTCCGCTCTACTCTCTACCAGTGCCTCTTGATCCAGCTGGTTGACGAAGCAAAACAGGAAGAAAGACCGATTATTTTCGTTGCACATTGTCTCGGTGGCGTTGTTTTAGAGAATGTACGTTACCCTCGCTGTCCATGGGAAACCCCACTAACGTAGGACATTCTCATGTCTAGGCCCTAGTCCGAGCCGCCGAACATCCCAGGAAAAGAGAGCTCATTGGCTATATCCACGGTATATTACTACTAGGAACCCCTCATTTCCAGCCGGGATCGCTAGCAGCAGCCACAAACTATCTCCAAGTCGCTCAGGCGGAGATCCCCAGCGAGTCGGACCTGAAAGACCGGTTAAATCGCCTCAGCGGCATTCCCCAGCGGTTTGCCGAGCTCAAGCAAGCAGGGGCTGAGTTCGAGGTGGAAGGTTTCTATGCCGGAGCCGGCACCAAGCTGGGCGGTACCGGCAAGGACGTGAAGATCGTTGATGAGGCGTTGGCCCGAGGCCCCGATGCTCCTCCTCCTGAGCGCCTGGCGCGCAATCAGCTACGGCTGAGCCAGTACGACGGCGAGGATGACAAGGATTTCAAGAAGGTGTTTCGGGTTCTTACCCAGTGGGCGTCCAAGATTGTTCTTCCGGAGGAGGATAAGGGGGCCGCCAATGTGTCGAATGCGACGTTTTCGGGTTCTCATAATTCTGGTTTGCAGCTGGGGCAGAATGTAGGAACTCTGAAGGGGTTCAGTTTCGGAAGAGGTTAGGTAGTTAGGTAGTTGATCATGTCATAATTCCAGATTTGAATTTCAACGCCTTATAAAAACTAACTTATTCCATAGTTAGTTAATAAGGAGTGTTCCTAGGAAAAGTAGGAGTGCCCTTGGCAACTCCCATGGAGAAGTGGTAGTTATCAAAATCAGTCCGCAAGTTTATCTGTAATAACCAGTGGTTTATCCAACATTCTTTTCTATCCCAAATGTACACATCATGCTTCAACACCCGCGATGAGGGTTTTGATGCCAGCCCCGGCCTTCACTTGTTCGAAAGCCCGCTCGGCATCCTCAAACTTGAATATATCAGTGATTAAATCCTGAACATTGACTTTCTGAGAGGCAATGAGTTCAATCGAAAGATTGTAGTCACCGCTGGAGTACCGGAAACTCCCCTTAACATTCAGCTCCTTCGTACACGCAGCGGTAATAGGGAAATTGACCTCGTCGCGCCCCATACCACCCTGGACGTACGTACCACCAGGGCGAAGAACATGAATACCAGTATTGATCGAGGCCTCCGCTCCAGACGCATCAATCACGATATCAGCACCATTACCGAGACCGCTTTCGGCAACCAGACGCGCAGCGTTTTCCACTGCTGAAACGGTGCCCGGTAGGAAAGTCGACGTTGCGCCATACTGTTTCGCAAATTCCAGCCTCTTGGGCTGAATATCTACAGCAACGACCTTCCCCGCCCCGAACGCCTTAGCTGTAGCACAACACAACAGTCCAACGGGCCCCGCACCGAAAACGACAGTCGATGCACCTGGGGACACCTCTGCCCGTCGCACGAGATGCACTGCAACACTGAGCGGCTCCACAAGTGCGCCTTGCTCCAGAGTCATGCCTTCTGGTAGCTTATAGCAGAGATCTTCTGGGAGACGATAGTATTTCGCTAGGGTGCCATCGTACGGAGGGGTGGCCGCGAATGCCATGTCAGGGCACAGATTGTATGTTCCGACTTTGCATGCATCGCAGCGACGGCATGGCTCGCCAGGCTCCATTGTGACGCGATCGCCGACTTTTAAGGTTGTGACTTTGTTGCCGATTTTTTCGACGATTCCTGAGGATTCGTGGCCTAGGACCATTGGTTGCTCGACTTTGAAGGGCCCGATCTGGCCGGCGTGCCAGTAATGTACCTGCAAAAATACATTCTCAGCTTAGATATTGCTCGATTGAATCGCTACTCTTGGACGGTCACTCACATCGCTTCCACAAATCCCGGTGAACTTCACCCTCACCAGGACATCATGGGGGTCCTGTAGCTGGGGAATAGGCCGGTTCTCAAATTTCAGAGTTTGAACTTTTTCAAGAACGAATGACAAGTTCTTCTTCGTTGTTAGATGAAGCTTATAGATCAAGACTGTGAGCACGGACCTCCGTAGAATGCATGTTGCTTTCTGTCAAATTGATATCACTCGAACTGAATGGCATATACAAACTTCTTTCAACAATCTTTCGGAAACCCGCACTTAAATATTTTTCAGATCTATAGTCCTCGACGCAAAATCACCCTCATCGTGGTCTAACGGGGGTTACGGCGTCTTAGCCGTTCATGTCTCCACCAGGCGGCTCAACCCTTCAAAGCGAGTATTGGCAACTCCACACCTCGGCCCGTTTTATGGCTATTTATCCCGGTGCGCCGAGCGCGGGGCATTCGGCGAGCTGCAAAGGGCTGTCGGCCCGAATATCTCTTGAGCATGTCTTGGAGAAGGGGAATCCGAGGCCATTACGTCGACAAGAACTGAGCCATTTTTGATCTAGAAAGAAGTCTCACATTCTCCACTGGAAAGTAGCTAGTATCTAACAAACGCACTATGTAACCTCCTTAATCAACGGGAGTTTCCCTCGTAGAAACCTTCTTGGTCCACTGCCAATCGTCAAACCCTTTCTCCCGAATTCTCTTGCTGGCAGTAAACACATTCCAAGAATCGGCATTGTCGAAGAAAACATCCATTTGCTCTAGACTCCGACCAGCCGTCTCGGGATAGAGTAGGATAAGGAACGGAATGACAAATACATTCAGTCCGGCAAGGAGTAGAAGCGTACCATATCCGATGGCCTGGAAGAGGAAAGGAGTGATCATTGTCACGACGCCATTTCCGATCGACCAGCCTACAACGGACCACGCACCTCCCTTGGCACGGACAGTCAATGGGAAGATCTAAATTATTATCAGTATGATATACAGTTGTGAAAGGGTGAAGAAACTTACCTCTGTTGGATAGAGCCAAGGTGTTGTCAGCCAAGTAGCACCAAATGTAGCCGTATAGAAAAAGGTCATGGCCGCGACGCCGGCTCCATATTTCCTCTGGTTTGGTCCGGCCTCTTGGGCATACATGTCCAGGATACCTGCGACAAGAAGGGCAAGACACATGACGACAGCGCCCCAGAGCATTGTTTCTGCAAGATTCAGTTATCGCTTTTGAAGAAAAGGTGTTTGGAGGTACTCACGTCTGCGTCCATATCGATCTAAAGTGATAACCGCGAAGAAGACAGAAAACATATAGCTTATATTGTTAAAGCCGGCCAGGAGCTTGGACAAGTTCTCGTTGAAACCTGCTGTGGAAAATAGATCGACGGCGTAGACAGTGACCACGCCGATGCCGACAAGCTCTTGCATGATCTGCAACCACACGGCGAGGAATACTCGCCATCGCAGCTTGCGTGTATATTCGTCTTTCGGGAAAATCATCGCAAGATATTGGTTTGCTGACGATACTTTAAGCTCGTACTGCACTGTCTGGATGATCTGCCGTGCCTCGGGTTCGATGTCGCCGGGTCGTGTGGCTTGCAGGATATCCCGTGCTTCTTCATATCGACCCATCTTCATCAACCAGCGAGGGGACTCGGGGAAGAAGTTGATTCCAATTCCGATGAAGAAAATGAAGACTAATTGAAGGGCGAGCGGTGTACGCCAAGCCATGGACTGGTTGGAATTCAACGATGCGAAGTATTCGATCCAGTAGGCCATTGCCAGACCTCCAATATTCTAAGCCGGGAGAGTCAGTCTGGTTCTTTGGCAAGTTCGGTATCCGAAGGAAACATACCATCACAAATTCAAGAGCCAAAAATGCTCCTCGAGCCGAGTGACTACTGACTTCTGCTGACCAGACCGGAATTACACAATCAATGGCCCCAACACCAATGCCAGCTAGGTAAAAGCCAGTCAGGTTAATCGCCGTAGTTCCATATGCATTGAGAAACTCACCAAGAACACGCCCAAAGCACATCCACGTAATATTATAAGCCGAAGTTTGAAGCGCAGCGCCCAAAACAACCCACAAACAACCAAAGACAATGGCCTTCACACGTCCACATCGGTCTGCCAATGCACCAGCCATGAGCGCACCGACCATTGTGCCGCCGTAGTATACAGCAACGATACCACCCTCCGCTGCTGTGTTTCTAGAACTTCCTAGGGACACAATGAGAAACTATTTCGAGTATAACATCATTGGAAACATACCTTTAAGGGGATAGATTCCCATAAGCTTCTGATAATCATGATTCAGATTGACCATGGACATAACACCTTGGTCATACCCGTAGAAGCAGATCGCAATACCTTAATATTGAGTTAGTGAAGAGTTGAAATAGCAGGTGTTCATGAGTCACGTACCGGCAAAGAAGTTGATGGCCTTGTACATCGCCGATGGATTCTTGAATCTTATCATCCTGGACTGGCTATATCCGCCAGGAATCCAGTGCTCAAATCGCCATGGCTCGGGGTGATTTATGTGCGAGTATTCGGCGTCCAGGAGGACATCTTTACAAATGTCCCCCTTTTCGCTCTTATCCTGCACGGTCTTTTGCGTTTGAGGTTCATTTGAGATCTCCTCGACGTGATCTGATAATACCTCTGCCATATTTGATACTCTGTTGTGTCGCAATGGGGGCAATTTTGTGTTAATAGCAAAATGCAAAGAAAGCATAGCGGTCCCCGATGATTCGTGCCTGATTTAAGAAATGCGCCTTTCGGGTAAAAGCTGCCTGTCTCCATGTTTTCCCCAGTTCCACTTTGGTCCACAATGACCGAAGGTGAAGTGTATAGACGCGCGGAGATTTCGCCGTTTTGCCCGTTCTCCACAACCCCAGCGTGGCCTCGACCCACCTTATCAAACCCGCCGCGGGTTAGCACGCGTCGTTAGGTCAGTCCTCTCCTCTAGCTCGGGTAAATGCCGTTCAGCCATTTTTCCTTGGGCTTGATGATATCATGCTTTATAGTGGATCATTTCATTACATTCGTCGATTGTGTTCGTTATATTTCAAGCATAATGGTGTCCTCCTATCCTGTTCCGGCTAACAAACTGAGAAGCAATTCGTCATCTTTCCATTTATCAAGAGCCTTGCTCTTCCATATCTCCCACTCTTCGTCTTCAAAGTTGAAAGCCCGTCGAAGTCCTGCAAACAAAGATAGAAATGTTTCCATATCTAGAAAGGAGCTCTCAACCCCAAGAGCAAAGAAGAATCTCTGGATCTTTCTGCCTTTAATCACATAGTCTGCGAGATCCTCACGACCTCTCTCACGGAAAATAGCAGCCATTCGTAGTTCATCCGCGGCTAGCTCATTGGAGCCGTCGTAGAACTCGCCTACTGGCCACATCATACACGGAGAAGAGAACGCCTCAGCCTTGGAGACTGTTTGGGTCCATTCCCAGTCTATAATTCCCACGACGTCCAAAGAGTCATCGACCAGAATATGGTCACCTTTGTCATCTGGGTGCTTGAGGAAGAATTGATCGCCTGGTGACACGTCTGCTAAGAGAGAGCCGATAATGTCTTGGCGAAATCGGTGGACAAGGTAGGTCTCCACGGGGTAGCAGGGGTCAATCTCACCGCTGGCTATCATTGCGAGGTAAGCCTCCAGTATATCTTGTAACCATTGTAGCACAGAAGAGAATGGGCCGAGCCGACCCTTTCCCGCTCGGAAAGTCGATTGATATGTAAGACCTTGAATGTCTATCGCATCTCCTACCAAGATAGGCGATCCTATCGCTTTGAAGGGATGCTTTTCAATCTCGAGGAAAATGTCAACCAACTGCTGCATGACCTTATCTTTTTGCTGGAGGGTCGCCGCTTGCCAATCTATGGATTTTCCATCCAGCTTTTCCATCAGGATATAGCCAACTCCAAGTGGATTCTCTAGATCGGATTCGCACGCCCAATCGAAAACCTTAGGCGATGGTATACGAGTATACTGCTGAAGATAGGTCATAGTGGCTGCTTCCCTTCGAAGAATCCAATCACGGACTTCTCGGGGCGGCGATGAAGTCCTAGTGAGACGGAAGCGTGCGAGCCATTTGACACCATCGTCGAACACTAGCTCGGCGTGGCAGTTCTGGTTGCCCATCATAGTAGACAACCCCTTGTGGGATAGGTCTACAGTGCATGGGATACCATTTCTGAGCATCGATGCACGGGCACATAATTCTGAGCTGTCTATTCGACGGCGTAGCTCGTCTATGTGGCGGGCTTCTGTGGTTGCGTATTGAGCAGAATAGGATTCCCAGTCTTCCTTAAACGCTTGTAAGCAATGCTACCCCGACTGATCCATTAGCCTGAATGTCACAAACATCTGGTTTGGGGCATTTGTGCCATTTTTCTTGGCGGTGCGTGCGACACAAGTGTTTGTCGCACAGCAAGCAGTCTCCTGTTCTCTGGGCGGCTGGTTTCTCACAACTCTCCCATTCGCAGGTCCAATAATTCATTATGTATGCGATCTGATATACTTACCGTGATTCCGATGTGAAAAAGGAAGAATGATGCTGGCTGTGCTGAAGGTATGTTTGTTTGATGTCTGGCGGGGAAGAACGGTGAGTCCGAGCGTTTGACATGCACGTTGTATACACCAGCCTCCATTTTCAGGACGAGAGAATGTACAAGTTATTACTATTTATTATTAACTGCGGGTCATATTGCTTTATTACAAGTCCTTCGGCGTGTTTGCGATATTATAGGAGACCCATCTCGCCACCTGCAGATACACATCTAGTCCCTAGATACTAGCAGGGATAATATAGCAAACAACGGAGGTTTCGATATTTTAAGAGTAGATAAATGTTAAATATTATTGACTAAGGCGTACAATCCGAAAGTCGAGTCCTGAAATGATTAGCGGCACCAGGCACAAGGTACAAGGTACCAGAGCATGATTTTACCCGGAACGTCACTGGAAAAGGAGTCGATCTTATGCTCAAATGGTCTGAGACTAATAAAGTGATACAAATCAGTCCGAGTCCACTGTCGTACTGTAGTCTCCAGGCAGCAAAATTCAATTAGCTCAGCCCTATGGCCGTGTGGGGACATTCAGCCCTACAGTTGTACAGTTTGACCTGTTTTGCTGTTTCCCCCTACTTTCTCTTAAATTCACAGTAGCCACATTACCAATATAAGGTGCGGTTTCCCCGGTTAATTCTACTCTTCCGCCTAAAGAGGACTCGAACTATGACCCTCCTCGGTCACGCCTGACGCGAGAATGGCCATATGCCGCCCCTGCCACCTTCGTGATTGGTCAAAGCTAATAACTCGAGCAATTGGCACTTAGAATCACGACATCGCAGTATTCACGGATGCAGCCCTACCCGTGTTTCGCCATGGAGTCCATACACCTTTTATCCGTCTGCTGTCTCCTCATTTTCTTTCTCTTGCTTCAAATCCTCTTCTCTATTGCTTTATGGAGGGCTAGTCTGCACGAAGAAACATTCTACGAACACCCAAGGCAGCTGCGCCGCCATGCCGGAACCTATCTCGACTCGCGTCGGCCACGCTTTAGCCACAGTCTTGCGTATTGACTTAAGTTTAACAGAACCACCAATGGGGATATTACATCGGTCATTTCAGCTATGTTGAGCATGAGCCTACTGCCGGGGAATGGATTCAATCTCATGCACCGACCACCCCTCAAGTCCGTCGCTACTTGGTCAAACATGTTTCCGTTTCTTCAGTGGAGCATGTCTTACAATACGCAATGGTTAGTTAGGGATCTCGTCGCAGGTAAGCTGATCTTATGAGAAAGGTCACACAGAGACTCACACCGAACCGTCACAGGTATCACTGTCGGCGCGGTGGTCATCCCCCAGAGTATGGCATATGCCGAACTAGCAAAACCGCCCCTAGAGTATGGTTTGTACTCTTCATTCATGGGGGTCTTGATTTATTGGTTCTTTGCGACCTCAAATGAGGTAACCATTGGGGTAAGATCATTCCCCTGCTCTTCATTGTCTCTTTCGTGGCCCACGGTCTGACATTACCAGCCCGCGGCCGTGATGTCTACACTAGTCGGCTCGATCCTCATCAGAGTCCAAGCAGTTCACCCAGAGAAGCATGGGAGGAACCAGGAGACAGACCATGGAATGATCCAGGACCGACACGCGCCGAGCGAAGGCTGCTCAGGGCACAGGAACCCCCAACGACGCCCCTTGCAACTCTCCGAGCAGTTATCCTCGACTTCTCCGCCGTGAACAACGTGGACGTAACATCCTGTCAACCCCTTATTGATGTCCGTGACCAACTCGACCGCTGGGCCTCTCCAAACCGAGTGCAATGGCATTCCGCCCATGTCAACAACAAGTGGACAAGGCGCGCTCTCGCGGCGGCGGGTTTGGTATCCCCAGTTTAGCAAACGATGGGACTTACAAGACGAAGGCTATCTTCGACATCGCAGAGATCGTGGGCGATGGCACTCTCCCCATATCATCAGCCCAATCCCAAATCTTCGGTTCAAAGGTAGAGTGGACTAAGGACCCGGAGACCGGGATCAAGGTACATGAGAACAGAGCCAATATATCGATCATAGGTGCTACAGATGATGATATCCATGTTATCGAAACAGGAACTGAAACCGTGCAGTCTCCTCGCCGATGTGGAAAATCAAGTTCTAGCCCCGGTATAACCGTCGTCGATAGCATAACTCGGCCGCACTTCCATGTTGATTTGACCAGTGCTCTGCAGAGTGCCATGTCGAATTCATAGAGTAGACGGCCATTCCACTTCCCACTTTGTACTTGCTCTTTCTTTGCTAACCACTCCGAGACATGATTTTGGCATGGTTCTCGTCTGGCCCCCCGGGATCCTCTTAGTTAGTTCCGCTAGTTCAATCCAGTGTCCCCACTATAGCTTCTTCGGCTAGCTTCCTTTCTTCACTCACCGCTCTCCGGATCCCTCGGTAGTGAACTGGCGGTGTCAGATCTCTATTTTGTGAAGTCTGGTCTTTCGTGTACTGTATTCGGCTTGTGGATGATGATCTCGGGTCTGATACTGTAACCTGAACTGTAGGGTCAAAAACCCTCGTTTATAATGGTAATATTGGGTATGGATACCATAGAAAATATTGAAGAGGAGCTGTAGATATACAATAGCCCTGGATTGTGGTATGCATATCTGATCACTGAAGAGTCGGAAGATGTTGCCCACTGGGGCAGGTGAGGTGAGGTCACTGGTTTTCGTGGATCTCCGCCTTAGGCCAACAATCGCGAAACGCGAAAGCACTCTTCAGCTCAATCTGTGATGATACAGTACCATCTCCGTCTCTGTAATTCCATTAAGCAAATGACTGCTATCTCGCAAACCTCTTCGATGCAATGCTACAGCTTCGCTTACCGATAAGAGGCGGCAACGACGTCACACGCGACATCCGCTGTGCCGGGCTTGAAACATCAAGCTTGGATATATGGCCGCAACGCTCTTTTGGAGTCAAAAGGCATACTGACAGAGATAAAAGATTCGTTGAAGCTATGTGGGCTAATCTATCCTTTGATTCCTAGGCACGAAAGTGACTACCATTCTACAGTACCTCTCCACGCTCGAGACAGCACATCTACTACCACGCCCAATTCAATCCATCTACGCGTCAATTCTTCCTCTTGTACCCTTGTTCCCAAGCTTCGGACACGCAGACTTATCTGTCGGGTGGGATACTCATTCCACGCACGTCCAGTTGACGACTTGACGGCCGTACGCATACCATACCATACCAGAGCTCTAGAATGAGTCTCACATTGGCGGATAGGATATATCGATGTCCAAGCAGGTATACCGACATGGTTATATGCTGCCGTACAAATCCGAGCTCATATGGACTTCGGCGTAAACGACCAACTGGAAGCTTAGTTGTGGCAGTATAAGATCGTGAAAGATAAGCGCTGATCGAGGCAGGGATGATTCAACTGATTCTCGCGGCCTGCGAGGAACACCTCTCACAATGCACCACTGCACCGCCGAGTTTCAGACTGCACTTATCAAGGCACTGCTTGCAGTCGGTGCGTAGGTCGACGTCACCGGCGCCGCGGTGATCGGGAGGCGCCGCGGGACGGGATGTCGCCGCGGGATGTCGCCGTGCATATCAGGACAGGACCGTACCCTGCATTGAGATGGTCAAGAACCGTCCTGGAGCTTCTTTGCGTCGCCAGCCATGAATCAACAAAGAATAGAGTGATCTCGATCACTTTGGGTGCTGCAGACCGAAGTTGGGCGGATATACTTGTACCACGGCAGTGATATCCGGAGCTCCATACGTCCGCTGTGGCAGTAGCCGGCGCGGATTTACGCGCAGGGGGCCCATCCGTGAATGCCGCTGTGGCCAAGAGAGCGTGACAATGGATCAGGGAGCATGGGCATACACAGTAACAACATGTCTCAATTGAGCACAGTGGATATCTACTTGTAATAAGATCTCAAGATCTATGGATACAAGACTGCAATACCCTGATGCCATGATTACCGGTAGAAGGGAGGCTGGTATCATAATTATAAGTTACGGACTATGCCAACTGGCCTTTCCGGACATGACCTCACTTTGGCAGGTCAATGATGAGTTGATGAGTCGGGTTACAATACCGTATTTATTGTATTACCCGGTTACACCCGAACCCTGGAGCCCCCTGGCACCCTCGAACGTATATAGCCGTCCATTCAGTCCAGCTACTGTGCATTACCTATAGAGCTATCTGCCTACATATACACCTCCCTGTCAATTGCTCACTGACACCATGTTGCAAGCAGTGTCAAGCAAGGGCAACGCGCGTAACGGTGCACCCTGCAATCTAGCTTGTGTGGGTCCGCCAAGCTAGCTGCGATCAGCCGAAATACCGCCAAATCAAAATTAACCCGGAAGAATGCAAAGAGCCTCTAGTTTGCCCGTTTAGGGGCTGATTTTGGTGTACTAAATTTATGGCCGAGTGAAGGTCTGGCTATATAAGGTCTCCCCGGGCCCCATTGGCATAGGCCGGCTTGATGGTGCTAATTTCCTGAATTACCGCGCAGTGTTTCACTCCTGTAACCCTTCGTTTCCTGGGGACCCGAGGAAAGACCAGGTTTTTTCCTGTGATAGTCGGGTTCTGGCGGGTCGGGAATTCACACTAAGTGGACCGGCGAACGCGAGGACATGACAACCCGGTTTTTTTCCTTGTTCACTAGTTCTTTTTCTTCCCGGGATGCGTTCGCATTGATATCCCCTGCCCCCTGTCAAAATTGCAGATTGCATGGGTAGGTGTGAGGCTGTTTGATAGCGCTCCCGGGCTTCAAAAAGATTACGTTTTCCCAATTTGACCACTCGGTGAGGTGGATTCCGAGGAAGAAGGGATATCCACAGAGCCCACATTTCTCTCCTTTCAGCCGACCAAAGTGGTTGCCCAGTGACTCGAGTGGTGGACCTGGAATCCGAGTCGGGCCGAATTGGGCGACGCCGGGAAACAATCCAGAAACATAGGGGACCGGTACAGATTATGATTGGTTGGCAGAAGCTCAGAGGTGGATTGATCCACAAGATTGGAACATGCTTAATATCCACCTCCGATCCACTGCAAGGGCGAAATTAATGTATTTTATTTTATTATTTGATTTCTTTTCTTTTATTCTGCGTATTCCCTCCCTTCTTTCCCTTGTAAGGGATACAGTATAGGGATACTGTACGTCTAGACTGTATGCTGGCTACTCCATACTGTATAGAATACTATGAGCCATCACACTCTCCCTCCTGCAGGGGGATACTGTATCCCATTATGATCCATCCTCTGCTTTTGTCTTTGTGGACTCCGACTGAACCCGACTAACCCGACAATACACGTAAGAATGGTAAAACGAAACCAAAACATCACCCCCAGCATTCCTCGCAGCATGATTTGCGAATGAAATACTCCGGAGTCCACGCACAGAGTAGGGCTTTTTCCCAACAGAGCGCACTAGGACAGAACAGGAGGCGGACGGGCGAAAATTTGGCCGTAGAGTATTTATGTCCTGGGGCGGCCTTCTCCCGTAGTTTCCCAGCTTTTTCCTCCCTGAAAAGTCCATCTCTCCTCTTTCTTTCTCCTTCTTTCTTCCATCCCCCTATAATCTATATCCATCACAATGGCCACCTCTCGTGTCTTCGCCTCCCGTATGGCCTCCATGGCCGCCCAGACCTCCAAGGTCGCCCGCCCTGCTGCCCGCTTCCAGCTCAACGCTGCCACCAAGCGTACCTTCACCTCCCAGAAGGCCCCCGTCGCCACCTTCGGTGCCCCCAAGCGCATCCAGTCGCCCACCCTCCTCCAGGCCAAGGCCTTCCAGACTGCCGCCCGCCGCCAGTACTCCTCCGAGGTCGCCACCGCCATGGTTGAGGTCTCCAAGAACATCGGTATGGGTTCCGCCGCCATCGGTCTCGGTGGTGCCGGTATCGGTATCGGTCTCGTCTTCGCCGCTCTCCTCATGAGTGTCTCCCGCAACCCTGCCCTCCGTGGCCAGCTCTTCTCCTACGCCATTCTGGGCTTTGCCTTCGTCGAGGCCATGGGTCTGTTCGACCTGATGGTTGCTATGATGTGCAAGTACGTCTAAATTATCACAACTCGGGCACAGCAATTCTTGGATAAAACCCTGTTTTTTCATTTTTCCGGAGATGCGGGTTTGACGAGGATCTTTTCCGCCGGGGAGGGTATTTGGTCGTGATGTATTACCATGTACTACTTTCAGCGTCATCTACAACACTTTTCTTTCTGTACATATAGAGTCTATATGGCCCATCGACCATCCCAACTATCAAAGAGCCAAACCAAAACTCTGTGTGTTGAGTCTGACGGCCGTATAATCTTCCCTCTCCCTTAGTCCGAACCCCGGGTTTATGGCAATTGTAGCTCCCCAAACAGCTTCCCCGTAGAACAAGCCGGAAGCTCTGACTAGCTGTATCTCAAAATAAACAGCTCTGGCTCTATTTTGGTTGATTCACTCCGTTCTGGTGGATGTTGCTACGGGTCCCTGTGCAGACTGTGACCCGCTCTGCAAACCCCAATTACGCCACAATGACTATCCATTGATCTCTAAAACATAGTGCTAGCGGAATCTCCATGTCTGACAATGGTATTGAGCTACTTATCCGGCAATTTCTGGCCCTGGGAAGCCTCATTCGAGCTGAAGACCCTCGACGCAAAATCCTGCTAGTTCCCGGACCTCGGGAACGGCAGCCCCGTAGTCAGCTGACTCAGCCTCTGACATCAGATTTGCATTTCTGCATGCAGGTGCAGGCTTGGGAGAAAGTGAAGCAGGTCGTATTGATTTAGATCTAGAGCCTACATCTTGCCTTTCCACATGTTATTGCAATTATAAGTGCTTGGTGAGGACGTGGGTGCGGCAAACTTCCCCGGTTTATATCGGAATCGAAGACGAACGCGCCTAGTCCGCTTGTGGTTAGTGACCATGTCAGATGTAATGTATATCTTTAATGTTATAGAGCCTCTTACAGGGTTCACGTTTTGTTGATTCGATTATAAGGAATGTCATTCTGGTGTATTAGTATGCTTTCAAGAAATCATTTTGTGAATAAAATGTGCATCATGCAAGATATATATCTCGTCCTTGTTCGTATTGCTACCCGACCCAGACATATATTATACTATGGCAACATCCAGATGAATTTGATGACACTGAATATTTTACTTCAGCCCAAACACAGCTAACGACTATATAATCTGATATAAACTATAGATGTGACACCTGTTGAATTCGCTCTCGTAGGCGCGCGCTGATCAAAGAACACGGTGCTAAGCGAGACACGCGACCCATCGCGTCAACATTCCAACCTCAATGCAAGGAAAAAAGCTTAAGTGCAAGCATGATTGAACTCCAAATTAAATATTTGATCATAACATTGTACCTTGACGGGAAAAGGGGCTCGTAAGATGTCGCGACAAAAGCAAAGAAAACAAAACAATCGACTCCGAACATGCCATGATCGCTCGAACGCCGGGGAATATGTATCACAAGACTCGAAAGGAAACCCAAAGCGAATAAGCACTCAACCACGATAAACTGAAACAGGAAGACCCCATCGGCCTCTAGAAGATTTCCAGATCCTCAAACTCAACAACCAACCCATCCCCCGAACTAGCCGGCAACGAACTATCAAGAGTCATGCCGTGCATAGCATTCCACATAGACTCACCACGCGAAAAACCTGTGGGCCGACTGGCATAAACGCCAACATGCACAAACTTATCCTCAACCCCATAAAAGAACCACGTCACCTCCCGCAGCTTCTTCCACGTACTTCCCACCGCCCCAGGCGACAGAGCATACGGCAAAGCCGACGGAACCTGGTACCAAATCCACAATGCATATCCTACACGCTCAAGCTTGATGCGCAATGAGTGAATGCCCATCCCAGTCCCCATCCCAACTCCCGTCCCAGTCCCCGGTGACCCTAGCGGCGAAAGACACCAATCCGCCCCATCAGCAGTCGCACTAACAGACGAAGCGTTAACACTCCCCGACGAAAACTCCATACCAGCCTTGACCCATTTGCACGGGAAGCGCGGGCTGGAACCCGCTGATCCCGCCCCGGCCCCGGCCCCGGCTCCCGCTCGCCAGCCTGGCGCTGTTGCTGGTGCGTGCGCTGCGTCTACCTCCGAGAAGAGCGCGGATTGCGCTTGTGGGGCAGCACCGGCGAAGATAACAAGCCCGCCTTGGTCGCATTCCAATTCCCAGTCTGCGCTGACGGTTACTTCGGCTACGACGAAGGGGTGGCGGAGGCTTGTGAAGACGATTGGGGCGGTGGATGTGTCGCCATTTGGTGGTTTGCGCCATAGGTCTGTGTTTGGGCCTGCTGGTAGTGTGAAGTATTCCATGTATTGGGGGAGCTCGAAGGTCGGGGGTAGGTTTAGGGCCGTGAATGAGGTGCTATCTGGGGGCATGGTGGTTCTTTGGGGTGGTTTGGTACTTTTGGCTTCGGGTGAGGATGGATTGGAGAGAGGAAAGAAGAGAGAGAGGAATTATACAAAAAGCAAAGAAACACAGTAAGAGGAATTCGAGGTGACAATAATCGGTCACACCGAGGTGGTTCTCTCGAGAATTAAAAAGACCGGAATATGCATATGCAATATGCAATTAATAGCCGGTGCTTGTAGGAGGAAAGGTTCACAGCAAAGTTTAACTAAGCTCAGCCCTTAAGGATATGCAAGACTGTCGCTTGTTGGGATATGATGCAGTCGAGAATCGGGATATGCGGATACGCCGAATGCGGTTTGCGCGAGGGAACCACCGGAAAAAGAAAAGCCAAAGGAAAACAAGATACTTTGGAAAACGATGGAACCCAGAGAGAAATCCACGAGAACTAACTATTTATATGCAAATACTTCATCGGAACAAGTGTGGTTTCCCCTATCGATTTGTCCATTTCAGGGGACGATCGTTCGAGGTCTTTGCTGGGACAACTCCCATCTTCGAACCAGAGCCCTGGAGACCAGTACCGTGCTGTTGGGTTCTTTGAGGCGCTAGGCTTGGGTTCTTTGTGGTTCCTTTGATGCCAGACGCGTGCTTTCGGCCATGACCATGCAGTCCAATTCGCAAGTGGCGGGTCATCATGCATCTTAAGAGGATCAATCACGTTGTGACCGAGGATCTGAGCGGCTGAAAGCATCCTGAATGCAAGAGAAACAAGGAAACGAGGGTGCCTACGTTGGCATTCATTGATACATCGAGAAAAATCGAGGCTGGTAACTCATACTCTCGGTACTCTGTGCAACAGCTAATACATTAAAATTTCAGACTGAGGATCGCTCGGAACAATGCATGCACGAATCTTTGGGTGGAACTTGATTCGGCTTGAGAGCTGATAATTCTCTGGGATATTCCCTGGTTGGCCATTTGACAGTTTACACTTCGAGTCGAGTCAAGTCGAGCTCTTCTTTTTTTTTTATGTTTTTATTTTTGGTGTTATTTTTACTTTGCTGTTGAGTGGCGCTGCAAGCTGGCCCCAGCCACAAGATGTGCGCTCCACTTTGGGTGTTCTGCACGAGGCTGAAGAGGGTAATCAGAACAACTCCCTGTGTTTCATATCGAGAGGTCTTTTTGATATCATCGGAGATACCGAAGTGGACTTGAATAAAGACAGATCTTCCCCCGCAATGGGTATAAGTGGAGGGCAATATTCGACAGGGGCAAAACGTGGTGTTGCAGATCAGCTGATGTTATTTTTGGTTGCCAAGCGGTCAGCTCTTGATCGCCTCGTTTTCTTCCCTTTAAGATCGTGAAGTCTCTATGAGTTGGCTCAGCCAACTTGGGTTCTTTATCTGCCCAACATGTATATTCCATCACCTCATCCCACCGCTTTTTTGGATTCCAAATCACCGGGAATTCTCCCATTTCTTCCATTTCTCCCATCCTCCTATTCCCTATCTCATCTGTCGATCTCTTAAACGAACCCACGGCCCTTAAATTGGGGCCAAACCCTGATGAGAGCCAGATTTAGCAAAACGAATTCAGTGCACTCAGGGACTCGTATTTTGACGCCCTTTGCCCTAACGCAGACCTCCCGAACCAATCAACTGCGCCTCCTCGTCTCTTGGCCTCGTATTTCAGGGACCTTCAGCCTCAACCCAATCTGCAATAGTGTAGCATGTGCCCCTAAAGCGCCGACTTAAAAGCCCGCCAGTACTCGTAAAGTGAATTTGGTGAATTTCCCTAAGTTTTCATCTCTAAAAGCTATACAAATCTTGGTGAAAATGTCGCCTCGACGTGGAGGTTATAGTAGCTATACGTCGGGCTATGACTCGAGTCCCTGGAGCGAGGAGACTCAGTTGGGTCTCGACTATTCCGTACGGGGCCTCTATATTGCCGGATTTGCCTTCGATATCCTTACTGCCATAGCCTTCGTCGCGTTTCTCATTTGGTCATGCACAATTCGCAATCGTGGTCTCCCACTGAAAGGGCTCATCTTCACCCTCTTTGCTTATATCTTGTATGTTGCAGGACTGCTCCCCCCAAATTACAGTCTGCTAATCACATCTCAGGTCTGAGCTGTGCACAATCATCTATGGAGCACTACACATCGCCGAAGCCTACGTCACAGAGTACTACCGCGTCATCTTGATGCTTGGGATTTTCTTCAATCTGCTCGCCACTGTACTTGCATTTTATGTTTTCTGGAGCCTCATCCATCGCTTGCTGGGACGTCTCATAGATTCCGGAAAGCCATATGCGGCAGTGACGATCATCCATTGGATTCTACTCGGCATCCTCTCGGCAGTTTCACTCGCCGACTGGGCCTTGTATGTCGCTTGGGAAGTCAGAGAAGTGACAATGTCCGTCAGTATGGAGCTCACATTAGCCTGGGTGGACCTCGATAGCGCCCTGACCATCATCGTCTGGCTGCTATCGATGGAAATTATGGCTTGGACAATCTTCGTTACTGTCAAGGCTGGAACCCATCGTTTCCTGTCGAGGGTGAGTACTCACAACTTTCATACATGACATTGAACACATAACTAATCAGATATGCATAGACACCCGCTATCTCCCTCTTCGTCGGCTCCGTCTGCTTTTTCGCCGTGAACCTGATGTGGGCCATCCTCGCCATCCGCTACAACCTCGAGAACAATAAAGACTATCCCGTCTACCTGATGACCGCCAGGTCTGTCATCGCATTTGTGTTCCTGGTTGGTACCTTCATGGGCATTGTCCTTTGCTGCGCCAAATGGAGCTCCCTCGGTACTGGGCCGGATAAGTATGAGCATGCTGCTGTTACTGGCCAGTACCCGTCTCAATATCCTCCTGGCCAGTACCCTGCGTACCCGCAGTATCCTCAGGGACAGCATCCTCCCGCTCAGTATCCTCATGGCGCTTCTCCTTACCAGTATCCGGCGTATGGTCAAGTTCCTTCAGCCCCAGTTCCAGCTCCAGCTCCAGCTCCAGCTCACTCGCCCCAACCTCATTCGCCTCAGTAGGTATCTGTCTATGTTTGAATCTGATGTGTGCCTGCTTTCGTTATGCCCTGATTTGATACCCTTGTTTCTCATAAGTACTATGAAACCCAAATATGTCCCCTATACCCAACTTAATTGGTTTATGAGCTTCATTTTTTTAATAGCAATATGTTTATTCTCCAAATCAAATACTTCCGCCGAAATAACATTGAAAAATATACCAATATTGCATATAACATATAAAAAGCCATCAACATGGATCAACACCATAAACCAAAACGTCTTGGCAGCGAAACCAGGCGGTGGCGCAAACTCGCGATAACATCACTTCACCCAGAAAAAGCCAAACACGCCCATACATTCACCCACAGCCAAAATGGTCTGCTCAAAATGCCAAAAGAAGCTTCAGTCCACTGAGCTTGCCACACCCGGTGTCAAGCGTAAGAATGATATGTACTACGGTTCCCCGAGTAGCTCGCTCGGCGGCGGAGACAAAGGCAAGGCTAAGCCGACATTAGGCGCGACGGGGATTGGGAAGGTATGTTACTTATCATTCTTGTCACCTTTTCAACGAGAATGGAGCTGTTTCCTTTTTAATGCTCTACCATGTTCTCGTGACAGGCAGATTGACTGACGTTACTTACAGAGCAAACTCCTCAGCTCCAAGGCTAAGAATCCTTATGCGGCTTATGCTTCTTCTTGTGAGACTTGCAAGACCAAGACCGAGCAGGGGAAGAAGTTCTGTCAGCGGTGTGCCTATAAGAAGAACGGTATCTCTCTCTTCTGTCTTTTCCTTGTTACTTTCTTGGCTGCAGTTACTGACATCTATCTGGTAGCTTGTGCCATGTGCGGCAAAAGTCTGGCAGGGAAGACATCCAAAGACCAGCCTATCGTGCAGGGCCAGAAATTCAACTTGAAGTGATTCCCAGCGTTATCTAAAGATCCGGGTGGTTCCTGTTTTATTTTACATCGCGTGGCGTTTAGGCATTATTGATACCGAACCAAACCCCAATGGAATGAATTTGATTGACAGTGTAAGAAAAATCTAGTTATACATGGCATGTGCAATAAGTGTATATGCAGTGCGCCAATAGTGCGCTGATATCAGAACAAGTATGCCTTCTCTTCAGAACTTCGTCTCCACCTTTTCTCTCAACCGAACCCAGCTCAACTCGACGCCTTTTCAGCATCTGGCGTTTAACGATCGGCCAGCATGTTCTTGATGTTGCTGTAGTATTGCGTGTTCAGGTATTTGGAGAGCTCCTCCTTAGACAGCCACTTGAAGTCCTTTAGGTTCTGCGTGTTGACGGACAGGTCGGCCTGGCCGGCCATGATGCGAGACTTCAGGAAGAAGATCTTGCTACCGGCAACTTCGACTTCGGTCTTCTTGTCTGACTTTGCGCGGGGAGGGTTGTATGCGTGCCAGCCGACGGGGTGGTAGCCGACCATCCAGGTGTTCATGTTGACACCAGCGGATTGGGCGAGGGTACGTTCAGCGGCCTGTGATTGAGAAAAGAACATTAGTATGAGTAAAAGACAGTATTTCAATCGATAGAGCAATACGCACCAAGCGAAGAGTCTCGCCGGACTCAACCGGCGAGCTGGGGAACTTCCAGTGTCCCTCCTTGGACTGAACCAGGAGGTAGAGTGTGCGGGAAAGCAAACGATCCAGACTCTTCTGGTCGTTCTTCTTGTCTGCTTCCGTCACCCGAGGGAACGGCCGAGGAATCTCCTCCTTTTTGCTGGTATCTTGCGAGGTGGCATTGGCAGTGGACTCTGCATCCTGCAAAAGCATCTCAACTTGATGCTCAGGCTCAGACTCTTTCGCGCCGAGAAGGAGCTCGTCATTCCATGCTTCGCTGTCGTACGCGTTATACTTTCCGATATCACGCGCGGCAGTCCGGCGCTCGAGAATCTTCTTCTTCCAGTCTTCGTCCGCCGGTGTTCCGCGTTTGAAGTAGAAATATTTCGTGAAGGGGAGGGCCAGGCGCTCGTTCAGACGCTTCTGGTAAAAGTAGTATGCCTTCTCGAAGGGCTCGAGGTCACGGGTGATCTGGGGAGGGCGGGAGAGGACCACACCGGCGTTGATGGTGTAGGCGGGCTTCACGACGGGGGTTGTCGATGCAGAGGTTGATGTGGTTTCGGTGGCTGCTGGTGCCGCGGAGGCATAGCTGCGGCGGCCAAGGGTTTCTTGACAGCTTCTGCACACGCTGGAGTCGACTATTGACGGGCCTGCGCGCGGAGTTAGTAGACCGAAAACCCCGGGAAAAGTTGGATTGAACGTACGCAGCAGCGACGCCATGCGCCTTGCACCATTGGATCCTGACGACATTGTGTAGAGTGGGCAATGAGTTGGCTAGTCAACGGGGAAGCCTCCGAGAAAAAGATCCAACTTGGGTCACGTTGTCGCCATGCCCGATCGGGTTAGTCACCTCCCGCACACTTTAAATTCGCCGATTTCCCGCTTTTCGATATTTTCTTCTCCCAAGCATCACTTATCATCGCCTGGCTCACTCTCCTACGACCAGTCGACCATTTATCGGTGCTCAGATTGAGCTCGAGGCCAATTTTCGCTAGCGGTACCTTCTTATAATCAAGGTGTACTGTTAGATAGCTGCTTCGAACATCCTCTTAATTCAAATCAATTGTCATTTCAACTAGCTTTTCCCTCTTGCTTTTATCCCTTCTCTCGCAACATCAACTAGACCCTCTTCACTTCCTGCTTATTTCCTGCTCAATCGATGTCCAGGAGATGACTCTCAGCCTTCACCGCATTGCCTCCTAGCCGCACCATCCTCTCGACGGTCCCAAACACCCGCAGTCGGTTCCCGTAGTTCCCCCAGAACTTGCTGCCCAGACGAGGCAACAACACGCCCTTGTTGGCCATGAGTAGGATTTTGGGGCATCCAGTGTCGGCAAGAGACTTGGGAATTTGAACAAGATGAGATGTCTGGACCACAGGAAAGGTCTCAGTGTCCATATTGAAGAGATCGCTGAACTCACCCTTCGCAGCTTGCTTTTCCAGGCTGTCCGATATGCGGGGTTTTGGGCGGAGGGTACACTGTGTTGGGGTAGCAAGAGGCCCACGCTGGATCTGGCCTGCCAGTTTGATAAAAGCCATGGCAGAAATCATGCTGTCGTATCCTGCTTCGTGGTTGGACTTGCGCCACTTGTACTTTGAGAACCGAGGGTCAATCTCTGGATCACGGTTAGTTCAGTACATCTATTGACAAGGGGTTCGATCAGCTGTACCTATCTTGGGACTGTCCACATCCTTCAACTTGGTGTGCAGATCAGTCAGCGAAGATGTGGGATTGATAGAGCCGCAATCATAAGTATCCAGATACTTGGTATCAACAACCACAGGGAACAATTCGTGAATGACGGTCTGGAACTCTTCGATAGTATCAGGCAATGGACCCAGGAAGCATGCGTGGAAGAAGAGCAGATCACAGAACATGTTGTGGCCGACAAGAACAGGTCTGTTCTCCTGGAGGCGTTGCTTCACCCTGTCTGCGACCCGATTGATTTCGAAAGATGGATTGTCGATTCTCCGCATCACAGGATTGAACATCTCTGCACCAAGCCCTTCCAGATTACCGCCGACAAGCGACTCTGCAATCCAGCGGAACCCGATGTGCTTCTGGAGTTGTGCCTTTTTGGTCTTCAACTTCAGTTCTTGGGCCACCCGCTCGCACTCGATGTCCGCTACATCGATTTGAATGAATTTGGACGTGTTCCTTGACCGCAGATTGGGAAATTCCTGGGTGATCAGTTGGTGCACAAGCCATTTCTCCATGCTGCTGAGGCCTTCGCGCACACTGCCCAATGGTTGGACCTCGCTAGGTGGCGGAACGTTCAGCCATTGAACTCGGCCCTGTCTGTGTTAAATCATTTGCCCTGGAATGTGAGCATGCATCACTTACCTTTCCTTGTGCCAGCCAGTCGGTGATCATGGTTCGAACTTTGGCAAGAAAGTCGAGAGACTCATGGTCATCGTCTTTGATGTCCATAGTCTGTCGACTGGTCTGCTGGCATCGTTCCACGACTCTTGCCAGCGCCAATTGCTCTTCCGCACGAGACAGATACTGGATGCCATGCTGACATAGACTGTCAATGCTGAATCCGTGTTTGAGGAGAAACCCCATAGCTGCATAACAAACATTTAGTGTATAGTCACCATCACATGTTCGGGACAGCACATACCCCGGCTGCTAGATGTCCAGTCTCGATTTATATCAGATTCATGGTGCGGGATCGGGTTCAGGTTCATGTTGTACGGCTTAAGGGAATACGAAGCTGTATCAAGTTAACGGATTGTGTCTCGTGTGTTATTATTCACTTACCCGTTTCTACATTCTCATGGCAAAGCGTGAGCCCAACTTGTAGGATTTGATATTGTTCCGCTGCAACTTTGGTCTGCGCATACCGCTCCTGGATTGTTTGTGGCCTTGTTGGTATGAATGGGGCGAAAGCCACGCCAGAGAGCTCAAAGTCCAAACTGACGAAGCAGCTGGCCGAGATGTCATTCAAGATAAACGGAAGGTACTCCGAGAAATTCGCACTTGTCACTTCCATCTTGTCTTAGACTTTCAGACCAGAAGTAAGCGATTGACTCCGTGGAAGTGAAAGGCAAGTAATGAGTAGGGAAATAGGATGGTTTGGTCTAATGTCAAATACTGTAAATTGATTGATACTGCATCAACGAGGAAGTTTGCTTGCTTGGAGGTAGGTCCATAGGCGTCATATGCAGCATATCACGTATCATGCGCGCCGGCGAGGTTTCTTTGGAGGAATCTTAGAAGTATGCAATCGGAGCTGTAAGTGACTTGACGAAGGAAGAAAGATCGCCGAAGAATATCTCATATTTAAATGGCACTATTCTGAATATCCTCATTAATGATTTTGCTTTATTCTTATAGATCGAGCTCACAGGCCAGTCCCGTGACCACCCCGGACTTGGCCTGAGCCGAGGGAAAACGACAGCCGATCGCAATCGGCCCCGACTTGTTTCACTCTGGCTTCTCCATTATCTGTTGCTGTATAACTCCTGCTAATCATTGGAATTGATTCTCGAAACCATCTTATGATCTTTCGGCCTCACAATGGCTAACGGATCCCCAATGTCGTCTCATAACCAAGCTCGCTCCCCGTCCTCGGCCTCCCCACAAAGCTGTGCTCCAAGACATACAAGAAGGCCTCCCAGCTTTACCTCACACGGCGCCTACCAGAAGCTTTAGCAAGCCTACAGCCTATTATAACACCATCAGCACCACAGGAAGACCAGCATACAAATGGCGACTCGTCAACATCGGTCGCGCCGATCGCCACGGCCGCCAGCACGTGGAGAATCAAGGTGTGGAACCTCTACATCACCCTCCTCAGCGCAATAGTCGATCTTGGAGCCGAGGAAGGAAAGAAGCAATTTGGACAGAAGGAATGGAAAGGAATTGCATCACAAGTGAGAGAAGGCGGGATTTGGGAGACAGTGGTCGAGGTCGGATACCAAAACCGAGAGGGTTCGGTGGATGCCGAAGTCGTCTACAACTTGTCAGTCTTCACACCTCAGCTTTTCCAACTCGGGCATATCAGCTAATATAGTGACAGAGCTACACTACTTCTCACGCATTCCTCCTCGCAATCCCTGAATCAACAACGCCTCGAGACGTACCTCTCCTCATACGGACAGCCCAACCTCGACCTTGCAGATCGCCTACAAGATGCAGCCAACGATTTCCAGCAGCGCCCCATGCCAACAAGCGGCGCCGATACCCCGAAGGATCTAACCTCCAGAGTGAGGATCATCGAGCTCTTCACCCTGCATGTCCTTCCCCGCAATGACGAGTGGGAATACGCAACCGAGTTCATCAATCTGAGCGAAGTCCTCGACGAGGAACGGAAAGATTTATTCCTTCAAACCCTCGAGGGATTGAAAGAAGAGAAGGAGCGTGGCGAAATGCGCGCTGCTGAACTACAGCGTTCCAAAGACGAAGAACTCGAGCGGCTACGAGAGGACGAACGCCGAGAAGCCGAGGAAGCAGCGGCAGCAGCAGCACGATCGCAATCCAATGGCCACAAGCGCAATACCAGCGAAGTTGACTATGGGATTGAGAAAAGCCGCCCACAAAGCTCATCCAAGGGCAAAGCGGGTAGATCGACAGACAAGTCGCCGAATGAGAAGTCTACACAACGGACCACGCTTTCATCGTCTGGATCTAAGAATGTCAAGAAGAATGACAAGGTTCAACCCCGGGGCCGCCCATCCCAGGCAGTGACAACTACTCTGCGCAATCTTTTCCGCCATATCATCCAGACCGTGTCTGGTAACCCCATGTCATTAGTGCGCACTTTACTCTTTGTGATTGGTATTCTTATGGCGATGACCAGACAAGATGTCCGCGAACGTGTGCGAAGGGTTACGGACTCTGCTTGGCAGAAGGTCAAAGGCACAGTCGGAATGGGCGTCAAAGTGAGCTACATTTGAGGGATTGACAGATTCCTGTTTTCGTGTACATGGTGTATGATGTATATTTCGATCTTATTCCTGTTATGGTCATCAAGGGGGCTATTATCGCAGACATATTTGCAATTGTGATTTTCTATATCTCTGTGTATCATACTTTACGCATATACACCGGATCAAGGGCATTTTTGATATATTTTTCTTTCCATCTTCCTGCTTTTGACAGAATATTTGCTATTTATAGTCTTAAATTGAGCAGCATCTACCGAGGTAGGCAGCTGAGCTCCCTATCTTCATTTGCAACCCCAGGCATTTGCTAGGAGGTTTCCGTTGAGAAACTTCAGGCCAGCGTTGACAGCGACAGTAACCGCGGTCTTCTCAGGGCCTAGCTCCTCCGCAAGAGCAATAGCAGAAACGACATTCAAACCCGTTGAAGTCCCAACAAACATTCCTTCTTCCCGAGCAAGTCGTCGACACATGGCATGTCTTCTTCTGAAATCCCTCGTGCCTCATCGTACACGTTGTGAATCAAGATGCGGTGGCACACACCCGGCCCCGATTCCCTCGACACGATGAGGTCCAGCGTGACCTTTCTTAACAGAAGGAGAAGAAGTAGGCTCAAGAGCCACGATACGTGTTTCCGGCCACTTCGCCTTCAAAATCCGTGATGCCGCCGTGATCATACCGGCAGTTCGAAAAGCCCCACAGAAAGCATCAATGTCACCAGGGAATTGAGCCTCAATTCTTCCCCGATCATCTTATAGCCAGGCCCGAATTTTTGGACTGATCGCAGAAGTAATGGCTTTCTTCTTTCATAATCTCTTCTGCATGGCGCCTAATGGCAGGGAAGAGCTCCGGCGGAATACCCGTTTCGTTGTGTATCGTGGCATCTAAGGCTGAGCCAACTGACGGAGGTAGAGAATGCATCTGAAGTGTCGTATATTGGATTTAGAATTGGCGAGTGCTGAGATTTGGGGAAAAAAGAAAGCTTCAAAAATGGTTTCGCGGTGATAGATCGAGATCAAATACTGATTCAGTGTTTGATCATGTCCTTGGAGATGATCTACTTCAATTCTTGATCAGTTGAGCTTGTTTCTACTTCGAAAACATCATATCTCAGATATAAAAGTGCTTTTCCAAGTAGAATGACCATATTGGCTATAATCTCAACATAAGCCAGGTTTCGACTAGGAGTCGCAGAATTCACCTTTCTGCTCCAACGCCCAAGCAATTGGCTGCCTCAATTGAGACTCATTGTCCAAATTATCCAGGGATAGACGACCCAATGCTTGAACTGGAATAATAATGGGATAATTATTTATTGTGATTTGATCACAGGGCCAAGAGAAATAGAATCATCCATCCATCCATCCACTGTGACAGGAGCCATTCTTTTCACCCAAGATTGTATACCAGCAACCATAGGATGTAGCTCGGAGATAACCGTGGCTCAATCACGGCAGAGTTCCATCTGCCTCGGGGTAAGGGGAGGGACAAGCTCACAGTCGTGAATAATTGCCATGTTCCACCCTCACCGGCCCTCTATCGACTGTCTCGTTCCAGCGCAATCGGGATATTGTGCGATGTGCAATAGATTTTTTTGTATAAAGTAGAACAGTCTCTTAAAAGGGAAATCCCCAGTTGCGCTACGTTCTTGGCAGATCAGCCGAGAAACCAAAAGACATTTAATACCATCTGTAACGTCCTACTTTGTTTGGAAAAAGCGGTTGCAGGCTGCTGTGAGTCCAGTCAGCTCGAAGCAGTCAATCTCTAGACCTGTAATATCTTATACCAACCTCATAGACCGAACTGACATGCCCGCCACTTATACAAGATGCCAATGTCTGTCTTAGCTGCTTAAACCAGCGCAATTTAACAAGAAAATCCTGTGTGAAGATCTCCGCAGAGAATTTGACTGATCAAGACCCTGATCTATATTGATTAGATTAGATTATTGTCCTCCGATTCGCTAGCCTTTACTTTGCCTTCTGAGACCCATCGCTATGTGTGCTGTCTCCTCATAAGGCTTATAAGAAGCTCCCGAGCTGCACACATGGCTTCCCTGCATCTTGGCATACAATGTTGAATCGTTGGTGGACAGAGTCACCTATACTCTCGGGCCAAGTCCCCTGCCAAAATTACCAGCGTGGCCACCCCGGCCCGAGAAGAAACCAAAGACCCCATCCCCGAATCCAAGGTAGCCGATGCCCACCAATCCCAGGCGTAACTCTCATGGAATCCGTCTACCGTGAAGCTAAATCTAACCCCAATCTCTCTGGTTTTTCGGAATATCCGTCCTAGTATGCGTATGGGCATACTCACTCGACTCATTCACAATATCTTACTACTCATTGACGCACCATCCTACTAAATTTCAATCCTGAGAGGGCTCCTCCTGGGAATAAGAAAGAGGCTTTCTTGCGCTTTTGGGCAAAGAAGTAGGTTGTGATGGGGTAATTCGTATAAAAGCGTTTCTAAAGAAGAAGGTCCAGACATTAATAACAGGAGGGGGTTTCGCCAGGGGATGCAAAATGCAGTCTTGTCTCATATAGTCGTTAATAACAGTTCGTGATAGAAAAGGACAACCAACTCTCGATGGGAATCAAATGGTGGCATTATCGCATGTAATGTGATTCTCACGCGCAGCCTCAGTCATCCCAGCCTCAGCATCACCCGCATACTCGACATGCTCCTTCTCAACAATCCTCGCATGCCACCTCTGGAAAATCTGCACAAAGAAATGCGCAACACAAATCTGTTCTGTGGTATAAAGCAACACTGGTACAGAAGTCTTGGCTTTCGTGAAGAGATCAATCGGCTGCCACATTGCATACAGCAGCGGGATACCGAGTGCCGTGCTCTTCGCCGGCCCACAGAAACATACTGCAATGGTTTCCTCAGGAGACATGCGCTTGAACATTGGCTCTGACCATTTCCGAGAGCTCAATATTCGCGGTGGTCTCGAGCCGAGGAAACAGATTAGTGTTAGGAAGATGTAGAGGGCGATATTGAAGAGAACCACGAAGACCACGCTTTGCGCGGAGAGGGATTGAAGAGCTCCTGTTGCGAAGCAGGATGAGAAAGTCGACCTGGTATATGTTAGTAGTCTATTCCAAACGAGAAGTAGCATACTGGCAAACTCACCAAATCAACAAAAGCATACAGACAGTCGCCAATTTAGGCAACTTGGTCTTCAACAACACCCAAGCAGTCCGATCCGGCCAAGTCCAACGTACAAGCTGCCCAACAAACAAAGGTAACAAAACACTCAACCCAAGCTGCTGAAACACATCCTTATACATACTCCCCAATCCCCCACCCCCAATCCTCCACAAATCAAACTCCGCCGTCTTAGGAATCAACGCAACAGTCCAAGCAGCCGTAACAAACGGCCCAAGGATATTAGCAATCAAAACCTCCACAAGTGCAGCAGCATCATCACCCCCAGCAGCACGCGTCATAACAACATTCGAAGCAATCGTGGTCGGAATACATGCGGTAAAGATATACCCAGCCAAGACAGCGCGGTCAATCTTGCCGCCTGGATCCCCAGCTAGGATGATATGCACGACAGCCAAGACCAGCGCAGGAATGAATAAGAATGAAATCACCTGTACAACGAGGTGTAGTCGCCAATTCAGGAACTGGGAAAATAGTTTCTGGCGTGGGATGCTCAGGCCGGAGATTAGGAAAATTATTGCTATCACGCCGTACATGATGCTGTATTCTGAGCGGATTGTTCCGCCGTGTTTGGCGACGTTTGGGAAGAAGTAGGCTAGGACGCAGACAACCCCGATGCCTATTAGGAGCCATTGATGGAGGAGGAGTTTTACTATGCGTTTTGTCGCTTGGATCCATGGGTTTGGGGGGTCTGGGGATGTTTCTTCCATGTTTGGTTGTTTAGGTTGCTACTAGAGGCATTGAAATAGTTTTGTGGTGGTTTGGACGTGTGGGATGGATTGTAGTGGTGGTTGATAAGGTGAGTCGGTGGGTTTTCGTTGAGAATTGTGCGATCGGATTTGATCCGATCCATTGCGCATGAAGGAATCGCCTTTATCTTCAACCACGTGAAGTTATACTAGTGCATATTTTGTTGAAGTATAGAGTAGACAGGGCCGAGATCGGCTACCCGATATTATCATCGGGTTGATTGATCCGTGTATATTAAGTTAGGTGGGCATGTGAAGGTATGATGCCCCTGAAGTATATTAAAACGAGTATGAACGCTAACTTTAAGGAACGTCAGATGTATAAATGAACATGTAGATCAAGTCGCATCATCATACATCCATCTCCATCTCTAACCGATTATACGGGCCTGGGTAAAACGTTCAACCGGCTAATAACGGAGCCACTCTATAACCCCGGACTCGTCAGAGGAACACAAAGGACAGCAACTCAAAGTCGCATATGAACATAGTGAATAGTCTAATTGTCCACCTGACTCAGAGAAAGTAAGTCCCATGACCTGTTCCTCCTATAACAGCCACCGCGCTGAACCTCGGCTGAGGGGAGCTATTGCGTTGGCCCGAGATCACCCGCAGCAAAAGGTGCGGAAATCGCTACTTTATTTCGGAGCTGGAAAGCAAGTCCCGAAATGAGGGTTCTGTGTATCCGGAGTAATCTAGCTACCTGGAATCTAGTCAGATAATGTAGGGGTGATGGTGCCTCCGGTGCGCACTGTAGGTAAGGTAGGGGCCGTGTTATAAAGACTAAATAGCTAAGTAATATAGAGTGTAGATAGAGTATAGAATCACAAGCCTTTTGGTTCTTCCTATGACGACAAGAAACATGTGAAGTCAGATCAATCCGGGGGTGAATCATAGAGCCGCCCTTGTTCCCGAAGGCCTCGGGATTGTCGACTCTCTGTACTCGGAACGCTGTGCAATATTTCGAACTTATAAGAGATCTCCCTCGGCTGATCTTCATGGACTGTACTCTTCTCTTTTCCTTTTTCCTCTCTTGTGGTGGCCGAGATCTATACTTCCGCTCGTCCAGCTTCCTCCGCTTCCCCGTCATAGCTCCCCACAAAAGTTTGGCACTGCCGCCACTTCGAGCCGACGTCAATCATAGCCGACAGTTCTGCTTTGTGAAATTAAAGACTTTGCAATTTATCTGTTCTCTTCAATTGATATTTTTACATCTATTCGGAAGGATCCGCAAAAAAACCTCCACCCAAGCAATTGCATACGCCGCTTATTCCCCGGGATTGTATACTTCCGCTTCTCCGCAATTTCGGTATTCGCTCGCGACAATCGGAAGAAACTCGATTTCGCGCCATTCCGGGAGCCTTGGATTAAAGACCCAATTGGAGGTTTTCCTTTGACAATCTCCTGAATTACGCCTTCTTTACACCTTACCTTCTCACAAACAATGTCCGCAAAAACCGCCAATGGGAAGCGCACATCGCCTGCGGTCAACTTGATCGGTAGAGTAAACTCCATCCTTGAGATTGTGGACGGTTATTGACTTCATCCTAGCTGGTGGTGGTGCCGGTATGATGGAGGCCCTCGTGTGCCACCCTCTAGACACGATCAAGGTCCGCATGCAGCTGTCAAGGAGAGCCACAGCACCCGGGGTGAGTTTATGAATACCCATTGACCACGAAACCTTGCTAACCATGATGTCTGGATAGGCTAAGCCGCGCGGGTTCGTGGCCACCGGTGCCCAAATTGTGCGCAAGGAGACTGCCCTGGGTCTGTACAAGGGTCTGGGAGCCGTGCTGGGTGGAATCATTCCGAAAATGGCCATCCGATTCACCTCATACGAGTCATACAAGGGAATGCTGGCCGACAAGGAGACGGGTCAGGTTACCAGCAAGGCCACCTTCCTGGGTACGTGAAGACAATCCACACAGAGCAGATCACAACCGAGTACAGCGGCTAATATGTTGATAGCTGGTCTCGCTGCCGGTGTAACCGAAGCCGTGGCCGTCGTAAACCCAATGGAAGTCATCAAGATCCGCCTGCAAGCGCAGCACCACAGCATGGCTGACCCGCTCGACGTCCCCAAGTATCGCAGCGCCCCACACGCACTCTTCACCGTCGTCAAGGAGGAAGGCCTGAGCGTGCTGTACCGCGGTGTCTCACTGACAGCTCTCCGCCAGGGAACCAACCAGGCCGCCAACTTCACCGCGTACACCGAACTCAAGGCTGCCCTGCAGCGCTGGCAACCCGAGTACAGCAACAGCCAGCTGCCCTCCTACCAGACCACCGTGATCGGTTTGATCTCCGGTGCTGTCGGTCCCTTCTCCAACGCTCCCATCGATACCATCAAGACTCGTTTGCAGAAGACCCGTGCTGAGCCCGGCCAGTCGGCTATCACTCGTATCATGATTATCGCTAAGGACATGTTCAAGACTGAGGGTGCGCGCGCTTTCTACAAGGGTATCACTCCCCGTGTCATGCGTGTCGCTCCTGGTCAGGCTGTTACTTTCACGGTGTATGAGTTCCTCAAGGGTAAGCTCGAGGGTTCGAACTGGGCTTTCGTTGGTGGTTCGTATGAGGAGTAAACCCAAAATGTTTTGTTTTTGAAGCATTGTGATACCTGACCATAGTGGGCGTTGTGTTGCCTCCTGAGATCTCGAGGACTGTTCAATTGCTGGCCGGTCGCATCGGCTTTCTATTTGTATATATTGTGTGCTTTGCGTTAGTTTTTTGTATACCACTTTTGGTGCACCTTGAGCAGAATAGAGTTTCTTCAAACGGCTGTGAGAAAAGAAGTAGGCTATACTGTGTCAGTAACCTGATTATATTCCTTGACAATGGAATCGTAGCAAGTCGAGATGAAAGAGGACATTGTATGGAGTTAAACAGGAGATGTGGAGGCTACTCGGAAGCCAACGCTGACACGCCCCTCATTCACCGCTCCCTCCCCTCATAAACAACCCAACCACCACAACGGGTGAACAAGCATCACCATGCAGTCCGGAATTACAGGTAAGGGATACGTCCATGTACCCCATACAGTCCCCAATTGGAACAACTAACAACCTCCCAGTCTCCTCGGAGCTGCACGATGCCTTCACCCGCTTCAACTCCGACCCCTCAACCTTCTGCCTGCCAGTAACCATAACATCCGAAAGCCTCACTCCCCTCCCAGCCTTGTCTTTCCAAGGCGAGCCAACCAAGGAATCGTTCATTGCCTCCCTTCCCCAGCTGTCAACAATCCTCCAGCCCAAAACACCCCTCTATCTCCTTCTCCGACGCCCCACCGCCGCGGGTGCTGCAACCCTCATCGCTCTAACCTACATACCGTCCAATGCGCCCGTGCGGGCCAAGACGCTCTTTGCGTCGACTCGCTCGACCCTGACTCGCGAGCTTGGCACGGAGAAGTTCGGTTCGACTGTCTTTGCTACTGAGGAGGAGGAGATCCTCGGTGTTGAGGCCTGGAAGGAGCGTGATGGGGAGGGCGCTGGGGGTGTTAGTCGTGAGGATATGATGGGTGAGAAGGAGCGGGAGCTCGAGGCTGTTAGACGGGCTGAGGCTGAGGCTAGGAGTGGTACTCCAGGGCGGGATATTGGTATTGGGGGCACTTTTGGTCCTGGGTCTGGCTCTGGCATGAAGATCTCTATGCCTGTTGATGAAGAGGCTAAGACTGCCCTGCGGGATCTACAGGATGGTGGATTGGTGCAGCTGGTACGTTCTTGTTACGGGAATTATGGGGATTGAATGTGGAAGGATTTGTGGGATTGATATGCTAACTTCCTCAAGACGATTGATATCCCCACGGAGAAGATCACGCTGGCCGATTCCCAATCTAGTGTTGAGCCAAACTCCGTTGCCACACATATCTCCTCGACTTCGCCGCGCTATTCCTTCTACCACTACCCTGGGTCTGATGTCGTGGTCTTTGTGTACACCTGCCCGACCGGATCATCCATCAAGGAGCGCATGCTGCACGCTAGCTCGCGGAGGAACGCCATCGCGGTTGCTGAACAGGAAGGACTCAAAATCTTGAAGAAGGTATGTGCACCCGAGTTGTGAATCGTTCCGTTTCGATGCTCACTATTTGCAGATTGAGGCTTCAGGCCCTGATGAAATTACCGCCATGCGTTTGCAAGAGGAAGTAAACCCGCCACAAAACCAGGGCACTGCGCGAGGATTCGCCAGACCCCGTCGCCCTGGCAGGTAAATTCGCCACCGTATAGATAGAACGAATGAACCAGTTCGAAGTGGGCCAAGACAGTCCAACACGATAAATTGAACTCGCGTCGTATTGTAGATTCGTAAAGTCGTCTGTCGTCGCTAGGCGGAACATTGTAAACGCCGAGCTCACGCTTAGCTCCCTCCGCCCAGATACAACACCAAGCCAAGAGCAAGGGAGCGAGAAGCGTGATCATTGATTCCGGAAACTTTTCTTTTGGTAGAACAAGTCTGTCCTGGAGCTTCCCAGATTGATAATCTTCGGACACCCGTCGCGGTCCTTCTCCAGACGCGTACATTCAAAGCAGTAGAATGCATCACTGATTCCCTCGCCGCCGCAGACGACACACTTGTTCTGGTAGTTGCCGAAGGAGCACTCGTCACAGATGCGGACTAGAGTCGTGGGGCGCACGTAGGAATCGCACACGGGGCATTTGCCGTCGCATTTGTCACACAGGCGGCCGATGGAGATGCCAGGTTGCTTGCGGCACATGACGAGATCGGGGTGGTGGCGAGACATGGTTGAGTAGGAGAGAAGGTGACCAAAGTAAAAGCTTGAAAAGCAACTGAAGAGGTTGGGGAGAGAAGTGAAGTGAAGAGAAGAAAAGCCGAGCACGAGGAATGGGGTGGTCCGTGCACGTGCCCCCAAGCAGTCCGTTCTGTTCTTTCTTGACCCCAGACACCAAGTCCAAGTGGCAGTTTGTGGCAAGCGTCGCTTTTTTCGATCATATTCTTACTCGTTACGCAAGTTAACACTGCGCCTGCATTGGTGTCGTTCACAATACATCATGTCGGAACAGTATGGCTACCTTCCCTCCCATAACAACCAGCACCCGCAAACGAGGAATTACTGTAGCTAACCCTCTGTCTCTGCCCTATAGCATGCTTGCCTCGGCAGTCGCCGTGCCCGAACAAGAACCCCTTCACCAATCCCCAGAATTGACAACCAAGCGACGCCAGTCCTCGGTATCAGAACACGACACCAAGCGCCGGCGACTAAGCTCCCAGAGCAACCGTTCCCCGCAAACCCAGCGCCGACGCTCATCTCCCCAGCCCGTTGCGCCAGATGCGTCCCCGGAAAGCAAACCTGTGCGGCCACGCGGAGGCCGCGAGGAAGATCGCAAGCGCGGTCAGCGGTTGTTCGGTGGACTTCTAGGTACTCTTTCGCAGAGCTCGAGCTCTGCAGCGCAGAGACGGCGCGCTGATATTGAGCGGAAACAGCAGGATAAGCTTAAGTCTCAGGATTTACAGTATGATGAGTTGAAGAAGCAGCGGAAGGAACAGCGTGAGGCTATTCGCAGGAAGGAGACGCCTTTGTATGAGCGTGAGGCGGTATGTTGCCCTGATATTCTGGAGTGGGGAATACATCTAACCTTGTTTTCCTTTCAGATGAATACACGGCATGCGAATATAATTGCCGTGGCGCATTTCCTTAAAACACGGGCGGAACCGGTTCTGGTGAGTGGTCTTCCTCTGATTGTTCTGGGTGATTGGGAACTAACTAGTTCCAACAGTACTATAAGCCATGGCAATCTCGACCTGGCGACGAATCGGTGATACAGAAGCAGATTGAAGAAGCAGAAGCGACAGTTGCACGTGAAGTTGCCGAGTTTGAAGCACGATACCCACCAGAGGCCTTTGTGCCCCAGCCAGATAAAAGCATCAAGGAAGAGCCAGCAGCGAAACCAGAAGAAACACAAGGCGAGAAGATGCAGCAGACAGATACCCCGTCGGACCAACCATCTGCTCCAGAGCCTGTAAATTCAAGAGAGTCTGACTCCAAGGAACCAGCCCAGGACGCCTCCGAGACAGTGAAATCAGACCCCAACGGGAAAGGAGCTGTTTCAGCGACAATGGGTCGTTCTGCTGATGTGGACACTTCTGTACATGATCAGAGTGATGCCCATCGAGATGACGACGGTGGTGAAGTCGTGGAGGATAACGAGGACACTGTGATTTATTAGATTCCAGTCGATCTTGGAATCCTGATGTCAATTACCTGGAGATACCAATTACAATACCCGGCCTTGATTTACAGTTTGGAAGTAAAATCTAGGCATTTGAATATTCATGGAATCTTTGGCTAGAACATGCTTATCAGGGCAGCGAAATACATGTCCTCTCGATATGGCGACATACCCCATCTCTATGCCTTGTCTATAACCATGACATATATCCCTGTCTATTGTTTTGGGCAACCGCCAGCGATATCAGCCAGATAGCTTATCCCTTGGCTCTATAGCCCTAACTCGCTTCCTTATATAGTCGAGCAGAGTAGGCCTGTATACAGTTGCAGTCAGGCTTTTACCCTGGCATTCTCAAAGGACAATCCCTTCAAATGACAACAAAACCGAAAAGCTCCCCAAAGTTACCTCAACCTACACACCCGACTCAATCGAATGCGCCTCATCAAAAGACAACATAACCCAACGAGCCCTCTCATCCCGCCATGCCCAATTCATCACCCTAGGAGGCGCAATAGGAACAGGTCTATTCGTCAGTACAGGCGCAACACTAGCAAAAGGCGGCCCAGCCTTACTAGTCGGCAGCTACGTCATGACGTCCGCCTTAGTATACCTGACCCTAACGGGCGTCACGATATTAGCCTCCCTCTCCCCGGCGGAAGGATGAATTACTATAGTAGTCGATATGTACCGGGCTACTTTGTCCGTTCAATGCGTTCACGGTCTTCTTTCCGTCACAGTGGTGGGTTGCTGATTTCCTTTCTGCTTATATTGGACCTCCGCTGTTTATTAGTATTTACTTGGTGCGTCGGTTCTGGAGTCGTTTAGATCCTTTGGGCCTATTCCTTCCCACTTGGTTGACTTGCCTTATAGATTAGCGGAGTTAGAGGCTGAAGAAGATTTAGAAGTGCCCAGGGAGTGTTTATGGGAATGCCTTAGGCATTGTTCCCCTTACTTCTGCCATCACCCGAATCAGTTGTACATTGTTGGCAATTTGGTAGCATTTTAATCACACTTCAATCGCACTCAAGTCGCACTTTTGGCAACATCAGCCGAAGTATGCTCCTCGATATCGGAGTAGTCGCTTAGCTGGTTCGTTTCCTCTCCCTCTGCACCATATTTCAGAATTATGATAGCTCTCCTGCTACCGCCCCATCTCTGTAGTTTGGCAAAGCATCAAATAACGGGAACGTGGAGATCTTAACACTAGCGTCTTGGCATTCAATGGGCCGAGGCAGAAGCTCTGAGGGGTTCGGCCTGTTTAGAAATCCGCTCTTAATTAGTCTATCACTGTTTCTGCATAATTCATAAACTAGTTCAGGGCGTAAGTCTGGACTGTGCAAGTTGCTATTGACTCGTGTTGCAACTCTCACACCGCAACCTGGGGGGCCTGCGGCTATATATATCAACCTCGGAGCTACATCGTCAGAGCTTACAATATACCATCACCGTCTCGCTTTTCTGAAATCAAGGCTCTTCGAAAACCTCAACTCCAATTTGAAGCTATTCAATATGCCGATCGATAAAATCCAAGTATCAGGCGACCCCCGCATCGAGTACAAAACCGCGACTCTCAACGGCCACAACTACTGTCAGTATCGCACAAGAGCACGACTACGACCCTCAAAATACAGTGAAGAACCACAATCTAACATATAAAAGCTTATATCCTGAGCCAGCCCAAATCAGGCCAATACAGAGCAACAGTATTCCTGGTGAGCATCTCGACACCGCATACATAACACGAAGGGACATACACTAACACCACCCACAGATCCATGGCTTCCCCGACATCTCAATGGGCTGGCGATACCAGATCCCCATGCTAGTGAACATGGGCCTGCGAGTGGTAGCCCCGGATTGTCTAGGCTACGGACGAACAGTATGTAGACCTCCCTACACCACTATCAAATCCACCAACTCATACCCCAAGAAACAACCCACTAACAACAAACCCAGGACGCGCCAGCCGACCCAACTCCCTACGCACACAAGAGCTGCGCAGCAGATATAAAAGCACTAGCAACACATCTAGGCGAAACGAAAATCATCCTGGGTGGACATGACTGGCACGTCCCCCCTCCATCTTCCACGCAAACCAGAACAAAACTAACACCCGAACAGGGGCGCCGGTCTAGCCTACCGCATCGCTCTCTGGCACCCAGAGCTAGTCTCGCATCTTATCACAGTCTGCGTGCCGTACGCAAGACCAATGGAAAAGGAAGTTCAGCTAGAAGACCTCGTCCGCACAGCGGCCCCGCATTTCGCATACCAACTCCAATTCGCGAGTGGGGAGTTGGAGAAGGTTATCCAATCCGAGAGTGATATTCGCCAATTCCTGTTGGCGCTTTATGGGGGACGGAATGATCGTGGTGAGGTCGGTTTCGATGCGCATCGTGGTGTGCTTGTTGATCGGCTTGGAGGGTTGAAGAGGTCGAAGCTTTTGGCGGAAGACGAGGTTGAGTTTTATGTTAGGGAGTTTGGGAGGAGTGGGGTTCGAGGGCCGCGTATGATATCTCTCTTTTTCTCTTTTTGTGAAGTGGTGGAGTTGCTAATTGTTGCAGTGAACTGGTACCGGACCCGGCAGATCAATTATCGGGATGAGCTTGCTATTCTTAATCGGAAGATTGAGGTCCCTACGTTGTTTATCCAGGCGTTGAGGGATCAGGCTTTGCCCCCGCATTTGGGTAAGTCGATGGCTAAGCACATCCCGAGCTTGACTGTGAAGCAGGTTAATACTTCGCACTGGGCTTTGTGGGAGAAGCCTCAGGAGGTCAATGAGATTATTGAGGGGTGGTTGAGGGAGAAGGCTTTTACTGAGGCTAGAGCTGAGAAGCTGTAGCCAAGAGACGGCCGGGGCAATGGCAAATGTGCAGGGTAGGATAGCAAATATTGATTCATCATTGCGTGTGCATAAATATCGTATCTTGGAATCAAGGATGTGGCATCATAGCAAATTGCAAGCAATCAGAAAAGGACTTGAGTTAGGACACAAAAACTGATGAGCAGGTACTGTAACCCCCGTTTAATACTGATACACCTTAGTCTCGATATTGCAGCCAACCTTCTCCAGACGATCGACAAAGCTCTGTCCCATAGTAGCAGGAGTTACAATACCACCACGCGAGACCTTCCTAATGGTTTCCTCATCATTGAGAATAACCATAGCAGCCTCAGCAAGCAACAGCCCAGTGAAAAGGTACATGCTACCCTCGTAGGTAATCTTACCAAAGACCCGCTTAGTCTGCTCACCCTCCGGCGTAGCAATAGCATGGTACTCTAGACGATCATTCATAGAATCCTCTCGGCGCGGGCCGCTACCAGGCGCGAAGATGAATTTCCGCAGGAGCCAGCGCACAGGCGGGAGCGCGAGGAGCACCACGCCAATCGTGAAACCGATGTGCACGGCTAGACCGACGAGGGCGTTGCGTACAGACAGGAATTGTCTGAAGTAGAAGGATTTGCCGTACAGCTCGGGCATCAGGGTGCTGCTGCGGTGCACGAGGGTGATGTCGGCCATTCCGGAAGGGGATGTTGTTACCGTTCCCAGATCGCGGATTGAGCGGAAACCGAGGATCTTGTTGAGGATTGAGTCGCTGGGGATGGTCCTTGGTGGGGCTGAGGCTGCTAGGGCGAAGGGGGTCATTGATTTCATTAGCTCCGATGTTGGGAGCCAGTCGAAGATTGTGAGGATCGTGTCGAGGGTGCCGCCGCTTGGCCCGGAGGATCTGTTTGGGTTGGTTAGATTGGAGGTGATGGTGGGATTTGAGTGTGGGTGCGGGTGTTATATACTTCATTTCCTTGATGGTGCTGTTGATCTCGCGCGTTTGCGAGGATAGGTCCTCTCGGACTCGCTTGACGAGGGACCATGCCAGGATATCAGCTGGCGCGCTCTCAACCCCAGCCGAGGGGATCATCTGTATGCAGTTAGTATATGCGATTATACAAATAGATAGTGGAACTGACAATTGCGCCATTGGCTTTGGCGGTCTCATGGTACTTCTCGATGATCAGTTTGATCCATGGCGTTTCTCCAGTTCTGTAACGATCAGCCAATGTCGGAAACCCTAGATCAAAAGATTGTAAAAACATACGCATCGACGTAGTGAGTCCCGTTGGTAGCGCATGCCTCCACCACTGGAGTCGAGTACAAGTGGTAGGGACCCACACAGTTGATAACGAGCCGCGTCTTCTGGGCAAGCTCATTGAGCTCAGTCGCATTCAGCTGAACGACCAGGACATCTATACAAAGCCAGTAAGCTTGGATACATAGCAGTCAGAGACACATGAGTAACAGGGCTAGGTACCTGGCTCAGCGCGGTCCGGGTTGAGAGCCTTGAGCTGTTTAGCGATGGGCTCCATCTTCTGCAAGGAGCGGCCAGCAATGGCCCATTTCAGGTCGGTGGGGTGGTTCTGCACAATGTGCTCAGCGCAGAATTGGCCCGTGTAGCCCGTTGGGCCCAATAGGACCAGGTCATATTGGCGGTTGGAAGTCATGGTTGTTGCTGGGGATAGATGTAGGTTCTGCAGAATGGGAGCTCGCGGATCACAAGCCTCGGCAAGCTAGTCCAAGATGTGGTATGTGCTTAAACAGAGGAATTTGGCCGTGAAATGGGAGATGGAGGTTCTGCACACAACTAAAAGCTATTGAAGTTACACAATTTCCTCTGAGCTACTTGTAATGCGTATACATATGTTCTTTATAATTCACGTGACCGGATAGATCGATGACCCGACTGCCCTTGTTTCCGTCTGGAACAAAACCAGGCCGATTGAAGTATCCGAGGCACCTGTGATTTCGGTGATCTTGACACACCTGAATTCGATGGAATCGACATCATTATGGAGCCACAGTAAAAAATGTATAAAAAAGCACTAAAAAGAGGAGCCAACTGACATCATGGAGCCCCAGAGAAGCCCAAAGTAAGCATTGTGGCCCGCCTGAGGCCACAACACTACCGCATTGGGCACCATGACATAAGCCCACACAAGTCAGGTGATCTACTGAGCCAAGAGCCCTAAGCGAGAATCCACAGCACAACCCGCTCATTCAAAGCGTCGTTTTCGATCTCCTGTTCAGTACCCATCTTCATCCTCTACCACCAGCCAAGATGACGAAGCGCACCAAGAGTATGTTCCTCTCACGATACCTCGACACATCGCATGCCGGATCCCTTTGATTTTTCAATGCTAACTGTTCTCTCCAGAGGTCGGCATCACCGGTAAATACGGTACCAGGTATGGCACACTCGAACTCCGCGCACACACATGAATTCCTCGATCGACGGACAACGAACAACGAACATTCTCACAACACGACCACGATTCTAACAATGCTTCAACAGATATGGTGCTTCCCTGCGTAAGCAGGTGAAGAAGATGGAAGTCACCCAGCACGCCCGCTACGTCTGCACTTTCTGCGGAAAGAACACCGTCAAGCGCAAGGCTGTCGGTATCTGGGAGTGCAAGGGCTGCAACAAGGTTGTTGCCGGCGGTGCCTACGCCGTCTCGTAAGTCGCCCATTCAGAACACTTAGCCGTCGTCCTGGGAACTGGACCGGACCGGACCCAGACGCGCGCGCTCCTTGAACACAAAGAAGACGTTTACTGACTATTGCCTCGCTTATAGCACCCCCGCTGCTGCCGCCACCCGCTCCACCATCCGTCGTCTCCGTGAGATCGCCGAGGTTTAAACGGGAGGATTATGTGGTTTCCTATTTCTTCTACGGTTACGTCTGAATACCAAAAATGAATGAAAAAATTCGGGATTCGAATTCAATTCTTGTGCTTGCGCCAATCTTCGTACAATGTGACGGACGAGCTCTAAGCTTTCGGTTGCTTCCACTCTTTCCATCTGATAGACACTCGACCTCTTCCTGCCTTTTCTTCTGTTTGCGACCGGGTGAATCATATGGATTGACTGCGAACTGTGGTCTTTTGATGTGGTTCTCCGAAGTTGGACAGTCACGTAGACTTGACCTGGGTTCTGAAGTAGTGACCTGGTCATGTTGAGTCAGAGGATGTTCTGATGAGGACCATGTATGCGCTGGGTGCCTGGCATATGGCCCACCTGACGCGGGTCAGCCACAGATTTTCGCCATTATGACTAAGATGAGAACTCTGCCGCCTTTTGTGTCATCAGCTGCGATCCAGCCCAAAAATAGGTTCATTGTAGACTTGGAAATACCTCGCAACTTTCGTAGTGTTGTATAAGGACCCTGCGTGAGTCCAGATGTTCCCATCCACATTGACATTCATATACAAGTTAAGCGTCGAACCCAGACCTACTCAATCCCGTTCGAATATGCCCCATCCGCTATTAGAGGAAGACCGTGAACGTCAGTCGTAGACAACTTCACATTTTCTATGTGCTACCCGCCGTCAAGTGAAGACCATAAACTTATTCGTAGACGATACGCTATACTAATCGAATATGAAGCCAACCTAAGCCACTGTGGTCAGCTACAATCCAGGGCATCAGTCGCCTCTGTCACGTTCCTGTTTTGCGTTAGTCCGGCAATCCGGCCCACCTTCAAAAGGCCCTCCCCACACCTTCTTCGCTTCTACACTTCGCTCTTCATGGACTTCGCCTCCAACTTCTTTGTCCATGTCCGACGTGTGTATTGTCTGTTTAGGAGACCTTGGTGAAGGCGCTGGCGATCCTCTTGAGCCTGTGAGCCTGGATGGGAATGGCGACTTCAAGGATGGGCTCGAGGATTCGAGCCAGATCGCCCAGCTACTTCCCTGTGGTCATATCCTACATAATAATTGCTTGAAGCCTTGGGTGGAAAGGGCAAATAGTTGCCCGATATGTCGTCGCAGTTTCAATATGGTTGAGTTGAGTGACCGGGTAGGAGGTATGACCCCCTTCCTGGAGTATGATGATGATGAATGTCTATACTAACTAAAGCCTTCTTCACTGATAGGAGCGGTTACTTCATCATACGCTGTTCAAGACCGGACGCAAGTCGCCGATGTTGACCCTTCTATGGTCATCGAAGATGACCCGGCCGACTTCCAACCCTGTACACTTTGCGGTAGCGCGGATCACGAGGATGTCTTACTTCTTTGTGATGGATGTGATGCTCCATCGCATCTATTTTGCCTAGGACTGGACGAAATACCCTCGGGAGCATGGTACTGTCAGCGATGCGAATCACAACGGACATCGGCGGCGGCTGAGGTGTCGGCGCCGCCTTCGCGCCCGGTCGAGCAAAGGAGTCGACGAACGAGGGCGCAGCAGAGGCGACTGCAGAATACCAATCAGACAAATTCGCATCACTGGGCCAGGGTCTGGCAGTCTGTCTGGGATCATCTGAATCTCGATCTGGACTTCCCATTCGATGACGATCGCTCCGCCGAACGGGTTATGCAGCAGCGTCGTCGCGAAGAGGCCAACCAACGCGAGTTTCAGGCCTGGCAACGTCGCTTTGAGATCGCTGAACGCCAGGGTAGTGGTAATCGCTTCCGCGACACAGCGTCGCTATTTGATCTTGAACCTACCCGACCATCTCGTCCCCGCGTTCCCAGAGTGCCTACGCCCGAGCCCGAGTCTTTGGAGGAAATGCGAGCATGGAATGCTTTTGAGAGAGCTCGGGAGATTGAAAACAACCCGAACGCTGCTCGAAAGCGCAAAGAACCCACTATGTCGCCGTCCCCCGAACCCACCGAGCCTCAGCGCAAGTTAAAACGTCCTCGCACGAGGCGGCCGCAAGAACTAGCAGCACTCGCCCAACAAAACCAAACCGGGGAATCATCTAGAGCTGCAAGTGCTAACGCGCGAATAAATGGTGAAAGCTCTGGCGGTCCAAGCTTCTTATCGTCGCTATTAAAGGAGGTTGAAGATGCACCTAGCCGCAACTCATACGGACCGTCCGCTGCTACATCTGTCGTCCTCACCGATGGCCCATCCCCTGGCCCATCCTCCCCATCAATATCGCCTGCTTCTTCTAGTCGTTCCTCTCCCATCATGTCCTCTACCACCCCACCTCCTTTCCCGCGAAGCCGACCCATCTCCCCTATCCAACTATCCTCCCCGGCCGAACCCTCATCACCACCCTTCTCCCCCGAAGTCTCATTTTCGGGCAGTCCATCCAACGGCGCCAACGGCACAACAGAGGATACAACACCTCGTTCAACTGGTCGCCCCCGATCTCGTATCCCCCAACGAGCACTCCATGCACTCCAGACATCACACTCCCGCTCAGCAGACTCATCCCCAACCCGCGCGGGTCCAAGCCTAGCCCTCAAATCCGACATCCAGAGAATGGTCGGCACAGCCTTGAAACCCCACTACCGAAAGAAAACCATTTCCAAAGAACAATATACGAACATCAACCGCACCATCTCTCGAATGCTATACGATCGAGTCGGCGACAAGCAAACCCTCGAATCGGACGAACGCACCAACCTCGAAACAGAGGCTCGATACGAAGTGCAGAATACCATCGATGCCCTCAAACGAAAGAGCAAAGAGAAGCAGCGCATGCTAACCGCCGACTCGGACGGTGATCCTTAATCCTTAATGACTATACGAACCCGAGGCATTTGTGGCGTTCTCAGCGATTCGATATTCAGTGAATTTCTTGGTCATTGAATGGATCCTGTATAACTGGCGTTTTGACCGTCCATCGAGGCTGGTTCTTGTTTGTACTTTTTACTCTTTGTTTCTGTTTCTGAGCGTGGCATCTTGTGGCGATAATTGCTGTTTCTTCTTTACATATACCCTCGGATGGGATTGATTTGGACTGCTATACTTTTTGTAGAGCTTCTCTGGTCTTTTTCTTCGACTTATATACTATGTTTCAAATATCTATTTTGATTATTGGCCATTGGATCAATTGGATCAAACTAAATGACCTTGGGTAAAAGACGTATAGTATTTCGTTCAAGACGCTAAACCGGTAGGACATAACCGGCGTTAGGCCAAACAATCACGAAAGATGTCCCAGCTCGCCATAACGTTGTTATTCCCCCAAGAGCATGGATCCAAAGACTATGACCAAAAAACACCAACCATATTATTTTGAAGCTGGGTTTTGTGCAGCCACCATTATGCAGGCCCACAGTATCGCGCTCGGGGCTGAGGGATATATTTGAAGTGGCACTCGGTGTCTATCATTTTGCGGATTGGACATTGCTAACGTGGATGAGAGCATAGAGCCTCGGAATTTTGTACATTACTGCCCAAAAAGGTCGGAATATATCGTGAGTTATGAGGCAAGAAGCTTATAAAAAATGAGAGCTTGTAACAAACGAGGTAGCATTGATTGTGGGAGGGAAGTAAAGCCGATCCCTGTTCTCGCGGGAATGTAGATCATGTTGAACTGATCTGCGCTATATGCAATTGTACCGCACGTCTACGTAAGGGATTTCAATAATTCGGCAATGCGGCCGTAGTTTGCTGGTCTGATCTGGGTGACACTTGTTTGTCATGATGAGACCCGGATCAATATGTGCGACGCAGTCTTGGAAATTAGATAGAATTCTTAGCTCCCCTTCACAGTCATACGTGTATACCTATGTGGCTCCACAAGAATCTTATGATATAATTGGGATTGGTAGCTCTTCTCTCTTTCTGGAAATTGACATGTTTACATGTACGTGGTCATAACAACCCACACGTGCTACCTCTTGATTCTTTTTCTTCAGATATTCGACTCTTGCAATATCTTTGATTTTACATAGGAGCCATGGGATTTCACATTGATGCAATCGAAGATGACCAGCTTGCTGCCATTTTGGCTGAAGATGGAGGTTTTCCCAATGACGAGATCTTCAATACTCTACTCACTCTCGCTCGCGAGGTCAAACATGTTATTGTCCATGACCCGCAAGCCCAATTGAATGTAACATATGATCATTTCATCACGGATCTTATTCATGTGCGCCACAGCCTCAAAAAGCAATTGTCTGCACATCTTAATGCCGAGGGATCGATGCTGGAAGAAGGCTCCCTTGTTTGCCTTATAGCACCGGCAAGCTACGAGATTGCAGTAGCTGCTTTCGCAATTCTTGCGCTAGGTGGCACGATCGTTCCTCTCTGTGTGTTCCAATGTTCCTTCTTCAATTTACCAAGATGAAAGGCACAACTAACGTCGGTTTAGTAATGTCTCTTCCTCCAGAGGGTGTTTCGGACATGCTGCGAAATAGCCCAGTCAAGTGTATTTTAGCTGGTACAGGGTACCTCCAACAGGCCACAGATATACAGTCCTATGCAGCTTCCAATTCACTCCCTGCAATACAGGTCGCCCCCATTAAAGTGCATCACGCCTGCCCCGAAGCACTATGGGACCTACCCATTCGGATAGATGAAAAGTTTATCATCCCCGAGACACGTTCAGGGATTATAATGGCCTCTTCTGGCACATCTGGAACCACCAAAGGAGTCATACGCAGCCGTGGCTTCTTCTACAACCATCCGCGCGCACCAGCATATGAATCAATGCTAGTCCACCGCCCGGCGACTTGGATTGCAGGGATCAAGCCCTTGACTTTTTCTATTTTGATGGGGTGCAGAGCAGAGATCATTGATCCAGTCGCCGGCATGGATTTATTGTGGGAAAGGCTGCGAGCTCGCCGTGTGACGAGCATATGTTCAGGTCCCTTACTGTGGACACAGCTTGCTCAGTATTATAGGGAACATCTCTCACATCTTCCAGAGAAGGATGAATATATCCAAGGAGCTATGCACATACGTGATGCTTCAACGGGATCATGTGTTGTTCTGCAACCTTTGCTGAAGTTTTGGAGGGATGAGATTGGAATGCGCTTGGCGCTTTGCTATGGTAGCACCGAAGCAGGTGTGCCTATCACCGCGGTTTATCCAGAGGAAGAAGAGTATAACGAGCAGGTATGGTATTCTATTTGCCGATAGTCTTCGTCCAGGATCTAATCTTGTCATACGATAGCGATGCATTGGCAAGCAGCTATTTGCCAATATGCCAGTCAAGCTTTCAAATGGTGACCATGGAGAGATACTTGTGGGAGGTGTTACTACCTTCTTAGGGTAAGTTATGTTACTCAGATGAAACAATCTCTGAATATATGCAGCATTTACTGGCAGGTAGCAGGTACCTCAATGATGAGGTTCCCTCAACTACTTACTTCGACGACGAAGGATTCTTCAAGACTGGAGACCTTGCTCACAAACTGAATGATCACTTCATCTTCGACGGTCGAGCATCCATTAAGTGTGAGTTCACCCTGACATTCAATTGCCATATTTTCTTTTCTAATGGGGGCAGTCATCTGCAACTCTGGGGCACCGTCTCTGTTCTGAAGCTGGAAGAAGCACTTAATGGGCTTTCCTGCATAGAGGAGGCATATGTCGTTCCTGTGCAAGATCAGAAACTCGCAGAACGAGCTGGTGCTCTTGTTCGATTCGTCGACCAGGATCTCACTCTGCAGCAGCTTCGGGTTAGGCTGGCCCCTCATGTCCGTCCTGCGATGCTTCCCACTGCATTGCGAGTCTTGCGGATTGAGGATACATTGCCCAGAACGCATAGTGGTAAGATTTCAAAGTGAGCTCTTCGAAAACAGTTCTTCCCGTTCACCCCAGGTGTTGGATTGCCAAACGATGTTGAATTGTGGAATCTTGACTTTGATTGAACAAAAGGATCGAACACTTTTTACTATAGGAGACGGTGGTTTCCCTACTTAGGTCTATTAATACGGTCCCCGAATCCGTCAAACCCCTTAAACTTGAAGCAGTAGCCAGTCGAGTGCATACTGAATAAAGTATGCAACGGAATTGTACATATGCTAGGCATTAACACTCGCACTCTTTGTCATTCCAATCCCAACTGCTGCAGTAGTCCCTGCATCAACAGGGAGAATCACACCAGTCATCCACCGAGCATGAGGCCCCGCGAGAAAGACAACTGCACCAGCACAATCCCATCCATTTCCTTCGGTCCCTAATAGACTTCGCTTTCGACGGGCTTCCCGCGCCTCTTCACTCATCCCGTTCCCATACATCATGGGCGTATACAGCATCTGATAACAATTAGCTTTGACACTTCAGTAGAAGGATGCTGAGAAACATACACCCGGACACACGCAATTCACACGAATCCCCTCTGGTGCATGGTGAGCGGCCATAGCACGAGTCATATTGACAATCGCTCCCTTGGCAGTGGGATACAACAGGTGAGGTGTGCCTCCTTTCAGGCCAGCAACACTTCCCATGTTCACAATGCTTCCTCTGATCTCGCCGTCGTTCTGGATCATTCTTGGAATTGCATACTTGGCCATGTGAACCATACTTGCAACATTGATATCCATACTCTTTGCCCACTGCGTCATATCGACCTCAACTGCAGTACCCGCTGCACCTCCAATCCCGACATTGTTGATCAAGATATCCAGTCGTCCGAATTGCTCTATGGCGGCCTGTACTGCTGCTTGACAATTCTCTTCCGAGGTGACATCCGCGCGAAATGCAAGTGCCCGTCCACGACCAGGCTTGGAGTTGATCATTTCTACCGTCTTGTTGGCCCACTCTAGATTGAGGTCGATGCAAATCACATCGCAGCCATCATCTGCAAGAAGTATTGAAATTGCACGCCCGTTTCCAATGCCATCGCCTAGACAGCCTGCGCCAGTGACAATGGCAGCCTTCCCGGCTAAGGATCGTGATGGGGGATATGATGGGATGCCGGCATCCATAGTTGGCGTTTTCGGGTTCTTGGAACTGCTCGAAAACATACAATTGTCATCTACATATGGTTCATATATTCATACTGATTTTTCATTAGGTGAGTCGATCATGCGGGGTATTGACCATCGAAAGTAGCCGAACCGAGGCCTGTGGAGTAGTGATGATCCAAGTCTCAACAAAGCTCCCAGTCAGTCACCATCAACCTCGATCACCTACATAACAATGGACTTCTCCGAATACACTGGTCCCAGCGCCGAATGGCTGGCACTTGAACCAACGCTCCCGGCGGTCCCCAAGGACCTCTCGGTGGAGCAATTGAAGGCATTGCTAAACAAGGGCCGCGAGGAATCCGCCGCCCAAGACATGATAGACCAAGGCCTGAGCTCGCTCGTTCAAATGCATGATCATACGGTAATTGCTCGCGACGGCACAGCCCTTGAAGCACGCACCTATCGCCCCGCCGGCGTCCCCATCTCCGAGCGCTTGCCGGTATACGTCCACCTTCACGGCGGCGGTTTCCTGTTTGGAACACTTGCCTCCGAGGATGCGACCTGCTCGCGCATTGTCGCATCGCGAGCTAAGAATGGCACACCTGTCATGGTTTTCAATATCAATTACCGCCATACACCCGAGCATCGCTACCCCACCGCATGGAACGATACCGAAGACGCCTTCGTCTGGCTGCACGAACACATCGCTGAAGTCGGCGGTCTCGCCGATCAGGTTGTTGTCGGTGGTATCTCTGCCGGAGCGTGGATGACAGCCTCATTGGCGCTGGCGCAGCTGCGCGGCGATGATAAGCGTCTCGCTGCCTGTCCGAAGATTGCGGGGCAAGTGCTCATGATACCTTGTCTTGTTCAATGGGATCACTATGCTCCCCGAATAGAAATGTTGAAGAGTCCTGACTTGTCGAGTTATGTGCAGTGTGCTGATGCGCCTATTCTGCCTGTTACTCGGATGAAGTTGTTTAGCGCGTTGCTTGGGGTCGAGGACGCTCGGGATTCTGCAGGGGATCGTCGTATGGGCCCTGGTAATGCTACTGCTGAGGAGGTCAAGGGTTTACCTCCTACGACTTTTGGAATTGCTGGGAATGATCCGTTGAGAGATGAGGGTATCTTCTATGGAAAGCATCTCGCCGAGAACGGGTAAGTTGGACCGATATTTTGAGTGCTTTCTTACATTTTAACCTCCTATTTCACTAGGATTCCCACCAACATTCATGTCTTCCGCGGCGTGCCTCATGGTTTCAGGAGGTATGGTGACAAACTACCCGGAAGCAAGAAATGGGATGAAGTGATGAGTGGTGGTATTACATGGGCACTGGAAAAGCCTGCAGCTGGTCCATTCGTGATCAATTCAGACTAAATTTCAGCTTCAGAAGAATCGTAAATCAAGATCCCTGGACATATTCTCGGCGATATCTACCAGGGTCGTTTTATATCAGTATTCATCTAGTATAAGCCTTGACTTGCAATAGAATTCATTATATTCTAGCTATATAGGCAACATTCCGACAAAGCATGAGCAATATAAAGTCCAAATAGCAGCAATAGCCCAATGAAATACTCCATTCGTCTATTCGGAGCTCTATACGGCTATAGACAATAGACCCGAACATATTCACCGCCCGCATTGAGGACCCGCAATCCCGATTGTCCGATTGTCCGTTGAGTCTTCCTATTCAGCTTCATCGTCTTATTGCTCTCGGTTGTGCATGTCTATTGTCCAATGGATGCAATGTAATGCCAATTAGCCTGCTGTGACCCCCGCACTGTCATAGAGGGCAGGCCCCTTTTCGCCCCCTTCGTCTTGCCAACCTTCACTCTTCGAACAACCAGGCAATATTTGATTTCTTGCGCAGCTCAGAACTCCAAATCCTCGAAACTTCCAGGCTGTTACCTCCGCGACCAACACCATTTGCCCTCGCGCCACAGTCACCTAGCCATTTCGCCAACCCGAACCCCACACTCCGCAATGCCCTCCTCCGCCACGAACGGAGCCTCCTCCACCCCGGACGCTCTGGAGTCCGATCTCCTTGTCAAATTGTCAGCCAGTTGCGCCCTCGAAGATCTCCAAGAAACCCTACTTGGTTCTCTCCACCGTGTAGGTTGGACCGACAAAGTCACGACCCTCGCCACTGAACTCCTCCGCGCCGGCCGATGCGAAACCTTCGACGATGTGATGGAGGCAATCCTAGCTTCAGCAGAAGGCAGACCGCACCGCGCGCTAAGCTCAAAGGCCACAAACGGTGAAGCAACAACAAACGGCACGAACGGCACCAAGAAAGGCAGCAAAGAGAATCCCCCCTACGACCCTCTGAAGTACATTGAAGAAGTTGATGTCCGGATACCTGAAGCGGTGGTGGATGAAGGCGTCCGCGGTCTCAAGGATATCCTACGGGATGTTGCCGACCTTGAGGGAGAGAGTGCGCCCAATGGCGACAAGAAGTAATGATACCGGATGGAGGCGGCACTTCAAAGTGCGATCATGCATGGCTGGGTTTTCCTTAGGAGTACAAATGTTTTCGGGCGTGGCTACGGCATTGGACTTTGTTTCTTCTGTTTTCCCGTTTACGATTCGCGGGGGTACATGTGAAGTCCACAGGCGCTCTTGCATCTCAATAGACATATTACACCGGGGTTCTGCATATTCCCCATTTAAGCACTCGATCTCCCCGTGTTCTCTATCCTTATAAAGAGACTTAACTTGACTCGATCTACTCTAGAGGTTCAGACATTCCTTATGATGCAATGAGGCACTGTATTGGAAGGGTTTGCTGTAATGAGACCTCAACCGCAGAGCGTGGGGGCTATAGCCAAAGTGGTAGCCCTAGTGGGCATTTATCAGGTCAATCTCTTTCGATAGTGGGATGAATCCATCTGCTGAAACGCAGGGGTGTGTCTAGCAAAATCCTCGGAAATTAACCGCGCATTGTGGAAAGAGCCCCCAAAATTGGAGATATCTCATTGAAACAGGTATCTGTAACGTCGAATTCCACTTTCCATTAAAAAGCCGTATAAGTTTGTCCACCTACATGTATTAATCACCTCAACTGCGTCTCATGAGTATACCGGCCCTGTGGAATGCAGAGTCCCAATCAATCGGATTATATATCGCTATTCTGTCAAAGCATTATTATATATCTATGTTTTAAAATCAGAATGAAATGATAGTGTAGAGTCCAAGGAATATAATCAATTAGATTGCTGTAAGAAAGCGAGTGTGGCAGCAGTATACATGCACTGATCACTCTTGTATCAATCATCTGGCGGGGCACATTTGAGATCTGTGCAGAAAATCTGAAACCGATTACTCTATTGCGGGATATCGGGATATGCCCGTCCAAGAAAAGAGAATATATGTACTCCAATAATGAAGTTATATAGTAGAAGAGAACAGAAGTATAGAGTGGGACGAATAAACTGGGGCGAGTCCAGACCGAGTCACGTGTACATCACATCAGACCGTCGTCTTCGCCTAATCTCGAGCTTCGTTCTTGGCTCATCTCAGTTTGTTTTGCTTCAGGGGAACACTTGTTCTGCGATCCTGTGCTTCATCGCATCTCACCATTACATCGAACCCCTGTCCATCCCCGCTTTACTCGAGTTGTTGATTGCCGCGTCAACGTTCGCCCACGACCACACCCCTCCTCGGAACTGCAAGAAAGTCAGTTCGCTCGAAACGCGCGACACAAAACATATATCGTATCCCCGAACAGCCCCTGTTCGTTCCATGTTCGCCTGTCAACTTTTGAGTCCTCGCCCGGGTCCCTCTTTCTACCCGCGCTTCGCAAAATAGAGCATTCGGCGCATTACCGCCGATAATCATTTCGTCCGCTCTGCCTGGTCCCGGTTCCTCCACTTTGGCGGTGGCGCCTGTGCACCCCTCATTTAATTCCCCAGTCCTCGGTGAATATCATTTTGCAGCTACAGACCCGCGATCATGTCTCTTCACCCCTCCTACCACGCCGACTCCGACGCGGATGATGAGTATGAACGCAGCGTGATCACCTCGCCACACCTTACAATGGAGTTTGAGACGTCGCCCACGGATTCGAACATTTCATCGGCAGAACACACCCCGACCAAGTTTGGTCACCCGAGTGATGGTCCTCGTTCCCCGCGAACACTCATTACAGAATGGTCGATCGAGGAATGCCAGGAATTCCTGACGTCACTTGGATTGCTTCAATATCATGGCACATTTAGAGGTAAGCAGACTGATTGCCGAATAAATCAGTCGCCAGTTTCTAATCACAACATGTCGCGCAGAGAATGGAATTGTCGGCGAAGCACTTATTGCCCTGAAGCACGAGGAGTTGAAAGAAATGGGAATTAACAGTGTGGGGCATCGCCTGACGATCTTGAAGAATGTATATGAAATCAAAGTCAAACAAGCGGTTCCTTTGGATGCGGATCATTATATCCCGCTTTGTATGTTGCCCACTCCTTCGAAGCAAACATGTTCTAATCTATATATAGCTGCGGATCAAAGCATGAACGAGACAGCAACGCAGGATGATCTTGCGCGTTTGATCAAGTCGATCCAGGTTCGAGATGAGAAGCTCATGTTGGTTGAGACAGAGCTGCGTCGGATCACAGATGATTACCGAAGATTGCGCGAAGAAATTCTTCCAGTGATCAAGATAGCAAAAGATCGTTCACACCCACTGCCTCCGCCATCTTCAGCAGGGCAGAATCCAGACTGGCATGACAGCAATTCAGGCACAATTACCTCGCCTTCTCAAATAACGCTCAATAACGAGAACTCTTCTTCGTCAAAGCTCGCGCGGGCTTTCTCGAAACGCATTCACACCGGCGGTGCCACGCCAAAAAACCATTCTCCAACGCACATTCCGCCTATGATACACGAAGGGCGTTCTCATCACGATACCTCGAATCCCTCAGCCCCTACGCTGGCTGCTTCATCCCATCTGACAGCCTCGATGAATGGACAATCGCAGCACTCGCCTGGAATTCCATCCCCGACCTCGCCCAACACTCACCATGCGCATCCTCAAACACTCAATCCGCGCTCATACTCCCAACCAAATGCTAACACCAACCGCAACACGAACTATGACTATGCCGAACAAACACCCACAATGCATTCTCGTTCAGACCGACTCACCCCAAGTCAAATGCCGACATCCCGCACTGAGACTCCGTCCTCATCACGCCTTGACCCGCGCAATGACCCGCGTCATGACCATCGAACCGAGTCACGGGCCGAGTCAAGAGCTGGCGGTGGCGAACCATCCAGCGTGGAAATCTTCAAGTCTTTCCGAGTATCATGGGAAGACCCTTGCTACAAAGTCCTACCAGCTGCGCTCAAAAAATACAACATCAACTCGGACTGGAAGAATTACGCACTTTACATAGTTTACGGCGATCAGGAGCGTTGCTTGGAATTGAATGAAAAGCCCCTTCTCCTGTTCAAACAGTTAGAAAAGGAAGGCCGAAAACCAATGTTCATGCTCCGAAAGATTCACATGGACACACCTGGAGCGACCCCCGGACCTGGCGGCACGGCACCCAACAATGCCGGCTTTGAAGGTGGCCGCCAAGGCCAAATAAACCTGCCCGGCGGTGTTTTGTGATCTTGAAAATTCCCTTTTCAATGCACTCCTGTTTGTGGCTTGAGATACCCGGTGTTTTACCTACGTGCTAGATCACTTTTTCTACCCCTGCATTTTTTTTGAATCAATCCTTTCTATTGTTGGTTTCTTTGGTGTTTGTGTACAATCGGAGAGCCGGATTTGGAGTGTTGGATTCATGAGTACCTTTTGGGCGTTTCCTTCTTTTTCAACGTTGTCTATATTCCTGGCGCGTTGGTCCCATGCAGCATTGTGCATCAGCCTTTTCCTTTTGTTTTCTTTCTTCACAAGATTCTTCTTGTTTGGCATAGGACTTTCGTCTGACGTTTTGGCATAGTACATTTTAAGCTTGTACATGATATTCCCATTACTTATCCGAATGCCTCCTGGTAAATTTTACATTGGCATGACCTTAAACAAGAGGCCTATATGAGTTATCTCCTAGCGTTTCTATGACTTTACGATATTGACTATAAATATAGTAACCTGTCTTACATGCTTTCCAGGGATAGTGATGCTTATAGACGGCGCAGATGAGTGGTCCGCAACTTGCTAATCTGTAGTTGAACAAACACATTTTCATTGTCGTCGCTACTCACTTACCAAAGACCGTGAGATTACTGTTATTACACTTACCCTTGATTTTAAATCTGCAGAAACTCGGCTTCCATCCGGCCGGACAGTTTCGAGCTCATTGATTGGCACGGTGGACGTCGCGATTTTCGGCCCCCAAATGGCTTTTCTTTGAATACAAAACACGTCCGGAGTGGATGATGATCTTTCTCGATGGGTGGATGGCTCGCCTCTTTGGGATGTGCTTCGATTCTGAGCGATCTGGACAAATCGTCATGAGCGCATTGGCGAGATTCCCATGCTGGTTAACCGAAAGCTAGGCCATGTGGTTAATCCCGCTGACCGCTTGTCCAAACTAGAAACCAATCACCCATCCCTGACTATAGGTCATTGCCTCCGCAAAGAACAGCCGAGTGTGTTCCAGAAGGAGGAAGAAGACCCTGCGGAAGAGGGTGGCGCCTGGCTTCCCAGTAGTGTGAGCATGGCATCCGTCTTCGGCTATGGCCGAATGAGTGCCGATCTATATCTCGCTTTGTCTACTCGGAATTTGCCGTGGCTTGATCGAGCAGTTCTGTGGGCTTGAGTGGGTTCAGAAGTTCATTCGCGTGTGTCGATCAACGGTTTGCATGTTTTTATTGAGCTTTGAAGATATAGAGGTTTAGGTAGTCGCGAAATGCGGTCGAATTGATTACAAAAGTGTACCTGGTAAATTCATTCTAGCGAAATGATCTATGTAACGCTACTTAGACACACTTTGAGCCCAACCAAGAAACCAAAAGACTCTCACCTTGGCAATCTCACAAATGCCTCATTTCGGATAATCAACGGACTTAACATTAAATGGTCCGTGCTAGAAAAGCAACGGTTCGCAACACCACCCATGTCAGTGGCTTGAGCGCAATATAAACAGCAAGGGGGCGGAAGGCTAAAAAAGGCAACGTGTCAGAGATCATCGACGCTAAGTTCCAAGTTACAGCAGTTACAGAACAAACCTGGGAAACAAATAATTCTCTGGGGAATCTCCCTCGGTGAGCAAAACAGGTTGGTTCTTCCCCAGTCCTCCGCATCTCCCAGGAAGCGGGGGATGTCACATCGGACTACACGTACATGTATGTGAATGTTATTGCGCACTCGGTTCTAAACATGTCATCTTCCCAACCTTGGAAAGAACCATGACCGCTCCACTCCAGACAACCAGTCATAAGAACAAAGCCGAAGCCTGAAACATTTTCAATTTAACTTTTCAGCGGAACGCAGAGACCGGCAAAGTCCAAAGGGTGAAAAAAGAGATGGGAAAAGAAAATAAACGGACATCGGCCCACGCCGTCCCACCAGAACATACACTGGAAAGGCCCGAGTCGTGTCCGAACCCACATCGGCGTCAGCCAACGAGGCCGTAGGATGCCGTGCTGGGTTCCCGTTCTGGGAAAATGGCCGTAGTCGGGCCCCCGGACTAGTATGTGCGCGGGACTCCTCCCCCAATGGATTTGTGCATCTACAGCTAAGTGGGTTTCTCCGGCTAATTGCAAGAAAGTCACAGTCGGCTAGGCAAAATTACGTTTAACACTGTCAGGGTTCGGGATATACAGAGCCGAGACGCATTCCATACGTGTTTTGTGGGTTAATCTGGGGACGGAAAAAACTTGTTCATGGACCCCCTTTTTTCTGATGTACAGGAACCACATTTACCTTATTTTCTTGTTTACATGTTTTATAGACAACCAAGTACCATTTTGAACTCTCTTTCTCTCAAGGCTCTGCCGAGAAACGCCACTGCCGTCCCGAGTGCAGGGAGTCAGCCGGCCTTTTTCTGTCCACCCGAACACGGCTTCAGGCCGGGTTCAGGGCTAGAAATACAGCGCTTGACTAGGTTGGGCCTAGTGGTGTCACCCTCGTGGCCGATTCCCCGGATCCCATCAGGGTGCCGGATGGTTGGCCAATAAGAGCCAGGGAGTGGGGTAGCTGGGGAGATGACGGACCAATTAAAGTAGTTCCATAAGCCTGGGGTTGCAAACGGGGTCTTGGCAGCCTTGTGTACGAAGTGTATGTATCTTCCTTTGTATTTCGAGTCCCGCATAGATTGTCTCTTTTGCCGCTATTATCCCGTGTATGGCATGCCTTGATTAGACGGGGCCACGGACATCTCAGCTGTAGAATTTCCCACCTATTTAACCAGCCCTCCCCTTCCGTTCCCAGCTCTCCTGATCGACTTTCTTTTTCCCTTTTCACTTGCCCCCTCTGGGATCAAAATTCACCATGTTTGTCGTGGGGAATATCTACGTAATTGCGGCGGTGTCCGTCATTGGCGGCGCGCTCTTCGGTTTTGATATTTCGTCCATGTCGGCGATTATCGATACTCCTGCCTATAAATGTTACTTCAACCATGGACCTAATGGCCCCCCATTCAATGATGAGCCGCACTGCTCTGGTCTAAGCTCGCTGGAGCAGGGTGGTGTCACTGCTGCTATGCCTGGTGGTTCTTGGCTTGGTGCTTTGATCTCGGGTTTCATTTCGGATCGTCTGGGTCGCAAGTATTCTATTATGGTTGGTTGTATTATCTGGTATGTGCTGGCATTATCCCGGTGTCCTTGGCTATGTCTACTTTGCTAACAATCTTAATCTGTAGGATTATTGGCTCTATTATCATTTGTGCCTCCCAGAACATGGGTATGCTCATCGCTGGTCGTATCATCAACGGTCTGAGTGTCGGTATCGAGTCTGCTCAGGTTCCCGTCTATATCTCTGAGATTGCACCTCCATCTAAGCGTGGTCGTCTCGTCGGCTCTCAGCAGTGGGCTATTACCTGGGGTATCCTTATCATGTACTAGTAAGTACCTCCGTCTTTGATGCGACTATCCCACTCTTTAAACGTTTCTTTTTCACTCCCTTTTGCACACTTACTTCCCCAGACATATAATCTGAACAACATACTAACCCTTATCCCTTCAGCATCTCCTTCGGTTGCTCCTATATCGGAGGCAAGCTCCCAACAGACTACAGCGAACAAGTCTTCCGCATTCCCTGGGGTGTCCAGATGGTCCCCGCCGTCCTCCTCTTCTTCGGAATGACGATCCTCCCCGAATCTCCCCGTTGGCTAGCCCGCCACGACCGCTGGGAAGAAGCCCAGTCCGTGCTAGCCTTAGTCCACGGCAAAGGCGACGCCAACAGCCCCTTCGTCATCGCCGAGATGCAAGAAATTCGCGACTTGTGCGAATTCGAGCGCCAGAACAAGGACGTCTCCTACCTCGAACTCTTCCGCCCCAAGATGTTCCACCGCACCATGACTGGTGTCTGGTGCCAGATCTGGTCCCAGCTCACCGGTATGAACGTCATGATGTACTACATTACCTATGTTTTCTCCATGGCCGGCTACGAGGGCAATGCCAACCTCCTCGCTTCCTCTATCCAGTACATCATCAACGTTGTCATGACCGTCCCGGCCCTGATCTGGGTTGACCGCTGGGGTCGTCGCCCTACCCTCCTGATCGGTGCCACGCTCATGATGATCTGGATGTTCGCCAATGCGGGTATCATGGGCAAGTACGGTGTCGTCGTTCCGGGCGGTATCAAGGGTGTTGCTGAGGCATCGATGAGACTCTCCGGCACACCTGCTAAGGGTCTCATCGCCTGCACTTACCTCTTCGTCGCCTCCTACGCCCCAACATGGGGTCCTGTCTCGTGGGTCTACCCTCCCGAGCTGTACCCTCTGCGCGTGCGTGGCAAGGCCGTTGCGTTGGCTACCTCGGCCAACTGGGCGTTTAACACTGCGTTGGGTCTGTTTGTGCCTTCGGCGTTTGCCAATATCCGCTGGCAGACTTACATCATCTTTGGTGTTTTCTTGTTTGTTATGCTGCTTCATGTTTACTTCCTTTTCCCTGAGACTGCTGGTAAGACTCTTGAGGAGACTGAGCAGATCTTTGAGGATCCCAATGGTATTCCTTACATTGGTACCCCTGCCTGGAAGACGACCCATGACACTAAGCGCACTGTTGCTGCTGAGTCTGGGGATGTTGAGGTTCTCGGGGAGAAGTTGGCTAGCAGTGAGAAGCGGGGTGCCTTGCATGCTGAGGTTGTTCCTAAGACTGCCTAGGCTCATAGTTGCTTTAGATTCGCTTTATTTTACCTCTTGGATTTGTTTCAGATATCAATGGCTCTGTATTTCATTACCTCTATCTCTCGCTATTTATCGGGCAATTTCTAATCACATAATGGTCCCCGGATATGTCATATACCCGAAGCCATTCGGATCATCTATAGACCCAATTTTCATGCAGTTTTCGTAAGATATTGCCGACAACACAGTGTGGCCTAAGGACACCAAACGGGTACGGTGACCCTCCCTAGATCTCCTGGTCCTCCCAGATGTCTTCGGCAATCGATTGAAGTCGTTGCTTCGAAAGGACTATGTTCTTTTCCGCGGGTATGGTTGGCTCTCTGTCGAATAGGACATTAAACGGAATGTTAAGGTGGGCCGTAACATTCACTGTTCCTGTTTTGTGCTTCGTGTGAAGACGCTATGTTCACGGTGCGGACGCTCGTTGATCATTTTCCACGTTTGGATGTTTATCTCGGCGATCTCTCGACGTGCTTTGATCGTGATGACCATATTCACATTCCCACAATCTGGGCTTAGCCAGTAATCCACGTCACGCTTTAGACTTGTGGCTGTTTCAGAAATGCCGACTTCAACCGTAACCGTGTATGTCCTCTTGATTTCATTCGCTCGGTCCCCTCTTGCTCACCGTCTAGGGCCAAAACCCATATCGGCATCTTTACCTTTGCCATTCTTGCCATCTCCATCGGACGAGGGGAAGCGGATATGCGGCATTTCTGCGATGAATGAGGCAGTCAGCAAGTGAACGCGAACCAAGAGATCAGGGACGATCTCCCTAAGGAGGGGGATAGAGCACGAGAGCCCCATGTATGCCTCAAAACCAAACATCCAAAAACGACCCAGACATCTCAGATGCCCAGCAAGAAACAGTGAGATGTGGACACTTACTGATGATGCAAGCGTATCAGTTGGGGAGAAGAAGAGGAAGGTTTGTGAAGCATAGAAAGGGTCCTTTCATAGACAGCAGTCTAACAATCGGACGCCGATGCTAAGAAGCAAACATTCGATCTACCTTTAACTGTGCGGGGATTTCCCTTCTAAGAACTGAGGTTTTGCCCTACATGGTTTTAATAGACCAATACGGCTGGCAGGAATGACCCATTCCACTATAAGACCCTAGGCAGGCCGTGTCCAGCTGTACGCACTGCAGTATAGTAGGCGTCGTGTTGAGTAGGCCTGCCCTACGTCTTGATAGCGTGTCGAATTTGTTGTGCGAGCCATCTCAGCGGGTTCGATATGGCGTTCGTCCACGGTAGTTAGTACGTTGGCCCAGCCGTCGGCGCTACGCAGGCTCTGCTGGGGATAAAAACGGTGGAAGCACCCACAAGATTTGCATTGATGCCACCATAGGTCAATGATCCTCTGATCAAGTTTCCAGACCATCCTGTATGTAGTTTTCTTATAGGCTTACTAGTATTATGGAACGGCTATTCGCTATAGATAGCTCGAAAAATATTTCCTTTGGAGAAGATTTAAATTATCTCGCGGACTGACACTTGCTTTGGTCAGTTCTTGTTTACATCATATATTATAACATTAGACGAGGCTCTATATACCCTGAAAATGACTGGCTTTACTTCGTAAAGCAGTAAAAAGCAGTTCAAATGGCCTGAAAACGTCGAAATTTAATGGTGAGGTGATATGGTACTAGAACCACATTTCTATACCAGACTCATATACCTTTGAGTAGGTGTATTTTCATCACCCAAGTTTATTACCAATGTCCAAATACAGCGGAACACTTTTCCGGCAGATATATTGCTCCCTCCCAAGAAATCACCGTGGCATCTTATGGTGTTGTTACCGCCCCTATAGTTCTTCCTTTCGAGTCTTTGTTTTGCAGGGCCCCTGTATTCCCTAAAACCAACCTCATCTTGCCCGCTGCAAAGTTCGAAAACATTGCCAACGGAATCATTCGATACACTTTCTTTGTTCCATTCTGCTTGAGAAGTCTGTTGAGGTTGTCATTATCAATAAGTTACCCCCTGATTGTTAACTCTGTTTGCTTTTACTCAATTGCCATGATCAATACATGTACCAACTTGCCACAGTCTGCAAAGTGCTCCGAGTAGGAAATGTTACTAAATTTGCATAATTTTTTTTTTAGCTAGAGTCTAGGTTACCTCTAGGTAGTAATCTGGCTATATCAACTTTCACTAGCCTGAAGCGGACTGCCGAGGTCGATATGATGTCATTTGTCAAGAATTGAAGATTTGCATAACGTTAAAACACATAATTCATTGAGTCTCTTGAATTTAGACTGGCACACATGTTGACATAGACACGTACTAAGATATGTTCCGAGTGGCATGTGGTCTCGTGCTCAGTCTCGGACATCAAAGCAGACAAGTTTACAATCACGGGAACAGAAACTCTTGCGAGGAATACTTTGTGTTCTTTGTGTAGGCGGAAAGACAAATGCCAAGGAATCCCGCGAGCTCAGCTGGTGGAGTCAGCCCCTGGGAAAAAGTTGATCTTTGATCTTCCCTTCTTATCCGATCGTTCCGACGTGTTCGAGTTTCGAGTTTCGACTTTTTGTTCTTTTCTTCTTTTCTTCTTTTTTTCCTACACTTTTTGGTTCCGTCATCGAGCACGTGAGCTCAAATCCCCAAGTCGCATCGACTTCCTCATCCGAAAGCCGGATACGAGACACTACAATCATGGTTCGCCCGCGGGGAAGCTCAGCCCTGGGCGTGGACATCAGAGGCGACACCAGCGCACCAGCAATGTCAACAATGAACGAAGTCAGCCCGATTGAACCCACATCCCCGGATCTAAAGGTACGCGCGACGTTATTCCAAACCTGGTCCCGCGCGCATCACGCAGACTGACACCCCCGACAGCAATTCGATGCTCGCAATGCAGACAAATCCGCTGGCAAGACACAGCCTAAGCGCCGTCGCAGCCGGTCTCTCCTCCACCGCTTCGCTGATACCTGTCTGCGCTACACCTGGCTTTTGCCGCTGGTCATTATGCTGTTCCTGCTCGGCTTGTACGCCGTCAATCCCACCACATCGAACCCCATGCACAGCGCTATCTTCCTCTCGTACCCGCAGCCCCCGAAGACACCCGGTGGCCCGATCATGTACGGAAAGGGAAAGAAGGATATCGCTTTCGTGGCCTTTTACACCATTGTGCTGTCTTTCACGCGCGAGTTCATCATGCAGCAGATGATTCGTCCATTCGCTGTTTGGTGTGGTATCCGTGGAAAGGGAAAGACCGCGCGGTTCATGGAGCAGATGTACACAGCCGTCTACTTCGGAGTATTCGGACCATTTGGTCTGTTCGTGATGAAGCGCTCCACCATCTGGTACTTCAACACGACCGCCATGTTCGAGGGATTCCCCCACCGGGAGCACGAGGGCTTCTTCAAAGCTTACTACCTTCTCGAGGCAAGTTACTGGGCCCAACAGGCGATCGTGCTGCTCTTGCAGCTTGAGAAGCCCCGCAAGGACTTCAAGGAACTGGTCGGCCACCACATCATCACGCTTGCGCTTATCGGCCTGAGCTACCGCTTCCACTTCACCTACATGGGTCTGGCCGTCTACATCACCCACGACATCTCCGATTTCTTCCTGGCAACCTCCAAGACACTGAACTACCTCGATGCATTCATCACCCCGCCCTACTTCGCCATGTTCGTCGGCTGGTGGATCTACCTGCGCCACTTCCTGAACCTGAAGATCCTCTGGGCCGTCCTGACCGAGTTCCGCACTGTCGGTCCTTTCGAATTGAACTGGGAGACTCAGCAGTACAAGTGCTGGATCAGTCAGTATATCACGTTCGGTCTGCTCGCTAGTCTCCAGGCTGTCAATCTCTTCTGGCTCTTCCTCATCCTCCGCATCCTGGCCAACTATATCTTCACCAGCGTCGCCAAGGACGAGCGTAGCGATGACGAAGACGAGGAAGAGGAGGAGGTCGATGCTAATGATACGAAGGCTGTCGCCACTGGCGTTGATCAATCTGCCAAGGAGAACCACGCTCCTCAGGTTCTCGTTAACGGTGAGCCTGTTGCCGAGCAGCATGGTCCTCGCACTCGAAGCCGCAAGGCGTGAGTGCACACACACACTCTCCACTAGGGGCATGGTTCCAGTGGGCGCCATTGCCCCAGTTCCCACACAGGCTTTTTTCAACCGTGTTATAGTTATATTTTATACTTTGGTTGGGCTTCCGGATGTTACTCTGGATGTGTTGATATGCTGTTATGTATTGCTTTGAGCTCGTTTCCGCCAGGTAGATTAGCCCTATAGAAGAGCGGGCGCGGGCGCTTGTTTTGACGAGCACATGAATTAAAATAATTCTCCTTTGGGGATGTTAATATTCTAGTTATTCTTCTCTCCTTCTGTAGCAAGTCTCTACCTAGGTAGATTGCTAGCCTGAGTTAGTAAACAAGCACCATTGACCGACAAAAGACTTAGACTTTTGAAAAGTAATATGCTGGCATGATCATATTTATCTCACATCTCTTAGCTAGTACATGTACAGGTAGAGAAATACATCAAACATTAGAATGGGCGCTCGATGCAGTTGGTCGTGTGACAGGTTGAGGTTGATGGCATTAGGACTTGTCCTCGCCCTTCTTTTCGTCCTTGTCCTTCTTCTCTTCCTTGCCCTCCTTCTCTTCCTTATCCTCCTCCTTGTCCTCTTTCTTGTCCTCTTTTTGTCCTCCTTCTTATCGTCGTTGTCTTGCTTCTTTTCTTCCTTGGACTCCTCCTTCTTCTCTTCCTGAGACTCTTCATTCTCCTCGCTCTCCTTCTCTTGACCACCCTTTTCCTCATCCTTCTTCTCCTCACCACCCTGAGTAGCCTTATCCTCCTCCTTGGGAGCCTCTTCAGCAGCCTCCTCTACCTTCTCACCCTCCTCCTCCTTATGCTCCTCCTTATGCTCATCCCCATGAGCATCATGGTGTCCATGTCCCTCAGACCCAGAAGGCCAAAGGTAAAAGACCATGGGGCCAGTAACAGCAACCGATCCGAACAACCTACAAGAACAACAATTAGAACTCAAGCTCCAAATAAACCCAAACAATTCAATTCAACACGTAAACTCACCATGGCAAGTCACTTGACGCATGGCCCTGCTCATGGCTTCCACCGGTAGAATTGAACCGACGACCCAGTGCCTGGGCAGACCGACGGGCAACAGGAGCAGCACGGAAGGACTGGGCTACAGTCGCAGCGCGGAAGATTGAACGGCGCGCGAAGACCATTGTGATTGTGTATAGCCCGGGTACGAATTGAGTGGGATGTATAGAGAATATAGGAAGCGTGATAGGTGGGAGTAGAGGTAAAGGTGAACTGACTACAGAGTACGGGGTATCATCGTAAGACCGCTTCCTGCCTGTTTCCGGGATGGTCTGTGCTCTGTGATGTAATGTTGGGGGCTGGGCGGTATTGGGTACTTGGGTTATGTTGGGAACTTAGCTGGGGGCTAGTGGTAGTTGGTACGTAGCAGTTCTTAGTTGTTTATTTCGGTTTGTTTATCGTTGTATTTTGCCATTCGAAGGGGTTTGATATCTTTGTAGATGTGGAGATTGGCCATAGCTGGCTATCAGATCATCAGATTAGGGGAATTGGGTCTCCATTCGGGGAATTGAGGTTATTTGAATGTCAACGGCCGCATGATCTTCAAATCTGAGCTTAAGGCTTGGAATAAAAGTGACTATTCCCCGAAACTAGCAACGTGATGATGTTGAAACCCACCAGTATACCTCGGGAGTTCAGTACCTGACCCGCTTTGGTGGCCTCAGGCCACAAGCTCTGTGTGGACACCTCAGGCGACAACACCCCACGTTGCGGCGATCCAAAGCTACCAACTACACGCGCTCTCTTCCATTACCTTCTCATTCAGCTCTCTGCATTCTCTCAGTCTACATAACACCTTACATAAAGGCGTCGTCAAAATGGCAGACCGACAAATCACCCAGCAGACTATCTTCAGCCTGCTGGCGAAGCTCGACGATCCCGACGCCGACCTACGCTACATGTCCTTAAACGATCTATACGGCATCTTGACAAACCCAAACTCTTCCTTCCTCTCACATGACCGCGGAACATCAACAAAGCTTGCCGAAGGTCTGCTCAAAGCCCTGGATGACCAGCATGGTGACGTGCAGAACCAGGCGCTCAAATGGTACGTGCTAGGCTTTGATCGACTTTAATACTGCTGATTTCTAAAAAAAAAATTGAAACAGTCTTGGCCCTTTGGCCGTCCGCCTCCCATTTGAATCCCTCACGCCTCTGCTTGAGCAGTTGGCCAACTTGACCGCTTCCCAGACGATAGACACCTCCATCCCCAACACTGCTCTCCGCGTCATTGTCGACACCCTCCCTCATCCTCAGACAGGCCAGCCTGCATCACAAAATGCGACCACAGCCTACTCCGCAGTTTCAAAGGTTCTGGTTCCCCGGCTGACCGGCCCGACACCATCAGCTTCAGGGCGGCGCGACTCGATCGTGAAGGGAATGATGGAGAAGGATCCGTCCAAGGGTTTCAGCAGCGATGCCATTGATGTGCTCATCAAGGTTGTCACATGTTTTGGTCCTCTGCTTCAGGAGAGTGAGCTTGTTGCCCTCCAGGCATCCGTCATGGCTATTATTCAAAATGATACTGCGGGAACTGTTGTCACCAAGCGTGCTCTGACTGCTATCTCTGCTCTCGTGCTTCACTTTTCTGATAGTCAGCTCAATGGCTTTGTGTCTGATCTGAGTGCGACTCTTTCTTCGTCTAACATTTCCATGGTGCAGCGTCGGCATTTGATCGCTGCCATTGGCGTCATTGCAAGGACTGCTCCTGCCAAGTTTGGTCCTCATCTTGATACTCTTGCTCCTTTTATCTTCTCCGCGGTAGGAGAGGATGATATTTCTAATGAGAACTGAGTTGCTGGTTCTGATGACCTGATCTGTGCTAGGAACTCTGAAAGGGCTGCCCCGTGCAGAAGCAAATGCAGAACTCCGAGGAACGGACACTGTCCTACCCGGACTTGATACCTTTAGTGAGATCTACAGATGAATATGTTGATCTCAGTGTCCTCATGTTTGTAACATGCCTTGGTCACCAACGGGATGTCCTGCACCGGGTGCTGCCAACCCAAAAATCCCAAAGCGGCAGATATGGACTTAACGATACCCACGTTGATATTGAATATGAAAAGCTGCATACAATTTGTTGAGTCTACCTGTTCTTGTGTTTAAGTAGACTCGACTGCGGAAAGTGGCTCGCAGCTTCCCAATTGCTCATTTCAACTCTCATTCCTCCCGTGTAATTCAACCTCGCCAACCTCGGAGACACTTCTGTTCACTTCTTCCTTCCCACCTCTCGTATCATCCCAACCTTTACTTCCCACATCCCAGTTGAACATAAATATCAACTTATACTGCCTACTCTCAAGATGCATGCTCACATTTTGGTCCTTCTGCCTCTGGCAGGTTGTGCATTTGCCAGCTTCTATGGCAATGCCCCAGTCTATACCGTCCCCCTCGATCAGTCCCAGGTCCAAGAAGCAGTTGAGGCAGCTGTGAGCATTCGCGATGCTCCCAACAACGTTGACTACCGCTGCGGTCCCAAGATTGGCAAATGCCCTATCGATACATGCTGCTCCAGCGCAGGTATGTGTCAAGAGCTTTGCAGATTGAATGGGTCGTTGACAGGGCAAACATAGGCTTTTGTGGCACATCCAAGGCGCACTGTCGTTCTCCAGATTGCAAGATAGACTACGGCCATTGTGACGCTCACAAGTCACCCTACGGACCTCCCACCACAGACATCATGCGGCCTCACATTGGCCAGGTCCCATATGGTCCGAAGGAGATCCGCTCATGCTCTATTCCCGGAACCGTCGCGTTGACCTTCGACGATGGACCTACCCGTTACACCGGCGATCTGCTGGATTTGCTTGATCGGTATGGTGCAAAGGCGACGTTCTTCATCACCGGCATCAACAATGGCAAGGGTCAAATCGATGACTTCAGCTTGCCTTGGGCATCTCTGATCGAACGCATGCAATCGAGTGGCCATCAAATCGCCAGTCACACCTGGTCACACGAGGATCTCAGCAAGATCACTCCCTCACAGCGCCGTGAGCAGCTGGAGAAGAACGAAGCAGCTCTGCGGAACATCATCGGCAGTTTCCCTACCTACATGCGGCCTCCGTATTCCAGCTGCAGTCCTGACACAGACTGTGGAAACGAACTGGGCAAGCTTGGATACCATATCGTTTTGTACGATATTGACACTGATGACTATAAGAATGACAGTCCAGACCTCATTCAGCGGTCCAAGGATATCTTCGATCATCAGGTTTACGCCGGTGACCCACACACCAAGTCTTGGCTTGTCATTGCTCATGATGCACACGAACAGACTGTCCACAATCTCACGGAACACATGCTCAAAACCATGAAGAGACTCGGCTATCGCGGCATCACTGTCGGTGACTGTCTCCGTGACCCACGCCCCCTCTGGTACCGAAAGGATACCCGGATGCCCACCCACAACAAGAAGCCCAAGAAGACCGCCTCCGCTGATCCCAACAAGCCCGTATCTTTTGACGGCTCCTGTGGTTCCAACTATACTTGTATGGGGTCTAGCTTTGGCTACTGTTGTGGGAGCACCCATTCCTGTGGAAACACTACTACTCATTGCGGCACCGGATGTCAGAAGGATGCCGGGTATTGTGCAGTCGAGGCCCCATCCAATGGCGATGCATGGGATCCAACGGTTCATACCAAGGGGAAAAAATCCGAAGCAGACTCTAACTCCCGAACAATTGGCACCGCAGCTGCGATATCTTTGTTCCTTGCCTTGATCGTCGCCATGTATATGTGATGGGTCATCTTTAGTTTGGAGTCAGATTGAAAGTGTTGTTCGACCGAGTCGCCGCTAGCATTATACCTGTTATACTTACACATATCATTAACTCGTTGAGAGAACAAGCAGGCGGGGCAGAGACAGGATAGAATTCATGAGATAGGACCGATCAACTTCTAGCTTCCTGGTTTAATACAAATTGTTTGATTTCTTAATCTGAATGCAGTAATCTGAAGTCCGGTTGTAGATTGTTCACTCGCCGTGTTTAGAAATATATGTAATTCCTCTGATATCCAGACTAGCTGAATAGATCTCATCACAAATCATCACAACGTAGCACCCAGCACCCACTCCATACAAATGAAGCCGCCTAGTCATGAACACAAGACATACAACCCGCAAGAATAATTCATAACCCAATACCAATAAACAAGAAGTAAGAAACATGACACAAACAAAAGCAGCACGCCGAGAGCACACTCTCGAGGGGTATAATAATAGTAAACAAAAG